TGGTTTGTCAAAAAAGGTCTGAAATTAATAAAATTAAAGGAAAGGGAAAAAATAAATCAGAAATTACCTCTTCTTTGATAACTGTCGAGGTTTTTTCTCCTGCAAATATTAGTCGTAGTTCTTTTACAAAATTGTGAGCCTATTAAGACAAATATTTATAATATTTTAGAAGAGAAAAATTAATAAATTAAATAATTTTTATATTACCTCGGTGACAGCCCTATCGCAGGAGCAACATATCCAGATGAAGTTTATAAGGGGTAAACAGATATCAAGAGAATGTAGCCAATGGTTTTTAAAATCAGAAATGAAGTAAAAATATATGAATCCTGATATCTGTAGAAGTTTAAATATTACTACAATGACCAAAACAGGACCATAACATGCATTTAACTTCCTCAAGAGAGTTCTACGATTCCAAAAGGTTGCAATATTTCTTCTAATGCTATTGTCATCACTATTTAAATGATAGACTAGTTCTTTAAATGAAGAAGCAAGCATAAAACTAAAAGAAATTATAAGCCCATCAATAGCATAATGAACATTTTGTATTATTATTTTTAAAATCCAAATAATAGATTTTTCGTTTTTGTCAAAGAAACAATTTCTCAAAAATTGAAGAAGAACAAATGAGTAGAAAATGCATATCTTACGGAATACTTTTATTTTAAATTTATCAGAAATGTCATTCGGTGTGTTGACAATTTCATTAAAATAATTAAATAAATCGACGGTTTCAATTGGCTTTATAATCAAATTTATAAGCAGTAAACAAAAACAATAGAAACTTTCAATCAACCCTAAAAATACTGAAGAACAATTGTTGTTTGTTTTGCACGAAGTTGAAAAGGCAATTATAGTGCTTATAAAATATAAATTGCAATACAACAGAAAAATAACTCCAACTGCACTCGACATTGAGATCTGAAAAATATGCCCTAGGAAGAAAAAAAGTAAGACATTAAATTTAAAATAAAGACTATAAAAAATATTGTCGAGTCCTGTACCAGCAAAACTGGGCCTTTTCATAAATTAAAAAAATAAATGTATTCATGATTTTAGATTAAAACATTAAATTACATTTATAAGTTAAATCAGCTCAAGCAAAGTGTTATGTAAACAAAATCAATTTATCTGATGCCCAATTTTGTAGTATGGTGACACAAGCAAAAATTAAAGTCAGATTTACATTTTCTATCGGGTGATTTATGAATTTGCAGAGGTACACTAAACAGAATTTTACAGAAATAAAATGGGAGTAAAACTGAATAAGAATAGAAAAATGTCATATTTCTAAAATGTAACAAACAAATCAAATAAATATGACTAACAAGTGGGTGACAGAGAACATTATATATGGTTGGCATTGATCGTAAAACTTCCCATTATCCAAAGCTCCTGCTTGAATAATAAATGAAAATGATAGGAGAAAAACAATAGCAATCAATTTTGTCTATAATAATCTAATATATTAATATTTCTACAAATTTCAAATATAAGATAAATAACTTCAATTATTTTTATATAAAATAAGATAATTGTAATTTTTAAATCTTAACACATAACAAACTGGAATCAATACATAATATGTAAGAAATATGGTATTCTCAATAAATTTATTAAATGATTTTTCCTTTTTTTATTTACATCACAGCATTTATTCACACATTTATAATTTTATATAAATTTATCTACATTATTTTATTTACAAAGCTTGCTTTACAAAGCTTTATCTTCAATTAAAAAAAAAAAAAAGCTAAGAAAAAGTTCTAAGGAATCAATAAAATTTTAAAGTCATTGGCATATACTCTTATTTCTTACCGCCTTGTAAGCTTACACAGAAATAGAAATATGACAAACTTTTAATAAGAAATCTAAATAAATTACATGTGCGAAAATTAGGAACAAAATAACAATTTTGAACATACATATTATTTAGATATCATGTAATGATGATATTGATAAATATTAACTTATTACTTTAAATCAGACTACAATTTTTATAACAGAGAAATAAAATCCAAGGTACTAAATATCATTTACTTAAAATCACAATAAAGTGAAAAATAAATTTCTATTAGTTGTGTACATTAACTACGACAAAATAACTAAACATTAGAAATTTCAAGTTATAATTTAAAAAGAATTTTAGAAGGAAGACAAAAATATGATCAGAAGACTATAAAATGCTATTTATATGGACCAAATAACAATATTTAAAATGAAATATTGAAAAATTAAATGTTTCGTGGAAGTTTTATAATAAAAACAAGTTCGAAAAGCAAAATTGTGAATAGTATATAATATATACCGAACATAAATTTAAATTCATTTTTAAAATGAAAACCGCAGTATCGAGCTGTATTTATTATTCAGTTTGAATAAAAAACTATAATTTTCATAGGTTAATAAAATAAATTACTCTAACTGGCCTCTACTGAAAATACTGAAGGAGCCACATGACATGAAGAGTACTGTATTTGTATTTTCACTATTACAATTACTTTTTATAGATTTCAGTTCAGTTATAAGCTAAAAAAAAACAGATTTTAACCAACAAATCGAGAATATTTTCTTTGGTTAAAAAAAGAACTAGTTGACCCTTGCGAATACTCCACACAAACCTAATATTTGTATCTGATTTTAATACATTAAGGGCTCAGAACAACTTCCATTTAATAATGTTTGATACACAAAGGTTTAATACATATATTTAGTAATATATCAGTTTATAAATAGGTTTATCCTCTGTTGTGGTTTAAAAATTGCATTTCTTTAAACTTAAAATATTAGCTTTTTCCTTCACTGGATTCTCATAAATTTACAAAAATTTCTTACAAAAAAATAATTAGTAATTAATACATTATATAATGTATCCCAGAAAAAAAGAGCCAATTCCCAAAATCTTAAATTCCCATATGCAATAGAATCTTTGCAGTACAACAAATACTAAATGTTCAGAATCCTGCCCCCACTTTTACTTAACTCCTGGTATAAAATTAGGAATCAAAATTATGATTCACACATTCTACCTGATATTCCCTTTCTATTGATATCTCATTAGTCAAAATTCATCACTCCTGAGAGCCAGAAAAGGGATATATAATCAAAAATAATATTTAAGACAATAACATGTTTTGATTAATAAGTGATAAAAGTAAATATATCAAAATGAAAAAATTTAAAACTACTAAATTACTATGCTTATTAGTATGTATTTTCCGATTCCTAAGTAGGAGACCTCCAAGATTCGAACAGAATAATAATGAATACACGGAGTTACATCTAGTACAGAAGGGACTTAATCAGGCAAGGCAATTGTTTTAAAAACAATACTTACTTTTAAATATACTTGGACAAATTTCACTTTAAAACAACGAATAAACTATCTTCATTAATTAATTGTGATTACTAATGTTAGTAATAATTATTCATTTATTAATATTCTCAAAATTTTATATATATATATATATATGTTTTTGTTTTTTAAATCAATGTCTTTATTAAAAGTTTTGTTTTATTGTTATTACCTCAAAACTTGAAGAATCCCAACAACATTCACTAGTATCAAAATCAGATTTCTTCATTAATAATAATAATAAACAACGCTAAGTTATAACAATATTAATTCGAGATAATAGGTTTTAATTAAAAAATAAATAATTTCATTCTCAATATATATATCAAACAAGTTTCTGAAAATAGGGTCAGTAACAGATTTCTTTTTTTCTTCAGTATTTTCCTCCGATAAAAATCACTCTGCAAAATTAGGAAACGTGTAGAAGGATTTCAATTCATGATTGTTTTTATAAATTAATTTCATATAGTGCAACTTTATACTTTTTCACCTTCATAAATTGTTAGTGTACACCACAAAAATATTTTTAGATTTCTGGAATAAAAAAAAAAAGAAGAAAAATTGGTTAGTATGAAGTCTAAAACCTAATAACTTTGAGAGGTAAGCATATTTTTAAAAATGAAAATAATTTCTTAGCTGATATCAGCCAAGAATTAGAGGAGAATGTGGTACATATTTTATGATCTGGGGAGTTAAATCATACAAAGTTCCATTGTTTCTAATTTAAAGATTTATTCATCATTTATGTATTTACAAAACAGCCTTTAAGCTGTTAAATATACACATATTCAATATTTAATTAAAATATACAGAATAACCATAGTACATTTTTTTTATCTTTGTCCCAAGGGGTAAGCATTCTGAAATTGTTAAAAAGTTTCAGAACTTAAGACCTAAACAAAACTAATTATCTTAAAATGAGTTTGAACAAATCTTTTTGGGTTAGTTATCTAACGAACCCATTTCAAGACAAAGTATACCATAACTATGATTCTTATCACAGTTATAAATAAATGTATAATGATTTATTATAATGTTTGCAAATATTTACAATTTGTACAAAAGTACAAAAAGGGCATCAAAGCAATCAAAGATTATAGTAAAATATTGATGTTGGGAATGAATAAATAGCAACAATATAATTTGAGTATAACATAGATAGCTATCACAGAAATTCAAATGATAAAAATATATATATTATATATATTGTAAATAACCTATGCGGTTATAAATATTTGGTTCATGCCTATCACTAATTTTTATAAAACACAACCACTAATTTAACACCTTGGCTATAAATTTATTTGAGTGATAACTGTTCTGAGAACAAAATGTAATTATTTTTTATTTATTTCAGGTTCATTTTATTTTATCTGTTACAAGAAGAAAATTGTTTTAATTATATACAAATAAAATTTAAATATGAGATCATAATGATAAGTAATTACAGAAGAAATTCTAGGGTACTTGCACTCAGTATTATTTAGTGTAATAGCATGCTAATGCAATAACTTAACGATATCTGTACCCTTTGTCATAATAATTTTACAAAATTGTCATTAAGGAATATAAAATAAATGTGACTGAAGAGCAAAAGGTAAGCATACTTATTCATTTTAATTATATATCAATTTATAATAAAAAAATAAAGATATGGTATGGGTACACATGACCCCTTCATATGAGAAATCATTATATGATTAAAAAAAATAATAATAATTTCAGGACTTAATGGATCTACTTATGATAACTAGACCACTGTAGGCTCAAAAATATTATATTCTTTAGGCCTTGAATTTATTGTATAATTACAAATATTAAAGTAGATATCTAATACGAAGGTGCCATATGAGCAAAGTCACTTAGGCATAAAAGGGAAAAATATAGAAAAGAGAAACGCAACAATAACGATCTTCAAGGCCAGAGAGCAATAATAGATTACAGCTATCATAACCAAGGTGTTAATACAAAAAATTTAATAAATCTGTTCAAATTTTAATTAAATTCAGTTCTAAATACATAACAATAAATAATTAACAATTAATTCAACAAATTGTATCACGAGAAATATTAGTTCAGGTTGTAGTGATTAGAAGCTGTTTTTGTATAATAAACATTATACCAACTGAACAAAAATATCGATCCTAATAAAAACATTACTTACCCTTTGCACATCAAAACATACAAAAAAGGTATAGCAAAATGAATAGAAAAATAAGGGATCTGCCTTCTATAAAATAGTATAAGATGTTTAAATAATGAATCTTAAAATTCTCAAAGTAAACATTACATGAAATATTGAAGATCATACTGTGCTACGAATATATACAGATAATTGTAATATTTTTAGTAATAATGAACTTTTAATAAAATCAAAGTTAAAATAAAATGCTTAATGACTATTAATGCAGTTAAACTTTCACAAGCACACATATGATCCTTAGTAAATTAAAGAAATCCAATCCTATAAAAAAACAAAATAATAATTAAAAAAATGGAAATTAACCTATAATTAAAAATAATATATAACATAGTAATTTAATAAGTGATCTCACAAAATAAGAAAAAATACCCAATCTTATTGATACACTAAAAACCATTGGAAGACTAAAAACACAAAATGAAATCAGATTGACTTCATTTTGAAAAGGAATAATGTAAAGACTGAATAGTTCTGAATGCATAATGACCATCACACACTATTACGTTTAGAACTAAGTCCCTCCAGCATTTGATGGTAATGTAATTATAACAGCTATTGACTAAAGAATTGTGCGAATCCCTACCAATTCAAAAATATTTATAGTCAACTATCGTTATAAAAACAAGCTATTTTTTTTTCTAAATAACGAATGTAGCTTTAAGAAATACATTTATAAAATACTATAAATATAAAATTATATCCAAGATTATAATTTTTCTATATGTTAAAAAGAGTTTCTGATTCTGTACACTAATCATTTGTTTATTATCTTCAAACCACATAAGGTTCTTTCTTTTTAAATTAGAACCAATACCACTATTTTAGGAAAAAAAAAATTTAGACAATGCAATCTCAGAAATCAGAATGACAGATGTCTAAATACTCCAAAAAAAAGATTTGTTCAGAAAAAAAAGGGATGCAGATAGCAAAAAACAAATTTCAAACAAAATAAGGCCGCTAGCCCAAATGAATTTCTGGAAATTTTCTTAATTAATACAGACATATGTGTGCTATCTTCCCATGCTTATTTTCAAAAAATCATTCATGTCCTTTCATAAAAATAATATGAGGGTAAAGTATCAAAATACAGTGTCTCCTTTTATTTAATCACTGCATTCGATGGATAACAGTGAAGAGAATACATTGGCAACAAATCCATTCCCTACAATGTCTAAGAAGCAGCAAAGACCCACAAAAATCAAAACAAACAAAATTAATGGTTATAAAAAAAAAAAAAAATTATATATATATATATATATATATATAATACAAATTCAATGTTTTCAACTTAGTATACATGCATGATTATGAATCCAGTTAGTAAAGTTTTCTTTAATAAAAGTAATCCTTTATTTTAAGTAATTTTCCACAATACCTTCTGCAATCTAAAATTTTCAAGAATTCAAACATGACTCCTATGTAGCAATTAGATCAGATTATTGAGATTGCACTGTAATTATATGTTTGTAATGTTTAAAAAAAAAAATAATAAAAACCTAACTGACACTGCCTCAATCGTGTAAAGATTTAACTATATATATATAACAAAATTTAATTAAAAATCATTCAAATGAAACTTTAAGCGGCAAGACATAGAGACCACTTATTCCTTTTTTATTTTACAATATTTTTTTCTTTTTAAGAGTATGTACCAGTAATAGACCCTCTAAGAGAAATTTTCAACATTAATCTGAACTACAGCTTTAATTTTAACGGCAGATCTTTGATTAAATTGTTGGCAAATTTAGTTTGTGATAATTTTTTTTTTGTTTTTACACAGTCAATTATTTTATTATTCATGAAAAACTTAGGAAATTCTGACAGTTTATATTGCACCAGTAATAGACATTCAGGTTTTGGGGTCAACAGATTTTTTATATAATTAAAAAAATAAAATAAATTATGCACAGTTTTAAACTAAGAAATGGTAGACTACAGATGAATGAATTTCAAACTTATCTCCTAAAGATGAGTAATAAGGAAACCTCTCTGAAACATCCTTCCTTCATAAAAAAATCAACTGCCAATCCGCTATTGTGGCTTGATATCACTTGAGGTTTGGCCAGCACCTTCTAAAGTATTTTAACCTTTAACATGCCATTGTTCCAGAAGTGGAACATATATTAAATAATCTTTTTACCAACATAAGTCATTATTTTTTAGCAAAAACAGTTTTTTTTTTTCATCAATACAAAGGTTGAAATAATTTTTTCAATAAAGATTTTATCACTTTTAGTTCGGTAAATAAAAAGTTGTTGGGCTTAGTAACGAAAGAATTCCTAAAAGGTTATTTGCTGCGCCGAATGGTAATGGTAAGCGCCCGAGGGGTAGACCGAAGCGAAGGTGGGAAGATTGCATTAAAGCCGATCTGAAGGGACTGGGTTTGGACGGCGAACGGTGGAGGGAAGTGTGTAATATGCGATTGGTGGTGTCGGCATCGAACCTTCGGGTTCACTAAGCCTTTTATTGTTATTATTATTATAAATAAAAAGTTAAAGTTTCTGATATTTTAGTGTCGAGAGGTATATTGATTAGTTTTTTTTGTTATAATACTACAACAATGAAATTTAATTTGAATATTGATTTAATTGATTGTGATAAATTACTGAAAATAATGCCTTGCAGAAAATTAAAATTATAAAATTCTAAGAATCAGTTTTACTAATTTTAATTTTAATATTTATATATGGAACAATGGCAGGTTCAAGCTATAGAAATGTTCATTCTATTGTTTCCTACCTCGTTTTCTTAGTAAAAAACTGCACACAGAAATTCATAGAACTAGTAATTCCTATTCTAAGATTTACAATTCTTAACAGATGGTGAAAAACAGTATAATTTTTTTTTTTTTAGTTTCTTAAAACACATATTGGAAATACGATGCCAAACATCCTTTGGTGTTAGTTTTCTCAGTCATTACTGTGTTCTTGTAGTGAATGCATCGCATTTCTTACTCACACTTAATAATAATTAGGTAATGTGGGCTTTAATGCGGAAAGTTGGTCCGTGGATGGGGCCGAAGACTTCCATCCCTCCTAGCACGCGTAAGGCAGGTGGACATTATATCATTTTGGCTTCCCAAGGAAGGTGTCTTTTTTATGGCACCAACACAAAATATCAATGGAAAGAATGCCAGAAACTCATTCATATTGATTGTTTTCTCCAATATCTCAGAATGTAAATCGTATATTAGCATAAAAAATTTATTTTTATTCCGTGTTCTTACATACGCATTTTCTATTATTTATAAACAATTATAATGTTTTACAATAATATAACAACACCTTTTTATCAATATTATTAAAAACAACACTATTCTTGTATTGAATATTCTAATAATAAAAAAGTTCATTGTATAACCTGAACCTCAAAGTTGGAAAAGCACAAAAGAAGTTTTTTTTTTAGGAACTATTTAGTCTGAACCATATTGAGACCAATTTTACAGAAAAAAAAATTAATTTCTACTGGAATTAGGGACCGGTGTGTAAAAGGTTAACTAGAAATCTACCTATATTTTCACTCTATTCTGGGAGTATATCGGTTAATGAGTTGAAAACTATCCATTACTGGTACATTTACCGTAACAGGTAACCAAAAATCTTACCAAATTAGTGAATTGAGACGCTATTAGGGCATGTTCATTTTTTTACATATTTAAATATTTTTATAACTTAAATTCTTTTTGTTCTAGGGGACATATTCAGAGAGTGAACTAGAAGTTTCCTGCAACATGATAAAATATTAAAGAGAAAAACTACTCTCTGAAAAAAGTAAGAATGACTAATCACTCAATATTTATTGCAGCTTTAGAATTACTTTGCTATCTAGCCTTTATGTTTATATCATTAAGTAAAAACTAATTGTATGCTTACGATATTGCATTACATATTTTAATACTTTTTGCTGGATAAAAATATGGTCTCTGGTTTCATGCCAAACAGATGAAAACTTCAAGGAGTACAGAAGAATATAAAAAAGTTCAGCAAATAAATGAATTAATTCTGTTATAATAACTATTAGTATTTTTTCCTTAATTGACTGATGTATGAAGAAAAAAGGTGGAAAAAATATAAATGTATACAAAAGTTATAATTTGTAAAAATTTTAAGTAATTTAACATTGAGCAATGTGAAGCCTTCAATAAATGAAGTTTTGTAAATAAGTAAAACAAGGTAATACAATATATTGAAGATATGAGTCATGTAGAAATCCCATTTGTCATATAAAAATTAAAATGTTAATGCTGTTTCGAGGGATATTAAGAGGCACTCAAGATACATTATAATAAATATTAAAAAAATTAAATGTGAAAAAATTATGCTGTATAACTTTTTAGTATATTGATTAACTGGTATTGTAGATAAATAATTAAAAATTTTCTAGGACATAAATACTAATGCTTCCAGCATAATGGCCTTTATCAAAAACAGACTTTAATCTACACAGCTTTGATTAAAAATAATTCTTAACATAATAAACATTTTATTTTTCTTATTATCATACTAATCATAATAAATATGAAAATTTTAACCAAATATTTTTGATTTAAAATGCAGTCTATAAATGCATATTATATAAGATTAATCATACTAAATACCTTACAGTCTTACTAGGACAAATAGTGCATTTTGAATAGTAATTTGCAAATTACATCATTCCAATCAGATATGAAAAAGCAAACAAGCTTGTAAAACAGAATCATTTAATGTTACAACCCATATTAAAAATATTAATGGTAACAAAATGGTAAATTAAATGAATAACACTTAATTTTTTTATAAATAAGGAAGATCTTCGATGATCTAAGGCCTTTTCTAGAAAAGAAAAAAAAAATTTTTTTGAATAATAGCTTTAATGGATGGAAATGAAATTTTTATTTGATTACAAACAGTAATACGCTTTAAACTTATTATGCCTTAATAAATTTATAACTATATTAATTCATTGTTATTTCTTATTCATAACCAAATTATTGATTTTCTTTTTATTATCTTAATGGTTTTCAAATTCCCGTAGATAGAATTCCAAAGAACAGTGTGTATGTGTATATATTGTTTGTTTATAGCAAAAAGTCATAACCTCATCTTCTCCAATCATGTCAGGGAGAGGCTCACGCTGGTCAGCCAGAAGACTTACCAGTTCTACCACCTGTTTGGTGCAGCTTTCCTTGAAAAGATAGCTGTAAATCTACGAAACTATCATTAGACTTACGCTGCTCCATGGAGCTCTTCTTCTTCAGCACCTCTACAAGAGTACATTGCAACTACTGCAGGACTTTCAAAACTCTGTTCACTGGCAGATCGTCTGTGGCACCATCCTACAAAGGGCCAAGAATGGACACTATATGAGAGGTGCTCCAGACCTGTGCCAACCCACTGTTCCAGGAGATGAATGAGACGTACTCACCGAGGGAAGGGGTCTGGACCCTGTAGTCCATTGTAACATCTCTCTTATATTTTAAAAACAATAATAATACCTCTGAAGATCACTATATACTTTTGGGATACTTCCTAAATAAATAAGAGGTTGTTGTAATAATAAACGAAATTATAAAAGAATTAATATGTTTATTTATCTCAGGTGTGGGTTACTGACAATCAGATCAACTCAGACAAACTATTATTATTTACACTATTTATACTAAAATTAAACACTAATTTTAAAATAAGGTGAAGTATGAATTGGCAAGCTAACCTTTTTTCTATAGATACTATTTCTTCCTTCGTTGCACTAAATTCATTTGTTTTCAAACACTTTCCAAAGTTCTGCTAAATACAACTTCCAAATTGGTGATACTTACTTCTACTCAACTCAAGCTCACTGGGAAATCCTCTCTCTTGTGATTCCAAACAACTAGTCTCTCTGTCAAATAACAACTTCCAAGGTGGTAATACTATTACTAGGTTTTTCCCACTGGAGCCAGGATCACTTCTCCTATCCTCTCTTCATTGCAGCCAAACATCAACTCTTTGCCAAAACAAAATCCTTTGTCCCATTCCCTCTTTGGGAAAACTACAGAGCAGCCATTTTCTTTTCCTCCACTAGTAGAACTAGATTAGCTTGCCTTTTAACTGTTGAACATTAATTTATTAAACCCTTTTTAGCCAATTCCAATAAAGGTGAATATTATACCATACCCCATAAAAACTGTGATCTTAAAACTGCAGAGCGGTCCTTCCTCACTCAATGTAAGCAAGGCCTTGTGTCACAAAAGTTACAAATGCATGCATACCTATCCTCTTTCTACCTTAAAATGCCATCATCAGGAGGTATGAGGAAAAACTATCAAGAATATATATATTGTAAGTGTACAATAAAATCACTGGAGGATGAGAAAAAAAAGGTAATATTTCATTACCTTAAATAATTAAGAACATAATAATTTTCCAGTTTCTGAATCAGAAAATTGTGTGATTGTTGTAACTATATTTGATATATCAAAGGATTCATGTCATTTTCATGTACTTGCGGTGTTTTTGTATCGACTACAGTCAAAATTCGCAAAAACATAAGTTAACCTACATCAAAGTTAACCTACATCAAAAATGCACTAGGTGACTTTTTACAATGAAGTGATGATTCACAGTTTTACTGTGGCTATATAAAAATCAGAAAGACAATAAAAAGAAAATTAGATTATGAACTAGTTAACATAATTAGATTATGAATAACAAATATAAATATATACTAAATTTCTTAGTTTTCTTTACAAAAATAAATTGTACTAAACTTTCAACATATGATATTGTTTTGGGTTTTTATAACTGAATAAAATATTATCGTTTCCAGACTATAGCAAAGAAAGATAGTACAATACTCAAACAGAATATACCTTACTGGTGTTAGCTCCAAGATGGATCATATCCTTTCCAGCGTGCAGGGGGAGCGAGATATACACGTCTTCCTTTATAGAAGAAACTAACCACACCACGGTATCCAGTTCTAGGAACTCCAGACTTTAAAAAATATAACAATAATAACATAAATATTATTATTCACTTAGCCCAGGCTTATTGAGACACAGTAACCACAAATTGTAGAAAAGCACAATTTCAGGGACTTAGGACATCCCCTTCTTTAACACAAGCCATAAAAACTGTGCGGCCCCAATCTGCAATAACTGTATTTCAATGTGTGCCAACCTTACAACTACTATGCCACTAATTACTCTATTTACCACTCAGTATGATTCCATATTCTGTTTATTTGAGCTGTTATATATATCTGTGCCCCAGAGGTAAAGAACACCATGTCCATTTTTTATTTTTATAATATATAATTTAGTAATTAAGAAACAAATTTTAATAGCTCTAAGTTATGGAAAATTGGCTCCACAGTCATATATAAAAATTTGACATGGCGTCCTTTAACTCCAGACTACAGATTTAGTAACTAGGAAAGAAATTTTAATAGCTCAAATTTATGGAAAACTGACTATATATACATATTTTACATTTAATTAAAACTAAAAAAAAAATCACTAAAACCCAATCCTTGGTAAACAGTTCTGCAAGGAGGTGATTTGACCGAGATCATGCTCAAACTTCAATTTTTCCCCCTTAATCAATTATTTAATTAAAGGTGCCCACTTTATAGAAAATGGGTGTGCCCCAGGAGGATCTCTTGACCCCAGGTTCAATCCACGGCCAATGAAACAGAATAAATAATTTATCTGCCATCAGCCGGGATTTGAACCATGGACCTCGAGCAGTTCTACTACGAGGACCTGCAGCCCAGCCCTACTGCTCAGCAACTGAACTCCCTTAATCAAAATTAAATAAGGAAAAAATAAAAATAGGTTTGTAGCTATTATTTGAAAATACACCAAAATATATAACTGATTATTATATAATACTTTTATACAATTGTTTTATATAATAATTTTTATACCAAGTTTCTTTCTGTATTCACTCTCTGTTGACAATAAAAATACATGTAACTAATTAGGAGTTCAGTTTTATTTTTCATAAATCAGCCAAAGTTAATAATAAATATATTTGATTACACTGTTTTAAATTATTTGATTTAGAGAAACTACCAAACAATTCTGTTTAAAACCATTTTGGAGTTTTATAAAAATCACCATTAAGAAGGACTATTTGTTTCTGTACTTTTATTAACTATATGCTCAATAGAATAAAGAATATTTATATGTAGCCACGATGACCTTAATATTATAATATTAATATATTAATATTGGTCACCTTGGAAAGTGTGAGACAAGAGGCTTTTAGTTTAATTATACTCCTCTTCTCTACTTTTTTAAAATTCTAGCTTTGAAGAGGATCCCATCATTGACTTATAAAAAGAAAAAACCGGGATCGAAACTTCAATAAACATAGAAGAAATGAACATTCAATAGTTTATTAAATAATTAATAAGTGACCTTATTCCCAATAAAATAGTTAAGTTTATATATATATATATATATATATATATATATATATATATATATATTCTCTGTTTTCGCACAATAAAAGCTATTTTCATTTCATTCATATGTAACCATTTCACCAACTTCACTCTATCCTCGACCGACATGCTCCTCTTATCACAAAAACCATCCGATATCCTCCAGCTCCTTGGCTTACCCCCGCTTTGAGGGAGTGTATGAGAGAAAGAGATGCTGCAAGGCGACGGTTTAAACGAACTCGACTTCCTGATGATTTTCTCTCCTACAAACAGCTTCGAAATAGCACTCAATCAGCAGTACGCCGTGCTAAATCCCGTTACTACCATCATTCCCTATCCAACTCTCCCAATACCAAGGCTACGTGGGCTATTCTTAGAAAACTGACCATTGGTAATACACCCCAGTCTCAGTCCAATTCCGTTTCTGCTGATAACCTCAACGCTCACTTTGTCTCCTGTCCTCTTGCATCCACATCTCCCACGTCTAGTCTGGCTCCTATGTTCTCTTCCTTTAATCCTAATCACTTCTTTCTTTCCCATATTACACCAGATGAGCTCCTTAAATCCATTCAGAAGTCCCATACCAATGACTACGGTCCCGACAACATCCCAGTCAGACTGATTAAAGCCGCATTGCCATCCATTCTTCCGATCCTTTATCATATATACAATTATTCTCTTCAAAATGCTACCTTCCCTACATCCTGGAAAACCGCCCTAGTACGCCCATTGAAGAAGACTTCAAACCCATCAGTTCCTAATGATTTCCGACCGATTTCCCTCCTTTCAAACCTCTCAAAACCATTAGAGCGGTTAGTCCAATCCCAGCTATCCCATTTTTTAGAGGACAATAATCTCCTAAATCCCTACCAGTCTGGATTCAGGCCTGGTTATTCTACTCAGTCTGCCCTAATCAAAATTTCCCAAGACCTTCACACAGCCATAGATCAGCAGAAACTAACCATCCTTATTCTCCTAGACTTCTCCAAAGCTTTTGATTCAGTAGACCACAACATCCTCCTAACCAAACTTAAAAATATCTCTTTTTCTTCTAGTTCCCTTAATTGGTTCCAATCCTTCCTAACCGGTCGCTCCCAGTACGTTGTAATTCCTAATAACCCACCATCAGAATCTCTACCTCTGACCAGAGGCGTCCCACAAGGCTCTTCCTTATCCCCCACCCTTTTCTCCATCTATATAAATGACCTCCCATCCTCTATCCTGCACTGTCATTACCACCTGTATGCCGACGACATTCAAATTTACCTCTCCTTTAATCCGACAGATATCTCAGATGCCACTCAAAAACTTCAGGAAGATATTGACAGAATAAGTGCTTGGGCAAACCTCAATAGGCTCACTCTGAACGCCGAGAAGACAAAAGCCATCTTGATCGGATCCCCTTCACTCCTCAAATCCTCCCCAGTATCTCCCAATCTCTTCCTGAACAACTCACCTATCTTATTCTACACCACCGTTAAAAACCTAGGTGTTACTTTCGATCAATCCCTATCCTGGAAACCTCACATCTCCCAAATTTCCCGTCGCACTATCTCCACCCTAAAACAGTTCAATCGTCTACGATATCTCCTTCCATATAAGTCCCGTCAACTCCTAGTTTCCGCCCTTGTTTTCCCCCACTTCGACTACGGCTGTATGGTGTACGGCGGACTCCCGGGAGATTCCGAGGCCAAACTTAAACGCCTAATGAATTGCGCACTACGATTTGTTTTCGGAATCTCAAGGGATACGCATATTACCCAGTATTACACTGAGTTGAGGTGGCTCTACCCATCCTATCGCCGTCAGTACTTCCTAGCCACCTTTCTGTACCAAATTATTAGAACCCATCGACCCTCCTACATTTTTCACAGCTTACAATTCAAATATTCCATCCAATCCCGTCCCACCAGATCTCGTACTTCCGACCTCTATCCTCCTCCTCACCGAACTGCTGCGTTTGACAAATCCTTTGCAATACAAGCCGCCTCCCTCTGGAATTCCATCCCACCTGATATTCGACACGCTCAATCAGTTTCCTCGTTTAAACCACTCCTCTTTAAGCACCTACTCCTTTCTCAATCCGAATGATTGTGAAATATATCTAAGAGAAATATCTGAGCACCACCAGAGACTACCTCAATTTATTAAGATTATTTTAGTTTCTCATATATATGTACAATTTACTTGTTCTCTTCTTTCTCTTTTCTGTATTTTTATCGTAAGTCAACTTTCATTGTAAATATACAACTCAATTGTAGCCACACAGACATATAATCTGTATTCATATTTTGTTCTTAAGGGACAACAGTCCCAGAATAATAAAACATTTTTTTTCATTTTCATTTTTCAACCATGAGGCATACAAAATATGTAAAATAACTTTGTACATTCTTTATTGTGTGTTTACCTTTAGACAGTTTAATAAGGATCACCAATATACCTTTAAAGAACAGGTAATATCACTATGCTTAAAATTTAAAAACAAATACAAAATATAATTTTTTTTTTCCTGTTCCATAAAAGGTCTTGGGTTCAGTACTATTTAGGGAAAATACTGTTACAAGGCCAACGGTGGTACAGGGAAGGGATCGGACCAGGATCACACTCAACTGCCAGGTTTTCTCCCTTAATCAATTATTTAATTAAGGGTACTCACTTTGTAGAGGCTGGGTGTGCCACAGGAGGGTCTCCCTACCTCAGAATATAATATACTAAATATACAATATAATATAAATATATAATTATAATATAAAATATAAATATACAGAATATAAAATATAAATTTATTTACCCTAAAATCATCCATGAGGCCAAGTGTTTTGGCTGCAGATCTATAAGCTATTTTTGTATTATATGGAATTCTTATAGCACCACTTTGAACAATGTTCCCAGATCGAAGTTCCTGATGGGATACGATTGGACTTTCATAAACAGCCTTGACAAAACTTGAATCATAATTATCCTGTAATAAAAATTATAATTTATTAAGCTTCTTTGGTACAACTGACTAATATGAAATTATCCACACCATTTGCAGCCTAGATATAATATATATCTAGTAATTGAATGAGTAACTGCCCCCTAAGAGATCACATTACCAAAGGAACTTACTGAGGTCAATCACTCTCTTTAGAAATCTCATCGTTGAGGAGGAGCATACTGATTGAGCCTGAGAGCAATGAGCCTATATCATGAATGAATTAAAGAATTTTTTTTAGGACACAAAGATCCTAGAAGGTCTGATAACTTTAAAATCGAAAAACCAAACAGTATCTAATATATCCCACCGTGCCTTTTACACCTTAAAGTGACTAAATTACCTCTATCATCTATTTTCATTAGAAACTACTAAACTAGGCTCTTGGTTTAATATTAATAATTACCCCCTTTACTACAGTTGGATAGTAAATGGAGATGTCGCTAGAGATCTTTAAGCAAAAATAAAAGGTTTGATGAATTTCTTTTTACGATTCATGTTCAGGATCCATATTCAATGACGTCTTTGTTCCTGTTTTTATGAAGAGTTGAATGGCTTAATCCTTTCTATCAACCTAAGTATTCCCTTTCTCTTCATATCCAATCATTCCACATATCCAGGCTCTTTCAATTCAAATTCATTCTCAGATCTATATATTAGCCCATCAAACTGTGACTTCTGAAAGAACTTTCATTATTTGATACCCGTCTCTATGAAACTCCATCATTTTCTAGATTTTTTTCTCCAATACCTTTAAATCTGACAGATTCAATCACTTTCTACAAATCCAGTTTCAAAAAAAATTGTCAATAGGTGTTTCTGAAAATATTATATAAATTATAATTATTTAAGTTGACATTTCTTTCTTTCTTTTTTAAAAAAAATTATTAATGTAAGAAGTAAATTTATGATTAATTATTTCTATTCGTTTAATTTATTTTTATTTAATTCTGAAATCCAAACAATCACAATTATGTTATTGTATTTAATTCTGAAGAAATATATAGTTAGGAATATTAGTCAACTAGAAAAACCAATGAATCTTCACAGCTTTTTCACCGTCCTTTAGTAGAAAATAAATGTGTTCCAGATTTCAAATGGGCTTTTAGTTTGAATAAACCATTTATATTTCCCATTTTTCTTCAGTTAATTAGATAAAAAACATATTTTTTTTGTAAAACTTCGAATAATTTTGTTGACCACTTAGTTGCGAAGACCATTCATTGTTTTTGTCAAAAGAAATAAAATAGTGCGACTACAGAGAGCAGCAATCTTTATGAATTACATAATACAATCAATAAGAGATAATTTATAAACTGATAAAAATTTATAATACCTTCAGTAAATAAGTCAAATTTAATTTGGTGAACGGCACATATTTGTCATTGAGATGGATGTATTTCAAGTGTTTTTCATAAAAAAGACCACTGTTAAAAAAAAAATAAAAATTCGTTAACAGTCTGAATCAGAAGAAAAATAATTAATTTTTATAACATAAATCTAATTAATTATAAATTTATAAAAGATTTAAAATTAATGATTAAAGTAGTATTATATAGCAAAACAATCTCACTTGCTGACTCCAATTTTTCCAAAAGTTCTAGTCCTTGAAACCTCTGGACGTATACAAGCACGGCCTTTTCTTTGTTCGGGTTGTCTTATCCAATCATCCCAATAACTACAGAAATTAAAATAACTTAATATAATGACTTTCAAGATGAAGAATATCCATGAATTTTCTTGAATAAGTAAGATTTATTTTTATTTCAATAAGTACTTCTGTGAAGCACACTTCAACCACAAACCTGAGGGGCCATTTAGGAGATAGTTCTGACCACAAGGATTTTGTTATCATCCAGCCAAGACCTGGAAAGAAGTCTGTCCTATGGAGTAACTCTGGCGAAGATGTGTCAATAAGCTCAAGTTTCCCATTATCATTCCAGGCTGACACACACCAAAGAGATGGATCTTGTTTCAGAAGAGGTAGTGTAGCAAGGAAGTATGAAAATAGATCAGGAGATACATCCAAGTCATCTAAAGAAATATCAACAGTTAGCTTTATTTGTAGTGTCTCAATAAACATAAATTATCATAAAATGTATTTAAATGAGCCTTTGTATTGACAGAATGACTAACATTTTTTAACACTCCAATTTCAACATTTTTGAGTAAAGTCCTTTTAGAGATATTTCTAGTTGGAAAGTTATAATATCTGAACAGACAGTGAGTAAGTTGATTCCAGAATAGGCGATTATAGTATTGAAACATAGAACTGTGAATAAAGATATCAATTTGCCCACTAGAAACATCATTAAAATTAATAATAAAAAATATTGAGATTGGAGTTAGACATTCTGTTAACTGAAAGGCTCAAATAATGAACAGATTTTCATTGTCGTAAATTATGATACATATAAGTATAAAGAAATAAAAATGGGCAATGAAATTCAATGAAAATATACAACAACTAGTTTTTGTATATAATGAAGACTTAAAAAAAGAGTAAAAATGTTAATTTTTTATATAAAAACTATCATCTAATTTTTTCACTATAAACAGTATTGAACATCAAGAATCTTGGATTATAAAAAAGAAGTAGAGGAAACAGGTGAAAAAAGATTTAATTGTATCATTAACGATTACCTGGGAAAATTTAATAGAATTTTAAAATCAATTCGACTGGTGAATTTCCTTCTTATGCTTTATTATTGAAAATTTAATGATTTGTTTTAAAATTTAATTTAAACAACTGGTGTGGGCGGGTGGGAGAAAAAATTTGAGACTCCCAAAAGACACTTTTCTAAAACCAACTCAGAATGAGCTGTATAGTTATGTGAAACTGAAAGGAAACATAAAATATGACAGGGATGGTGGAAATGTTGAGACTCCCTAAAAGACATTTCTACAATACTAACTTAATTAAGACTTAAATTTTCAACCCTCTATCTTGTGGAGCAGTAGAGAACATGAAAAAACCATATGCGAAACTATACAAAAATTTCCACTGAAATTTACTCAACCTTCTGTGGCACTGTTGAGCCTATAAACTAACCTTACATACTTAATTTCAGCTCATTTAGTTCAAAGATGACCGCAGGATGTGTCCAAATTTAGAGAGGGAAAAATATAAGTTAGGCATCACCGAAACCAATATAATCATGATCATGGGATTACGAAACAGAAATTAACTGCAACCACACCCTCCCATCTTCCAATCATCTTGGATTCAGAGAAAACGTGATGAAAAAAAATCAATCCAGTTTAAATAAATTGAAAAAAAAATAACTTATTCATTTGACTTTTATAATTCAAAGCAGCCTTACCTTCAATTATAATAGCAGTAGTGAAGTTGTAAACATGAAATGTCTGATTAAGAGCCCAGCCATAATGCCTTGCAATCTTGAAGTAACCTTTGAATTTTTTCTCTTTAGGTGGTACAAAAATTTCTCTTTGATCAGGTTGCTAGGTAAAAATATTCAATAATGAATCAAAGATCGCATTAAAATAATAAAGTATACACTAAAATATAAAATAATTTGTCCCTTTAATTAAGACAGTCCTTACTTTTATGTGAAAAACTTGACTAGAAAAAGCAGAAATTGCCTGAGATGTTGCTTCATGCTCACAATCTTGACTCACTATAATTGGGAACTGACTGGGTGACGGACGGTATCTAATTAATTGTTCCAAACACCTGGTGACAGTCGGTCTGTTGCAGGCGAACACAAGAACTGCTACAACACCATCACCTGCAGTTCCCTATGGTAAAAGTTACTTATAGTATGCCTCATAAATCCTAAAAGTTATATTGCAATAAATTTTAAGATTGGAAATTTTTATTTTCAAATTTTTTTTGGTCATTTGAACTTAATGATTTTCATATTACTAATTTTCAAAACATTAGTAATTAAAATAGTAGATATAATAAAGCAATGTACAACTAGAAATAAGATATGAACTCGAAAAGAAAATTTAATTATTATTAGCCTGAAGTTAATATTAAACAACTACTATTTATATACCTGTAGTCTTCTCTCATCTTCTTTTCTCGTTTCTTCAATAGCTGCTGCCTTTTCTTCTTCTTCTATTTTTCTGGCTTCAACTAATTAAACAAAAACTTTCATCATTATCATCTATTTTAATTTACATATTAATACTAATGAATAAACAATTAAACTAGTTAAATGGGATAAAATTAGTGATTGAATAAGGAATGTTAGATTATAAAATAAATAAATAATTAATTATTTTTACAATGAACTATCACCTTGCCGTGGTGGGGAAGCTCAGTATCCATGTTAAAGCTAAGGATAACTCATCATTACTGATACATGGCATTATAACCATCTTGAAATGTAGGAAATAACTTTCCAGGGTTGGAAGGGACTCCAAAATCGTAATGAAGACAGCCCACCAAGGGGTTGAAGACCCCAAAATCTAGCTTCCTCGTCCTCCAGGTTCGGGATTAAATCAATGGGTTAGCAACTCATCATAAAGAAAACTAACAAAAATGCTTTCAGACCAAACATAAAAAAGCCGGATGGATCTAAAAGGTTATGACTAAAGTGCAGGAAACGGATTTTACGCATAGAAACATGGAACATACAATGGTTAAATACAAAGAAAAGGGAAGTTGAGGAGGAAGTGAAAAAACAAAATTTGGACCTTATGGTCCTGACGGAAACCAAAATTAATTAATTTTATAATCCAAGATAAATATAGTGAGAGATGTAGACAGTATATGTATTTTGTCAAAGAAGTGAAGAAACATGTAAGGACAAGAGCTGGAGTCTTAGTGCTCATCAAGAAAACTTAAAAAAATAACTTAAAGGACTTTGAATGCATTAACGAAAGAATAATTAAAGTTGAGATGCATATGTTTAGAAAAGAGGTAATTATATAAGGACTATATGCATGAACGGATGATACTTGCACAGTTGAAAAAGATAAATTCTACGAAGAGACTATAGAAAACATCCCTAACCATAAAGTTCTTTTCTGTATAGGGGACCTAAATGCTAAAGTTGGTAAAGAAATGCAAAGTGACATATTAAGCTAATATGATGAAGATGAAGATTTTGAATGATAATAGAATCGACTAAGAAGCTTATGTCTCAATGCTAATTTAAGAATCATGAACGGATTCCTTGAGCATAAAAACATTCATAAATATAATAGCCACCAACCGATAGGCAATCTGAATAGTATTATAGACTAAATCATTGTGAGGAAAAATTCAGTCATCACTGTAAATGATGTTAGAACCATGAGAGGCCCAGATCACTACATGGTATGGGGTCTTGTGATGTTTAAGATCACTACATGGTATGGGGTCTTGTGACGTTTAAGATCACTACATGGTATGGGGTCTTGTGACATTTAAAGGGTTTAAAACAACCAAAGGCAAACTAACATATCCTTAGGAAATCAAAACAAATTAGATAAAGTTTAACTAGATAGTCTATTACAAGACTCAGTCCGAAATCTCTACAAAAATAGAATGAGAAAAAAACTAATTGAAGAAGAGGACAATAAATATGAAAGTTTTAAAAGTTGTATCCATAAAGCAGCTTCAGAAGCTCTTGGCAGAAAAGGAGAAGAAAGAAGGGATAACAAATTATGTTGAGATATGGAATGTGAAAAAGAATAAAGAACACTATAAGAAATGGCTCTCAAACAAAAACGAGCAAACCCTTACAGAAAATAAAAATTCTAATAGAGAAATTAAAAAGATGAGGAAACGAGCAATCAGTAAGTTTTAGGATAGAAACTATGAACTAATCGATAGAAGTATGATGGGTCAACAAAACTGTCTAGTATGGAAGAGTTTAAAGACAATAAAACTAAATAAAACGAAGAGGACTGGACAGTATCTGCAATCAGTATGTTTCAAATCTACTCAAGAAAGAGAAACTAGCTCATATTACTCAACCAACAAGTAGGATAACAGAAAACTGAGATCAGGAGGGCTTTCTATCAATATCAGTTAAAGAAACAACTCTCGCTCTGAAGGAAAGGAAAAATCATAAATCTACAGGTCCAGATATCACAATAGTGCTAAAAAAAAAGGGACCTAAAGAAATTATCCAATCCCTTTCAATGACTCATTGCATAACCAAAAGTAAATACCAGAAGAGAGGAAAGTTGACCACATTACTCCAATCTTTAAGAAAAGTAATAAAAAAGTTTGTTCGAACTATTGTGGAATAACAAGAGACAAGAAGCATGAATAGGTTATATAGCAGGATCATTAAACAGAGATTGGGATCATTACCCTTCCTTAATCGATTCTGAATACGTTGAATATCTCTTTGCCGAAATCCTCACAAACTCATCAGCCATTCTGTTTGCTCTCATATATCGCCCTCCTAGATATTCCTTTTGATGAATCATTTGAGACTTCTCTGTACAACTCAATCCCTTCCTACTTAAATGTCATCCTCCCCGGAGACTTCAACAGCAATTTACTGACATCATCCTCAGATTATTCTTACCTAACGAATCTCCTTCATTTTCTCAGCCTTTACATAGTACCCTACAATCCAACTCATCATACTTTGTACTCAGAGTCCTGGCTTGATCTGTTTATTTTAGATTCCTCAGACAAACTCCTTGCCGCTTCTCAGCACCCGGTCCCATTTCTATCTTCCCCATGATCTTATCCAGATCTCTTACAATAACCTTGTCTCATCTTTTTCACTCCGAACAATATCCTTCCGAAACCTATATTCTCTCACTCACGAAACACTGTCAAAAGATCTTGACGATATCCAGTGGGACCACATCCACTCCTTAAAATCCATCGACACCATGGTAGAAACCCTTACCAATTACCTGCACTCTATTCTCGATTGACATGCTCCTATCACAAAAAACCATCTGACATCCTCCCGCTCCTTGGTTTACTCCTGCTTTTTGAGAGAGTGTATGAGGGAAAAAGATGCTGCTAGGTGACGGTTTAAACAAACTCGACTTCCTGATGGTTTTCTCTCCTTCAAACAGCTTGCACTCAATCAGCAGTACACTGTGCCAAATCACGTTACTTCCATCATTCCTTATCCAACTCCCCTGATACCAAGGCCATGTGGGCTATTCTTAGAAAACTGACCATTGGTAATACACCTCAGTCCCAGTCCAATTCTGTTTCTGCTGATAAACTCAATGCTAACTATGTCTCCTGTTTTCCCAATCTGCTGCAAATGTTCTTGGATGTTGGACCAAGGTTGTTTGAGATTTCATTGTCATACAAATGATAATTCATTGATTGTCTGACATGGATTTGTTTCAACTTCCGCCTTTAATACTTCATTGTCTAATGTTGGTCTTCCTGATCGATACGAGTCGAAAAAATCAAAATTACCCAATTAGAACTTGAATATTCTCCACACCATCAAAACAATGAGGCTGAAATGGTATGGGCATGTGATGAGGATGGAAGAGGGACAATAGTCTAAACGGATTGGGATTGGAAATCGGAAGAAAGTTCGCCCAAGAAGAAACTGATATGAGGATGAAAAGAGAACAATTTTCCTCAGCTAGTAACAGAAGAAAACTAGTAAACTACTCTACAAAGAATTTGTGTATGGGTGGAAAGGAGCATTAGGGTCTGCAAAATTAAACTTTACAAGAAGAAGACCAGCTCTAAGGAGAGCGCTGGAAGGAAGAAGAGTAGAATAAGAAGCCATAAACAGCTGATCATAATATGAAAATGGGTCACATTGAAGGAGCAGACAATCAAGTGTAACAACCTAGTTCTGCAAAGCCCGTATTGCCTCAATGGTATGATAGGGTACAAATAAATAAAAGAAAGAAAGAAAGACATGATGAACAGGGTCATGCATGAAGGAGACTGGCAAGATAGAAGAAGATGGCAAAGACTTATATTTGGTGGCAACATATGGCCAATGTCATAAAATTCATGAAGTAAAAAAATATTTTTACAAATATTAGCCTGATTATTTTTCACAACTTCCATTTACTAGTTTAATTTATCAAATATTTTCATATACTGTTGAACATATCACACAGTCGCTTTGTCCTCTTAAAATATATTTTTTTTTAAATATACTACTGATCATAATACCTTATAAGTATTTTCATGCCTTGCCATAAAATATGGTACTATCTAAGATAGAATACCTATATTAATCGACTTAAGACATATTCTATAACAGTATACAGTGAACTGGAACATAACTCATTCTCTGATAAGGTTTCATTAACCATATGATTCAACTTTTTTAAATTAATCAAAAAAGAACATTAAATAACTTAATATGATAATATCAAAATGTAATTATAAATTACTTTGTTCATGAACAGCATTTTTCACATTTCGCATAAGCAATGCATTGGCTTTTATTTCTTCTTTGATATTTGTCTCAAGCTGAATCAGACTAAATCCATCATCAGGGGATACAACCTAGAGAGAGAGAGAGAGAGAGAAAAATGAAATATATATTAATAAAAGAAAAAGAAAACAACAATAAAAGTGACAAGACAGATAAAGCATTCAATCAAATAAAATTATCAGCCATTCATACGTTTAAAAGAATATTGTGGCTAAATTAATATCAGAGTTGTATGTATTGCGATGATGCGAGGCGAGGGCTTGTATTAATTATTATTTATGCAATAATATTTCCTAAACAAATGCAGAAATCATTATTTAATTATGAGGATTTTGCATAAAATCTTAAGGCCATAAACAAAATAAATAATAAAATACTGTACAAACTTCATTTTCATTAGAAAGTATTTACGTAATCATAATAACCCTTCCTTGTGGTTCAAGAATTTGAACAAACATCGAAGAAACAATTTTTCACTGAAACTGAACAACACTGAATGCTGCAGACATTTCATATATTAAATATTATTATTTCTAAAATCATCAGATTTCTAATGATGTATTATTCACTAGACATTACTGATATTGTTTCTGAAAATTTGTTTCGAATCTGGGAAAACTTTTTTTTTATTTAATTAATTATCAAACTCCTTAATAGTCTATATTAAACCATTTTTTATTGCTATTAACAATAAGATACTGTTAAATATTTCAAATAAAAAAATTAAAGGTACTTTAGAAGAAGAAATTTTGAAAATTAGGCATTTAAGCGCTATAAGATTATTTCAATAAGGACCAGCCCAAGGTAATATTAAATATTTAAATGTACAATTTTAATGTAACTAGTTAAATTAGAATTGTTACAGCCCTTTTTAGAGAAAATCAATATCAATTTTACAAAATCAAGCTTAAGTCAATTTTAACTACAAAGATGCTATAATATCACAGGCCATTCACAAAAAGAATATTTTGAGAGGCATGCTTATTTGGATTGAAACTGTATCACTACTGCCCACAAAGGGTTTCGGATTAAGTACTTTGTTAGGAAGTACTTTTTCAAGGAAAGCAGTAGTGTAGGAAGGTGATCGGGCCAGGATCACACCCAAATACCAGATTTTCACACATAATTAATTAAGAGTACCCACTTTATAGAAGTTGGGTATAGCCCAGGAGGGTCTCGGGACCCCAGGGATGATCTATAGCTGATAAAAAATTATTAGATATCAGCTAAATGTCAACCTGGGACCTTGACCTTGAGTTTGGCAAATTGGAATTTTGAGGTTCGTTTCCTTAAAATGTGTATTTGCATTGAAAACTCTGATTCAATATTTTTTACAATCACAATATTTTCATTTCTATATATTTCATAAATAAATAAGGGTAAGTAATTAGAATATGATTACATTATTTTTATGGATGATAAATAACAAAGGCCATTTAGTGCAACTCATTGGATTTTCTGGGGCCACGTGTACATATAATCTTTTACATATACGTGTACATATAATTATGAAACAGTCAACCATTTACCAATTATACATATAATTTTTATTTTAAATTTATATTTAGATTTAAGCACCAATAGCGGATTCAGCATTTTATTTTTTTGTGGGGGGAGGAGAGAGTGCAACCTTTTCTTCCCTTTTTTAGAGTTTTTAATAATAGTAATTACTCGAACAATGATGCTTTTAGAGATAATTTTTTCTTGACATATATTTAAATAAAGCAGCTAAAGTACATGATGCATAATAATTTAAAAAAAGAGAACATAATGTGGTTCTTAAGGCATTTGACGCAGTCACCCACAGAAACAAATATGGGAATTTTTTTTATTTTTTTTTTTTGGCGGGAGGAGGGTGTGGAAGAGCTTCAGCTCCTCTCTCCCAATGAATCAGTTAGTGATGACACTTAGGAATAAGGGTATGATAACTAATTATAATGTTTTAATATAGTTTTTTTAATTTAAATATTTATTTGATCTCGATGGGTTAAAAAAATATCATCATGGGTTGATGGCCACTTACTTAACAACCCCGTTGTACATATTTCATATTTCAACAAACTGTTCAAACCATACCACTAAAAACAAATCACTAATTTTTAACATTTAGAATTTCTCTAGATTTTAAGATAAAATATTATGTTAAAAAAATTATGTTTAGATTACACCATACCATTAAAAAAAACACTAAAAAAGTTTTCTTAGAATTTCTCTGGGGTATAAGATAAAATATGATGTTCACAAAATTATTCAAAAATTAACTTTCTACATATTCAATGAAAGTTAGACAATCAAAGAAAATTAATTATAAAAATATTGGTAACATTTTCGAGCATCTGTTTTAAATAAAAATAATAAAGAAATGATTTTTTCAATTAAAAATCACAATATAAAAGTTAGCATAAAACATTATTAGTAACTTATGTAAAAATTATAAAACTTAAATATACCAAAGTAATTAAATATGAAGTTGTTAGTTAAAAAATCTTTGAAAATTAATCTCAACTAAAGTAATAAACCCATTTATTTTCCTTTACTACTCCTAGAAAATTTAGGTCAAGGGGGGGGGACCTCAATCAATAAAAAAAAACTTAAGTAATCTTAGGGAAGTACAACTGTCATGATTTTTTTTTTCTTTGATGTTTCCTGAAAAACTGAGTTACTGTTTACTGAGTATTTATGTGTTACAGAAATTGCAAAAATATGAGATCCATTTATCTTAAGGACTACCTCACTTCGATCCTTAAGATGACATTAGTCATCCATTATGACACTTGATAAAGTAACTGCACTATTTATCATTATATAAAGGATATTGAAGTTACTACTGTAATTAATGTTATTAAATGAATTATTAAGAGAAAGAAGGAATTAAGAAAAAAAAATTTTTTCATAGAAAATGTTATCTTTTGGACCAAGGTTTATCACTTGGTGGTAAAAGAACTAAGTTATTATATCGGCATACTCTTTATTGATATATTAGCTTAACTCTTTTCACCGCAAAACAATGGGCCTTGTTCCCAATGATAAGATAGCGCATAAAAAAAATACATACTTTTTGACTTAGCTCTCTTCACCATTTCATGATAAAAATATAATGACTCTATTTTGATTATTCACATTGATTTATGAATATAAAAAAAATTTCATACCACTTTTCGCACAAATCTAACATTGTTTTCACTATGTATTTTACTTGTTTTTCTTATTTATGTAACTTTATTTACATTATGTGTGTCTGTGTATACATATAATTTTTTTTTGTCATTTAAAAATTGTATTTTGACTAATGTAGAATACTGTCTTAAAATTGTTTATTTCTGATCAATGATTCTGTATATATTACAATTTCTTTTCTAATTTTTGTTGTTGTTGTTAATATATGAATTTTTGTAGTAGTAAATATAATATTCTACTATTCATATATTTTTTACTAATATAACTATTTTTTTTAATTTACGGTATTGGGCCTTTTGACCAAAAATAATCTATTTTTAGGTGTCTTATTGTAATTCTCATGAGGACTTTGTATTAGAATAAAAATATTTTTTCTGACTTATAAATTATAAACAATTCTCAAATTAATCATAATAAATTATTTTTTATTCATTTTATAGCACGGTTATAACTAGTTTCCACAGTTACCGAACTTGAAACTATATACAGTTCAGATCCCTTGGATTAGATTTGCTAATCACCTTATTTGTTATAAATATTCAAACTCACCATTCATTGACAATTTTAATACAACACTCTTAAAATAGAAGGTAGAAGCTCATAAAATTCATTACGAATATTGTTTCTTAAGTTAGATAATCAACTTTTCGTATCCTTAAGGATTTATTGTTTCCACATCCTTTATTAAGTATCCACATTGTTATACATAATGTATGTAATATGAGATGACACTAACAATTACTTAACTATCAATTTAGTTCAGGGGTCTCAAACACTATGCCTTTAAGCACCAATTTGCTCATCTTATCTGCGACTTCGAACTAAGGCAGGCAGTAACTCCATGAAGCAGTGTTCCTTTTCAACAAGCTTTTAAAATAAAATATTTAATACTTTTTTTGTAAATATAATTGTATGTATTTGAAAATAATGATTTATTTATACCATAGAATTTTAGCAATATTTACGAGTCAATCTTTTTTTTTTTTTATCAAAAACTAAATTATAATATTAGAAATTTTGCACTCTACGAATCTGATGACTAGTTATTTGTGATCATATGCTCGTATCTTACTTTATGGTTCCATATTATCCAATTCTACAAATCATGAACCGGTGACCAATGAAATACAGTGCAATGATGCAGTATTTATATTTATTATAATGAAAGTATATATTTTTATATATACTGTTAGATAAACATTTAATTTATGCAAGAATATAAGTAATATTTTTTTAAATGTTAATATTATTCTTTTTTGTTATTATTATTATCAAACAATGAAAAATCTAACACAACAAAATTGGTGCCTGCTACTTGACTATTAACCATAAATGTGCCTTCAAGTAGAAAAAGGTTGAGGACCCCCGCCTTAGTTCCACTCACATGGAAGGAAATAAAAGTTATAGTTGTCATTGTATTTAAGTTATAGAGCTATAATTAAAGACAATAACAACAACTTTCATTCTTAACAGTTGAAATAACCATTAATAGAAAATTAAATTTAAAACAAAACTGTAATCGGATTCTGAAATACAACAAATATTCAATGTTAAGTGTTATTGAGTAAAAAACAGAAAAAAATGTATTAGTAACATAAAATAAGCCAATATAATAAATCTACGAATTTCATCCTCTTGTTTGTAGACAATTGCTGCAACCTAATATGAATTTTTGGAACAGTAGCATGGTCAACTTTAATCTTTTAAAAAGATTGCTTAATAGAAAGCAATAAAATAATAATTATAATATCTCATACAAACGAAATATTACTTACAAAACCACTTGTGGGTCGATTTCTTAAAAGCACATATATTATGAAAACCCAAGTCAATAGAGAAAGCAGCAAAATGACCACCAAATGGTTACGCCTCATCTCACTGCCATCGCATCTATAACAATAATGCAGAACTAGTATCTGTACAAAATACTCATAATATAAATCTGATTTCAGATATTTAAATTACAAAGGACAACGCAATAAATAACTGCAATTATTTATTATATATATTTATATAATTTAAAAATCAAAATGCCATGTTGTAAAGCATCAATAAATCAATCATTTTTCAAAAACCACAAATCAGCGTAATGAAATTTTGTTAATTAATTGAAATGTTCATAGCTTGAACACAATCCTTAGAATGAACCAATTGTTTCATTATAAAAGTTCAAATTTATAAAAAATTAATTCTTAGAAAACATTGCAATCAAATCGCTAGTTATAAACTATTTTTGAATAGATCATTGACCCATCCCTATATAACGAAATTGAAGTTTTCTTTAAATATTTACCTACTGTATATGCTCATAATTTATTTATACCAATTGAAAAATCCAAAAAATCGCATGTGATACAAAAAGTAAAAAACCTTCTATTTATTTTATCTGTTTTAATTTTGCTACAGCAAAGGAATTATTAAACACATCATTTAATATAAGAATTTCATTTTAAATGTGGTCACAAAATATAATAATATTTCTAGGAGAAAGTATGATATGCATGGATGAATATAAAATTTAAAATAGATAATAGAAAGACATCAAAATCAACATTTACTTAACCATCTCAAATTAAATTTATTTTTTTCTAATTGAAAAAAAGAAAATAAAATGTAATGACATTGACAGTATGATAATTTATTTGGCAGATCCATAACATCCCGATGAGCACTGATTAAAATCAAGCAACAAAATTGAACACTTTTAAATACAAGATAACATTGTGTTACAAATAACTGGACAAATAGTTAATAATAATCAACTACAATACCATATTTAATATTGTAATGTTAAAAAATACATAACAATAAATAAATTATATTATAACATAAGTGATACATCACAATCAACACATGACATAAAAACATCACCACAACTCATTATCTGTTGATAAGAAAATTACTGTTCCTTATAAAGAAAATATTATTAATTGAAAAAGTATAGGTATAATCTTTAGTGGTACATATGAATCAAATGACATAATTTTTACAAGAGATGACACCTACTATGGATATGGAAAGCATAAATCTGGAAGCATTTGTTAGCAGCTTATCAAGCAGAGAACCAACTAATCAGAAACACTGGGCAGTCAGGCAAAACCAATCTTACAAATCGACACATACAGGAGTTAATTTTGATCATTCTGATAGGGATATATAGGTTAACCAAGGCTCTAAGCGCGATCTATTTTTGACATTCGACAAATGATAAATTTTAACTTATTTCGACAGATTACACTAGTGTGTTTCTACTAAGAGATAAGAATTGAAGGAGGTAACATTTAACCTCAACCAATTTTAACTAGAAAATTAATTCGTTTCCTTGTAAATCATTATTCTAATGTATTCAATTTAAATTAACAAAACACCGCACAGAAAATAAATTCATTTCTTTCAAAATAGTTCCTGAAAAAGAAAAAGAATCTCTAATAAATATTATAGTTTTTAACTGTAATTAAATACAATTTTTAAAATATCAAAATATCTACAGCCAAGTTCTAAAGGCGTGAAAAACTTTTATTTTAAAACTAGATTTTCTGTTGGATTACGTTTTGTTTTGTAGTTCTGAATATGAATGAGCTGAAAAGCTGAAAACCACACATAACTTGTTTTTAAAAAATGTTTCAAACATGTCGTGTTAAATACAATTAACGAATACTGTTAATTAATTTTAAGAATTAGGAGGAATTAGTAGGAGAAGCAGACAGAGACTGACAACCATAAAGAAGAAGGAGCGAATAGCAGCTTGAAGGAGGTGTCCGCAGAGTGGTGACCGCATTCTGGTGAATTGCAGCGTAAGGAGTGTGGCGGTCTGCTTATCGTCCGATTAGAGCGCGGGGTCCGGTGTTTGGTGAATACAGAAAGTTCCAGCGCTATCCTGAGCCGAGGAGCAGCGAAGAAGCTGAGTTGCTGCAAGAACATACTCCAGACTCCAGGTAATGGCATGTAATTGCAAATTAATTACTCTGAGTGGCTCTTGCGAAGTACAGGGGAAAGAAGGGTAGGGCTGGATAGGTGGTCGGTGCCGAGAAGGAACTAAGAGTGCATGTTGTAGACACTATGTTGCTAAGATATGAAGGGATCGTTGGGTGCGACTTATTAGAGAAAGTAGGGACGTGGATTAGAAATAACAGTGGGTGGTGGACTATCCGAATAGAGAAAAAGAAGTACAGATGTTATAGGAGCGTAAGGAATAGTAGAGTTCGAGTAGGCGCTTTAACAGAGCAGAGGATTGGATAGGAAAGGTGCGCTACGAATATGAGGACATATTCTATAAGAAGGGGGATAAATTAGGAGTAACAGGGGAAACCGTGCACGAAATTCCGCTAAAAGAGAAGCGCGTAACCTACGGAAAGTAAAGAAGATACCCGCAGGCATTAAAGGAGCATATAAGAGCCAAAATATAAAACCTTAGGGCGCAAGGGATTATAGTGGACAGCACTTCACCGTATAATAGTCCACTCTGGGCGGTAAAGAAGAAAAACACGACGAGAGAACAGAAATACAGGGTGGTTATAGACTACCGAAAATTAAACGAGAATAGGAGGGATGAAAAATATTCTATACCGAGATTTGAGGATAATCTTGACAGACTTAATGGCGCGACAGTGTTCAGTACCCTTGATCTAAAAGTGGGGAATCGTCAAATTAGAATGCATCCCAGGGACCGGTGTAAAACAGCATTTACATTTCAGCACGGGCATTACGAGTTCACAAGGTCGCCGTTTAGACTAAAGAATGCGCCCATCACATTTCAAAAGTTGATGGATGAATTTTCACGCGGAATTGATGAGGATATGTGGCAGGTAGACGACTCGCTTGTATTCAAAACGGAGCAAAATGTGGACCACTTAAAAAGCGGTTTTGAAAGAATTTGAAAATTTGGGCTAAAATTATCGGCCGAGAAATCGCGCTTAGGCAGTACGAAATTATGTTTTAAGGCCATACTATTACAAAAGAGGGAGTAAATCCGGATAAAGTGAAATTTGAAGCAATTTCCAGGATGACGATTCCACACGACGCGAAGACAATAAGAAAGCGGTTAGGATCTAAGAACTATTACCGTCGGCTTGTCCCAGAAATGGTGGAACATCTAATACCGATTAACAATTTGTTGAAAAAAGGGCAAACAATTTACATCACCTCTAAAATGAAAAATAACATCCGCAGGTGGGTGGTTAAATTAAAAGAATCTTCCACGCGTATTACTAGATGGAAGGAGTTTCTCGGACAGTATAATTTAGAAATTATGTACAAACCAGGGAAAGAAAATGTAGTGGTGGACTGGTTGTTCCCTGCAATTATGATAAATGCAATCGAGAAAAACAGATATCCATCCAGAAATATCCGGTAGTTTATACAAGAATGGACACTAGAGGGAGAGGATGAATATAGTACGGGTAGTGGCAACCAGACGGACGAGCCACAAGAAGAGGAGGCCTCCGATGAGGATAGGCTTAGAAGAGCTCGAGGAGATCATTAATGATAAAAACGTCAAATAATATGGAAAACTAGGACGTCAGGGCTTTTGAAAGTTGAGTATTCCCGGTACGGGAAGAGTGGCCACTGCCATTTGCTTACAACCAGAGGTCAATGAGGATCTTATCAGGAGGACGCCAAAAGAGTCATCAAAACCATGGGGGACTTGCCATCTTTACGTGGGAAACGCCACAGTGTGGGATAAAATTAAAAGATTATGGTGAGTGAAATAGTTAGGAATGGACCGAACATTTATTAAATGCAAATCAATGGTAGAAACTCTAAGAGAAATCGAGCGCCAAAAAGAGTTAACACTTGCATACCACCAAGGAAAAACAAATAATCGGGGTATTCCAGAAACAATCCAAGCGTTAAAACAGGGGTATTTTTGGAGGGAGATGGAAAAGACCGTACGTGAAATCATCGGGGCATGTGAGGTTTGTTTGACCACCAGATATGACCGGCATCCTCCGAAATGGATACAGGATGAGACATTCACTGCGGAGACTACACTGTCCGATATCCAAATAGACACGTTCTCTTGAAGGGGGTATAAATGGATCTTTTCAGCAAGGTGTTGTATGCATTTAGTCCGAGAAAAGTCAGCGAAGGCGGTATTAGGAGCCTTGCGACTATGGTTTCGTCTTTATGGGATGCCGGAGCGGAGCGAATTTCGTCCGACGGAGGTTTGGAGTTCGATAACTCGCAAGTGCGGGAAGAGGCGAAACAGATGGATATAGTTAGGAGATTCAATACCCCCGGGCATCCCAAGAGTAGAAGCGGGATCGAGTGGCTACACGGAACGTTGAGCGACCATCTAAGGATTTATGAGGCCGAAAAAGGTTGGACCCAGACGTGGCGATGGAAAAAGCGATAGCGGCATACAAATCCTCACTTCATTCGGTCACGAGGTTTTCGCCATTCTAAATTATCTTCGGGCTAAGAGAACGACTTAGAGATATCAAGGCTACGGTAATAAAGGAGGAAGTCGCGAACCATATGCTTAATAACCGCGTTTCATTAGGGAAACTATGGGGAAAAGCGCGAAGGAAAATTGAAGGTAAAAAGGGAAATCTTGTAACGAAAGCCAACCTTATAGTCCGAAATATTATGGACAAATCACAATTGGGACAGTAGTGTACAGAATACGGAGTTCTAATCGCGGGTAAGAGTTGTTATACGATTGTTATACTATTATTATCATGAAAACGACTTTCAATATTATTCAGGTTTAATATCTCCAGAAGGTAACTGGTGCTGAAACCTGTTTTATTTTTCAATTTAATTTGTAACTTTTAGCGTATGTAAATATTTTAAATTAATTTATTTGTATTTTTTACATAGTCTGAGGTTTAGAATACCTAGAATAATTTAAATAGAATACCTATTTTGAGGGATTATTATTATTTATTTAATGCACTAATTATTACTAATTAAACAGTGACACCCCCTCCATGACTCGTGGAAATCGGAAGGAATACATGGTTATTTGACCAGTAATAATTTGACCAGCAGTAATATATTTGACCCTACTATGGAGAACCTTTACTTTTATACTAGCAGAGTAAGAAATTAAAAATAAAATCTAAAGTGGTTGTCTGATGATGTTGGTTATTTATATTCCGGTTAAAAATGGTGTATTTACTCTAAAGTGAGGAAAATTTGTTAATCTTGTTGTTGTGATGAGCATTAAGCTTGAGGCAAGGACAAAGCGAATCAGGAAGGACGGACGTGATCTTGCAAGAATTACCTCTAAAAGACGTGGCAATACTTGAAGTCGTCTCATTTTTTTGAGAATGAATAACACGCATAATTTGTAAAATAAATTCACTTTTGATCTTCTTTTTAATTTATTGTTAAACTCTAAACATTTGATTAAATTTATATTTGTTAAATACATCATTAACTATTTTTTTTTCGGTTGGCTCTACAGACCTTGTAAATGTTTGGCCCCCTTAACAAGCCCTCTCCACTTCTGCTTTTCTTGGGCTACTGGTTTCCACTTTGCGGCATGAAGCTCAGGGATATCATTGTTTATCCTATCCACCCATCTGGTTTTTGGCCTCTTACCTACTATTCTGACATTTATTGTTGTGTAAAGACGTCCTGATGGATTACTTCCAGCTATATGCCCCGCCCATCTTAACCTCCTTGCACAAGTGGATCCAGGATTTGATTTCGGAAGGGCTTCATCCTGAAAGTTTTATATATATATATATATATATATATATATATATATATATATAAAAAGATAATTACTTTGGAGGAATAAGAAATAAGAAAGAAACTAACTACCTGAATGAAATAGTGTTAAAGTGATTCTTGTAATCCTATTGAATGTAATTACACGAACAATAACACTTTAAGAGATAATGTTTTTTTTTATACCTGTACCACTACAACCCGTGAAGGTACATTACTATTTAGGAAAAACACTGTTTCTAGGTCCAACGGTTGTGCAAGGAGGTGATTTGAACGAGATCACGCTCAACCGCCAGGTTTTCCCCCTTAATTAATTATTTAATTAAGGGTGTCCACTTTATAGAGGCTGGACGTGCCCCAGGGTCGCCCCACGGCTAATGAAACAGATAAATAAATTTTCTGTCATGAGCCGGGGTTCGGACCTGGAACCTTCAGCATTGGAAGCTCAGTACCCTACCACTGAGCTATCCCACTCCCCATTTTTTTTTCCATACGTCTTGGTTATATTTTACCTTTTTTAGGTGAGGGTTTCAGCCTGAACTCCCCTCTTCCCTCCTAGATCTGCCTGTGCTTCCTTGACTTCATATCATGAGAAATTGACTAACCAGTTTCTTTTAGCAGTTCTTTGTTGCTCCTTCCCCTCCATGTGTTAAGGTTCTGATCCCAGATAGGTGCTGTTATCCTACAGAGGACTTTTCTTTCGAAACTCTCAATTCTGCGTCCTAGAGGGCCGGTTTGAGCGCAGGTTACACAGCAGAGCTGGCTTTGTCACGGCATGTATCCTCTTACTTTGAGATTTCTGCATTTCCGTACCCTTGAAAGGGGTCAAACTTCAAAGGCTTCAGATACTTCTCCTTGTATTAGTATCCTGCATATAGAACCATTAGTACGCGCCTTGGTCAACCTCACTAATTTACCGGGAACACACAGCTCAGCCATGATCTTCCAAAGAAAGTTTCTGTAGACAGAGTGAAAGACTGGCTTTGAAGTCGAAAAATAAGGTGTGTACGTCCTCATATACTTTCCTTCGTTTTTCGATTAGTTATTTTAAGATGAATATTTTGTCTAGCCATAGCATAGTCTAAGGGAGTGATAATGATCGCGTCCGGTGTAACTAACACCAAGTGTTCCCTGGATATCTTTTAAACAAGAGAACCAAACGGTCACTACCACCTCCTCTGGTGGCCAAACCCATGCTTAGACCAATGACAAAACGGTCTTTTTAAAGACCACACCCCTCTCAAGATTATAACTTGGAATTCGGGGGGTTTGACTAATGATAAATTCATTGAGTTCAAAAACATGATGGCAAATGAAGACGCAGATGTTTACAGATACGGGCGGCTTCAGAATCACTGGACTTCTTTAAGCATCCTTGTTACCAGATGTATGCACTACCAAGACATAGAGTCTATTTCTCAGGAATCATAATCGCAGTGAAGCAGTCACTTAAAGTTTAAAGTGAAAAAAGTTGTAAACGATGTGGATAGGAAGGAAGTTGGAAATATGGAAGAATGGCAAGCACCAGTGCATAATTTTTGTGTACAATCCACCAAGAAATGAGCCCAACCTGGGATTCAAGATGTGTTCTCTGTGGTGACTTCATGCAACCTCAACAGGATGGGGGTTATGCCACCATAGATAGAGTGGGAAGAACAGTGGAAGAGTTCATTGACTCTAACCCAGTAGCTTACATTGAAAATGATGCATCTGCTCCCACTTTTCTATCTTATTTGGGGAATAGTTCTCAACCTGATCTAGTCTTTGCACACATTTACTTAAAACCAAATTTTAAAAAAATGAACTTTTATCTGCACCAGGAGGATTTGGACACAGTATTGTACCAAAAAAAATTCATTGAGAAACTTAAAGAAAAAATAAAAAGCAATAAATTGAGGTGGAACCTGAGGAAAGCCAATTGGGATGCTTACTCCAAACTAACTGATGAGCTGATCACTGCAGGACTCATCAAGGGGAACCCTGACTCTTCTCTCAACAAGATTAAAAAGGTACTCTTCAAGTAGGGGGCGGGGTGGCCGAATAGGCTAAAGCGTGTGTAACAGCACCGCTAGTTGCCTGGCAACCGGATAACAGAGTTTTGGAGTTTTGAGATGATATAAAAAGTAGGAGTTCTTGCTAAAAAAAAAAGTCAAGCGAGATAAAGCAAGATTAATGGCACAAAGTGGAGTGGCTCAAGATATTTTCATGTTGAAGCATAAGAGTGCATTATTAAAAAGAAATATAATAGATGCTAAAAGAACTTCATACAAGTCGTTCCATCAAAATCTTGACTACCGAAAAGATAGAACAGCTGCACATAAATTCTTATTCTGACTAAATAATAAAAAGTATAAATTCAATAATCTTATGAAATATGGAAATCTGGCTCTGGAAATTTCCAGATAGAACAGTCAGATCCAAAGGTCAATTGTATTTCACTATGGCAGACACCCAATTATTGCTCTAAAGCAAGATATTGCTCTGGATGATATATTTTATAACATGAATTAGAAATTTGACGATAGAGCACATTATTATTATTTTTAAGCCTTGCATCCACAAGATTATTAAGATTGTAGTTCTGAAGATGGGAGTAAATATTCCGAAACGTCAACATGTTAACATGTAACGTTGACAATATAAGAAATATATTCAATTGTTACCAATTGGAAGTAATTATTGGCAAATAACTAAGAATATTAGACAACTTCCCAGAAAAAAGAAATAAAAGCAGTTTTTCTAGTGTTAAAACTGATAAAAAGTCTAAACCGAAAAAAGTTATGGTTCTAATTGACTCGCAAGCTATAATAATTGTCGTTTTAAGTCCTTGCTGATGTTCCACAAATGAAATTATTATGTGCCAGGAATTGTTTGAAGAGCTGATTTTAGTACGCACAGATGTCGTTCCAAGACCAATTAGCAAAAGAAAGTTCTGGAGAAGATCAGCCAGATATGCCAATCCCTTTCTTGATGGCAAAGAAGCTAATCAAAACAATAATCACTAAAGAATTGGAACAGAAGCGGCAGTTAGAGTTAAAGGAGAAGCAATGGGCTTCATTACTAGAAGAAAATGGAAGAGTACCAGTGGATATCCCTAGAAGTTGCTGTTCAGGATGAAAACCGGACATGACTATCTCCAAAGCCATCTTTTCTGTATTGGAGTTGTCAAATCAGCAACATATCCACTGTGACGACAAGGACTCATGACTGTTCTGCATCTACTGACTTGTCTCGGACTACAGAACATTAGAAACAAAGACAGGACAGAAGGTGAAAAATACTAAGCTGCTAGATGGATGAGCTCAAGACGATCAAGGCATAAGATAAAAAAATAAATAAATGGTATAGTCTATAATTATATTTATATACATATGTATATATATATATATATATATATATATATATATATATATATATATATATATATATATATATATATATATATATATATACACATATATAGTCGACCAACTCTATATACATATATAATGTGGTAGTATAGATACTTTTTGAGGCTCTTAGGAATTTGAATTAAATCCATTAAAAAAATACGAGATTTCAAAACAACGATCAGGCCACATAATTACAAACCCTATACGGGTTCCGACATCCTGTCTGAATCCGTTTAGGGTTCGTAGTGGCTGGATAGGGTCTAAGTGGAGCACCTTCAGCAAGAGGGGATCCGGAGGAAATATTTAAATCTCTGAGAACCAATTTATTTATATATTTAAGCATTTAATAAAGTAGGACTTCTAAAGAATTTGTCTTACTTCATTTCCTTTTCCTAGTTCTTTTTTAGTTTATGCGTTTCACTCATGTTCAATGATAATATCACTGAATAAAACGCAACCATCGAGGACTAGTCCACCTGGCTTGACTGAGATTCTATGTCAAGGTCAACAAGACATGATAAATTGTGATTCAAAATCATACTGATTAAAATTTCAAGTGGCGATAAAAGTTTTTCTGAACATACCAGGCCCTACTTATGCTTATTATATTTCAAATATATTAGAGAGAAGAATTAGTTTTATTTATTTGAAATAATTTCAGATTAATGAGAATGATGTTCATATCTATGCTAAGGTTTTTTTTCTTGGACATTATGCTGATCCACTTGTTCCTGTCAGTTTACATATCTTCTACACCTGTTCACTCCTATTCGATGCTTTTAGTCATCAAACCATCTCAAGCGTAGTCTTCCTTTCGTTTTCCTTCCTTCTGGCAATTGATGTAAAAGCTTTCTAGGTTGGCGATCCCCTAGCATTATTTCCACATGAACAAGCCATGTCATCATATTCATACCATCTTGATGAATATCACTACATCTGGTTTTCCATTAACATTTGATTTTTTCTGGATCTCCACTGTCCCAATTTAATTACTGGATCATATTTCATTTGGAGAATTTTTCTTTCCTACACCTCAATTTTTTTTTCATTTTCTTGAGTCAGAATTCACGTTTCACTACCAACGGGATAACTGTTTTATATATTATTTTATCAAATTGCTTTTACCAGAGACAATTCGAAAACTAAGTGTCTTCTGGAGTGCACTCAAAAACCAAAGGTCAGCTGCCAGCCTTTATCCATCATAGCCTCTTTTCTTCTTATAATTAGCATAGGATCATTACGAGTTCTTTACTATTTAACAGATATAAAACTGGTTTTGAGTTAAAAATATAAATCAATCTTTTCCCAAATTTCAATGAATTCATATTTTATTCATCATTCCATAACATTCAGCTTCCATACTTTCTCTTCCTTCATGTCATTAGTGTTGCATTCTCACTCTTTTAAATTTGCTAACATTTCTTTTATTGATTACTATAAAGAATGTTTGAGGAAAAGACTTAAGACAACTCTTCTTTTTCAGAATATACAATGCCGTCTCTTCAATATCATAGATGAAGGAGGGAAGTTAAAGGAAACTATTCCTGTGTTGTATTCTTGCCCAGAGAGTGTGGAATGAAATGTGATAATGTGATACTGCTAAACCAGTATATGCAATTCATGTAAATCATAATTACAGAAGATGCTATTATATTTTTATAAAAAAGAATCCATAACCATCCCTATCAATAAACAATAACATCACAGTATTAGGATTTGCAGTTGGGAATCGGTTTCTATCTGAAAAAGGGCACTTTCATTTATACATATTGATTGCTGGCAACGAATTGAATCCAGAGTGTTTTGTCTTCTTAAATATTGATGTAAAATTAACAAAAAAAAAAAAAAAAAGTAATAAGGTGATTCTTCCAAAACAATACTAATTTCTTTGTGTAATTCCAATGTTAAAGTGGTAGTGAGGAGACATATGACAATGCAAGACTAAAAACTGCTGAAATGAGCACAACAATATTTTATTTAAACTATCATTTGAACTTCATGAACAAAGGACAATACTATAAAAATATGTACATTTATTTTAACTTTAAGAAATCAAATAATACAAAATAATAAGATTTAATTAACAATTTAAAATGCAAATATATAATCTAAAATCAGGAACTGTAAGCACAGTTGTATTTTAAGTAGTCAAAGATAATGAAAACATAAATTATTTATCTTTAACAACTTGAAAGCCAATTGTAGTAGTGGGTTTATCTTCACCAGCCACTGTTACTGGAGGGACAACAATTTCATCAGTCTCATCTGTTTTAAATGCCATTTCTCGCCATGCCTTAAATGATCCAGGGCCTTCTTCCATCCGAGCCCATGCTGCACTTGGCTCAGAAACGCTGGTGCACACAAACCGTCCTGCCTTTTTTTCTTCCAACTTTTCATTATCTGTAAAGTAAGATTATAATTTTTAAAAAATCACAACTTCTAGAGGAATTTGGAAACAACTCTGTCAGCACAATCCCCAAAATTATTTTTATTACATTTTAAAATACAATGAAAGTTGTTGGATTGTGATGAGTTAGCAAATGATTAATACAAGTTTGTTATTTAACTAGTCTACAATAAAACATACAGTTTTCCTTTTCAAAGATTCTTAAGTCCCTATTCAAAAATATTTTGTCTTCCTGAGATACGTTCCAGGTCTGAGAAGCATATGATAATACAGATTGGACTTGTTTTATGGAGAATCAGCTTGATTGACCAACTGATTAACCTGTGGCAAAAGGTCTTGAGAAGACCAAAATAGAATCTATTGACAGTAGTGAATTTCAATGACTTCTAAATCTCACGAGTCGAAATTTTTTTTTAATCTACAAGCAATTTTAGGAAAGTAAACTCCTTGACCTGCTCAAATGGAGAGATTCCCACTAATAAAGGACTGTTGTGCCCAGCTCCATTATGAATGTATTTGGACTAAGCTTCATTGATTGAGAGATATACACAATGCTGCCCAGATTAGATTTAGTGTGGCTCCAACTAAGGCTAATCTGGATCTGGTTACTATGGCCAAGAAGTCAGCAAAATCAAGAACTACTAATCTGGATAATAACATGCTTTGGATTTGGTTTCCTACATCTCTTATCACTATCTCCAATGCTAAATTAACAAGAACATATGCAAGTACATTTCCTTGTCTAAATCCCTTTCAAAATGGAATTTCCCAAGAACACTCAAATTGTTCCCGGATCAGCCATTTGACATCCGAAATTGTTAACTTAAGAAGATGAACAAAATTTAACATGGGTATTTATTTCCTCTTAAAGCTTAATACAATTTTTACTAATTGATACCATCATTGAACTCAACGAAAAGCTGGTGCATGGGAAATTTGAGCTCATGGCTTCTCTTTAGAACGGTCCTCAAGTTAAGGATTTTATCTACAGTGGATCAGCCTCAAGGAAAACGTCAGATACCTTTGAATCCCTCCTTTTGTGAATGGCATACATCTGTTGAAGAGGGTAATTGAGAGAATCTTATAAACACACTGAAGCAATAAAATTTCACGATAATATCAGCTGCTGGTCTCCTTTTGGGGTAAAGGACAAATGATTGCCTAGCACTATTGCTGTCGAATGATTTCCTCTTTCTAAATACTCATGTATGACCAGGTGTAGCTCTTTACCTCCACATTTGAAGAACACCGCCATAAGTCTTCCAGAACATGATGAAGCATAATTATTTTTTAGTTTCAAGACTTTTTCAGCAATCACATCAAAACCTAAAGGTTTACCTTCTCCAGAGCATCTTTTTCCCCATCCCATTAGCATTTCTTTTATTCCTCTTTCATCTCATTTAAAATGTCATTTTAACTTTCATTTGAGTTTTCTCAATACTTCCATTTAAGTTTAAATGTGTACAATTGGGATTGGTTCCCTTCTGTTAAATGTCACCCAATTTTGTAGAAAAGATCTCTTTTCCAAATCTCAGAAGCTCTCAAAAACTATAGGTTTGTAGAAATGAGGAGTCAAAAGAACAGGAATTTCATGGAATTTTGATCAATTTCATGGAAAATTGAGAAATCCCAATTTTGATTCTTAAATTCTTACTACAATTTTAACAAAAGTAATTGAAAAATGGATTAAGAATTAAATAGGTCATTTCAAAACTCTGAAGATGTTAAAAGTCGATGGATTGAGAAATTTTACACACTCATCTAGACCTGTTCCAAAGTCAGCTATAATAAAATCCTAAAATAATTTCAAGTTTTATTTTCCTTATTCTTTATTTCTACCAACTTTTTTACTCATAGCCTCTTAAAAGAAATTTACTTAAATAACTTCCTTTGGTCTTACCCCAACATATATCCGATAGTTTTGCTCTAACAGTATCTATGGGTACAACTGTTGTATCAGATTCCTGAAGGAGCGTTTCGGAACAAAAATCCTCTTCACTTGCTTCTGATACAGGAGTAACTTCACCGCTGTCTCCAATTATAACTTCATCTGTTTAAAAAATAATAATAATAAAGATTAAATATTTAAGATAATATCGACAGCCATACTACAAAAGCCTGTAAGAACAAAAACTAAAAATTTGCAGCAGACGAAAAAACTGCGTGGTTTTTGTTCTATGAGTATTATATTTTCAGTTCAATTTTTTTTGCAGGCCTAAGACAAAGATTTAATGATTTATGTAACTTGTTTTATGTTATTTCTGATAAATAATCTTTTAGAGCCATTATTTCTAACTTACAGCTTATTAATTACTTTGAAAAACAGATATTACTCAAGTAAAAGAAAAAAAAAATCAAATTTGTTGTAGTAACCCTTATAACTTTGTTAACAATGATCAAATCATGACAGTTTTCAAAATGCAGAGAAACGATACTTCAAATAAAAATTTATAAAACATTTGACTTAAAAGTGAGTATTTCATCATAAAAATGGGATATTCACTTTTTTGTCTATCACTCTATGGTGGGTGGAGGGGAGGGGGAGGAGCTCGGATGGAGCACATATGTGCCCCCATTTTGGAGTAGTCTATGAAAGTTTTGTTTTTAACATACTCAACTTCAAGGTAAGGACAGGGTTTGATTCACGAATGCTTGGTAAATTCTAGGTAACCTGCTGATGTGTAGATCACCACGTTTCTGAGCTTCTCATGATTTTGAAGATTCATTGATTTGAAAAGATAAAACTTGAGTTCTTTTTTCATCTCATGTTAAATTTTTCAATTAGTGAAATCAATTCTGTCTCTCACTATCTGGAATTCGGCGACATTGTATTTTTTTTTCATACAAGCTCATTTTGCAGTTGCCAGAATGTTTCGATTGTTTTGAAGGCTGTTCAATATTATATTCCCACTTTCCACTCTCTTCTTTACTTCGTCTAGTTCCATGGTAAGTAGTGCAGCCTCAGGGAAAACAAGAATACAAAGTTTATAAGAAAAATTAATTATAGCCAATTAGATTAAATGATACTGGAGTCTATGCGCAATATGCTTTATACATTCTATACTTACATATTTCATATCACAATTTGCTACTTTTAAGATACAAGTTTTTACAAAAGACCATAGAGAAGAAATGAAACACCGTATATTTCATTTTATGGGTTTAGAATATGCATCAGGTCAAAATTTACTAGAAAATTTCAAAACCTCATATTCCTTAGAAATTGTCCTTACAGGCTTTTGAAGTATGACTGTCGATATATTATATCAATAGTAAGGTAAATAGATTGTACAATAAACATTTTAATAAGTCAATCCATGTTATTTAAGTTCTCACAGAATAGTTATCTCAAATGAAAATACATTTTAATTTTAAATTTTTTGTTTCCAACTTACTGATAAATACAATTTTTTATGATTAATAATATTTTCCACTTTATCTAGTGTGAGTTATATTTTAAATTACTTAGCTAAATTATCTGTTAAAATTACTTATTATGATAAAATTTTATGAGTAAAAACCTTTAAATTGGTATAAATTCTAGTTTTAATGTTTTAAAACTAACTACTGCTTATAATTAATTATAAAATCTTAAAATAGTTAGGTTTACAGTTTCTTAAAAATGTTTAGTGGCATTACCAGATATAGGAGCAAAGTGAGCGTTGTCAAGAGCTCTACTATATAATTCTGCGACTTCAATGCTATCTCGATGTTCAAAATAGCTACTATTGAATCCACCTGGGTGTCTGAAACTGTAATAGTAAAAATTATCAATAGTTGGTTGTTTAGATCAGGGGTCTCCAAACTTTTGGGTCTCCAAACTGGCCCACAGGGCACATTCAGACCTCCATTAAGTCCCGCGGGCCATCGCTTGAGATGAATAAAATCTTGTAATATAAATGAAACTTCAGTTATGAAATGAGCATTCTAAAAGAAAAAGCCCATGCAATAAATGATAAATGTTGCAGTAACATCTTGTATGAGTAATTTGCTAAATTACATATTTTTTAATAGATATTAGATGTTTATTATGTAATTAAAGCAACTTTCGTGGGCCGGATTGGAGGTGCTTGTGGTAGTTTGGAAATCCCTGGTTTAGATTGCATCAGCAATTCACATTTATAAGAATAATCAAAGTGATATTAAAAACAGAATAGCTGTTAAATTTGACTGATTATTCAGAAAAAAATATATCCTGTGGTATAATAATAAAATAAAATGTATGATAAATTAAACCACAATGATAAAATTTACATTTAATAAATGAGGATAACAAATAATCAGGATTTGCAGTCTTTATATGGTTTATTAGACTAGCTGAAATTTGGATCCAAGCATGTGGGTGTGGGTAAAGGTTACTTGCTAGTCTAACAATAACAACTAGTTGAGGTAATAAAGACTACAAATCCTGATTTTTCACCATCCTCGTAATTTTAACGGTCAACTAGATATCCATCTCTAAAATATTTAATAAATACATAAAATTAGATAATTAAGAAAGATTTGATTAAACATTGAAAGCAAATCAGCGATATGTTTTATCAAGTTTTCCAAACATCACATTTTAACACGTTTAATACTCTTTCCAATACAAAGTTTGGCATAATGATTTTGTCAGCAGAATAAATTGAAGCAATAATGAACTGGATATAAACATAACTTAACAAACTGATAATAAAGTGCAGGAAGGTGGTATGAGGGAAGCATTATTTAGTTGAAGAATGAATTGATAGAGGGAAAGCAAGTCAGTTTTCAACTGTTAAGAAGTCCAAGTTATCACATGAAACCAGAAAAAAATCAGAAAAGGGGAGCTTCATTATGTTATATTTATGTAAAGCAATAAGAGAGTAGATGGGCAGGACCATAAACTCTATTGTGGCTAACGCCTGTGCACAGCACCACGAGTTGCCTGGCAACCAGATAACCAAAGTTATTAAATTAAAACAAGTACGAGTTCGTGTCCTGGTCCTGCAGGTGATTTTCTACCTAATTTAAATTCCCCGCCCTCATCCTCCGGCCCGGGAAAATTCCGTATAAAAGGCAAGTTAGGGAAGAACAAGAACAACAAGGTTGCTAAACAGTTACATGCATACTATTATTGCAAATATATATATATATATATATATATATGTCTTTTTGTTTAGTACTGAAAAATATTCCTGTAAGAGTGATACAATATTTATCCGTTGTTACATAAATGGTGGACCATATGGCAGTTGCATGGCTTTTTGCATGAGTTAGCGTGATAAGCATAAAAAAATACTGATAGCTATGTAAAAAATGTTCTCACGAAAAGACATCTTTTTATTCAAATAATCAAGGTTTCTACAACATCAAAGCTAGGATGTAAGACTGATTATTAATGTTTATCAAACCACAAATTTCATTTTTGCTTGGAAAAAGTTGGATATCACTAATCATTATGGATATTACTAATCACTAAAAATATCATTGAAGTTCTTAACAATAGAAGTAATTTACTAATAAATATATATACCATTTCATATATCATAGCTACCAGTATAAGGTAAGTTGTATACCTGTTTGCTACAAAAAAATCTGGAAGAGGAGCAGGAGAAGAAGCTCCACTACTAGAAACAAAGCTAGGAGGATCTGACCACCCCATACCTAAAAAAATAAATAAAAAATTATATATATATATATATATATATATATATATATATATATATATCACTACTAATAAAATGAAAGAATTAATAATACTATGAAAGATTATATTAATTATATACAGAATGGAGTTTCTGGAATATAACACATAAATCAAAACAATTTAAACTCGAATATTGATGAAATTATCATACCTCATTCATGAACCAACAAAAAACAAGTTTATCAATAATGAAATTGAAAAGAGGGAGAATTGATTTAGCTTTTGTGGAATGTCTGTGAATGTTAACTATTATAACTAATTTCAAAATTAAATAATAATTGAAAAAATTATAACATGCTATTAAAAATTGTTAGTTAATGTTTTCAATATTTTTATTCAGTTTCTTTTTCTGGTCAATACATGAAAATGTATTTTTTTTTTTTTTTCATCTGTCTTTCCATCATTGACTTGCTAGTGTTGAATGATTGACATGGGCTGTTCCTGGAATCCAACTGAAAACTGCTGACCTGATTCAACATTATTACTCAACTGTAATCAACATCATTACTCCATTGGTTCCGTAACTCGATTGAAGAATCTTAACTTTATAGGATCCTTGATTTGAATTCTAAGCGAGCCCACTCTCGTTCTTTATGTTCTAAAGCTATACATACAAAATAGCTCTTCTTATATTTAGTTATTGTTTTATTATCTTTTAAACATTTGTTTTAAATGTATACATTTGTGATGTAATCTTCTAAGATACAAATAATAAAATGGGTTTCACCAGAAGTGAAAGAAAGACAGCAAGAAAACTGAAAAACCATTTCTGAAATGCTACTTGTCAGACAAAATTACTAAAATGTCTCCATCAAATCGGGACATATGATGAAAAATGGATATATTAAAAGAATCCTAAGTGTCAAAGATCACGGGCAACTCCAGACAAACAATCAACATCAATTGCAAAGGCCAAGTCACTATGTAAAGAAAATAATGCTTTGTTTTTGATGGTGCCGAATTATGAGCAGCTAGAACCTGGCAAAACCAATGGAGCATAGCAAAAATAGACCAAAATATCAGGCTCAAAGATCACTTATTCAGTAAGTTCAAAATGGACACTAGTCCCCTCTGCGAGTGTGGTGAGGGTGTACAGAATGTGGAACATATCCTAGAAATGTGCATGGCCTACTCCCTGCAAAGGAGGGTGATCTGGTCCTCTCCAACTGAAGTGGAAAAGAAACTATATGGAAGCCTGATAATGAACTAACATACACAGCAAAACCGGTGAATGAAACGAAATTATATAACGAAATTATACGAAATTATGAGGTCTTTAATTGGAAAAGTTGACTACTCTCCAGAGTTGATTCTATCCAACTACTATTTGGTATGCATTTGCTCAGCAGCGCTTCACTTTTTATGAAAATGTCTTGATGACTGGTTTACCACAAAAGAGTAATAGTTTTTCTGGCATTCATAAATTGCCAGAGAGGTAGGGAAAATATATAGCTAGCAATGAACAATATTTCAAATCAAATATTTTTTAACATTTATATAAAATAAATTAATATTTTCTATATAAAGTTCTGGTTTCATATTTACAACTGAAGTGTCTTTTAAAGAATTTTTTTTTTCATCACAAGCCACCACCTGTGGGATTCACTGAAGGTCTTAAGTGGCCTGCAAAATTTAGTCGAGGTCTCAATGTGGCCTGTGGGCCAAAAAGTTTGAAAAACCCTGTTATACAGGGTGGATCGGGGAAGGGAGGAAATGGGCAAAGTACAGGAGTGGGTTGCGCACAGGAAAATAATAAAATAAAATAAAACATATGTTCTTTCTGATCCCATAAGTATTCCGACAACATAAAAAGCATCAGTAGACACCCAGGTTTTGGGGTAAACAAGTTTCTTTATAAAATTTTAAAAATATATATAAATTCTGAAGTTTGAAACTGAGCAATAAACTTTCAGATGAATGAATCAAAACTAATCCAAAACTTGAAACTTATCTCCTAAAGAAAAGTAATAAGGAAACCTCCCTGAAACAAACACCCAACCTTATGAAAAATCAACCACCAATCCGCTATTGTGGCATGATACTACTTGAGGCTCAGGCATCATCCTCATAAGTGTTCGAGCTGTAAAACTACACATATTTACATTCTCTATAGGGTGTACAAAGCTCATTATTAAAATAAATAAATAAATAGAAAATAACTTTATTCTGGGACAAAGTCCCTTTAGAATAACAAAATAGAACATAATTAAGAGACTACATCTGACCAAAATAAAACAATAATAAAAAAAGAGAAAGTAAAGAAAATATTAGTTAAACAAGCTATAAACAAAAAAAAAAAAAAAATCTATATACAAAACATTTAAAACTATGTACGGTAGAAAAAATTATAATTATACTCTTTTGAGAAATAAAAAAATAAAAACTACATTGAGTTCTTCTTTAAAATAAGGTGGGTTTCTGCTAACAAAGAAAAGACAAAGCTGACAATATAAAAGGTCAGTGTATTTAAATAATGAATAATATGTAGACTCCTCATTGTCTAATTCTAGCTATAGGTACAGATTTAATTATATAAGAATAAAAAAAAACTAAAAAAACAAACAAACAATAGATGCATTCAGTGGCATTAAGAGCAGGAAGATATTGTAATATCCCTGGTGAAGTTCACTGTATACAATAGTACTATTGTTTGATGATGACTAGAAATGTATAATATCAAAAGTTTAGCAAGTATCTGACTGTTTTTGGAATAGGAATTGGAATAGGAGGGATTTGAATGTGGATATGGAGGGGGAACGCCAAATTTTGATGGGTAGAGAATTCCAGAAATTGACAGCGCGAGCTATAAAGGAATTTCGAAATGAGGCAGATCTGTGAGAAGGGATGTAGAGGTCAGAAGGTCGTAGGCGTAAGAAGGACGATGGTTGTTGATGATTTGATAAAGGAACGTAACTAGGAAATATTGTCTTCGAAAGGAGGGGAAGAGCCATCTTAACTCAGTGTAGTGGTGAGAGACATGGGAGTACCTCGGGGCACCAATAACAAATCTTACGCAGCTATTCATTGATCTTTTCAGTCTATCACGGAGCTCCACCGAGAGGCCATCATACACCACACAGCTGTAATACTGTCATCAAGTAATATGTAATATGGGAAAGTCAGTATGGGATCTAATAAGGGGTTTGGAACCAATGACAATGGCCTGGGCTTTGGCAGCATTTAACCTTAATCCATTATTAGTTAATGAGTTGGAAAAACATCTACTATTGCTGGTGCATTTACCTTCACGGATACTCATTTTTTTAAGTATTGCAGTATGATTCACAGTTATCAATTATTTATATAATATTATATTTGATAAAAGCAGTAAAAAATAGCTGTTATATACAGTCTTTATTCAATAGAATAAAATACACATAAATGATTTGCAAAGTAACTTTATTATTTTCCAGGAAAGATAATTACGGTTTCGGATTCTTTTTATGAAGTTGTGCAGGGGCAACAATTAAACACTGACGAGAAAAGGGTTTGTCAGTATTGGGAGAGGGTTCTAAATAGCTTGAGACATCCAAAGATTGGCTAGAATTACTAGATCCTGATATGGAGAATGTCTTTTGGCATCCTGTCGATTTCACCTTCCGAGCTGTAAACCGCTCCAGGCAATACTCAAATTTTTCACTTTTCACAGAAAAGTAGCTGCCTTCAACAGAAGGATCTGCTTCATTAATGAAAATTACAAAATAATAATTATAAAGAAGTACTTAGACAAACGAGTATAATACACACATTTCCAACAAAACCTAAAACCAATTTATTGAGGAACAACGATTCCTCAACTTATTCCCATATTGACTTATAGGATAATGGATTGACTTTGTAAACTACCGTAGACTCAAACTCAGGAATTTTTAATGGGATAAGGACATTGTTAATAATTTTTTTTTATGGATTCTGATAAGAAATGAAATTTATATTGGACACTTTTTTGATTTGACTTACTAGTTCTGAAAACGGTTGCAAACTGCAAACATGGTTTTTATATCAAGTTCCAAGCTTAATGAAGGACAATTTACTTTTTAAGATAATATTTAAAGTAAATGTTGGTTTTAAAATAACTTTGAAAATAACCTGCTTTCATCTATAATAATAATACAATGAATATTTCAAAGAAAAAACCTTTTTCCTGTTCTCTTATTTATTATTACCACGGGAATACTAAGCTTTCAGAATAGAAAGTAGGCCCATTTAAAAGTTAATTAGATACTTCTAATAGGAATATTCTGGCAGGTTACAAAGTCGGTGGAAAGACTGAAATTAACTTTAGGTTACCCGATTAGGATTCCCAAAATTTCATTCTTATATTTTAAACATTCTAAAATTTATATAATATCTTTGGAACTACAAGACCCTGTATTTTTTAAGTTCTTAAAATGTAGATATTACATTTTAAAGATAAAATTTAATTCTTGCCGAAAGCCTCCAAGGTGCCATGTGTTTAACTTGTCACATGTTTCTTCTAAAATTAAGATATTTTAATTATTCTAGTCCATAGAAAAATAACTGAAATTCTGTTGAAAACAAAGGAGTCTTTGGTTATCAAATATCATTCACATATAAGCGTTTCCTAATAATGTTAATACTCCCAATATATTAGGAAGAAGAAGGATAGATATCTAATATGAAAATTTTCAAATACATATGACATTACTAGTTATATAAGTTTATATTTTTTTCATTAATAATACATTGTCTTAAAAATGATTGTAACTAATAATCCTGTGAAGTAGTGAGAGTTCATTTGGCAAAGAATTGCCATACTTAGCCCTCCATTGACAAGACAAATTCGTTAATTCTTCTCATTTTCCTCTTTCTTAACACACATATATATATCGTAAGATCGTATAATATAAATCGTAAGATTTGTAATTGGAACCCCGAGACGCTCCCGTGTCTCCCACCACTACACTGAGTTAGGGTGGCTCTTCCCCTCCTTAAGAAGACAATATTTCCTTGGCACTTTCCTTTATCAAATCATTACCGATCATCGTCCTTCTTATGCCTACAACCTTCTCCAATTTAAGTCCTCAATCCATTCACTCACTACAAGATCCCGACCCTCTGACCTATACATCCCTTCTCATAGATCTGCCTCATTCCAAAATTCCTTTATAGCCCGCTCTGTCAACTTTTGGAATTCCCTCCCGATCAAAATTCGACATGCCCCTTCCCTGTATACATTCAAAAACCTCCTATTCCAATTCCTGCTCCAAAAACAGTCTGATACCAGCTAACTATTGATATTATATATGTATTGTGTAGCAATCATATAATCATAACACTTGGTAAGAGATAGTACATGCATTTCCTACTATCGACGTAGGAATTTCAATACATACATTTTTTTTTTATTCAATTATAAGTAACTGTTTATTTTTATATATATATATATTCAAGTAAAGTTTTTTTTTTTTTTGTTTTTTTTTATGAAATGAACTCATTGTATCTCTTTTTCGTTCTTCATTTCTCAAAGTGTATGTTTATGTTGTTCAACCTTTAAATATAATTTTGTTCATAGTTCAAGTGATTCGTTCATAGTTTTAATTGTTTTGTTCATAATTCTAAATGCTCTGTACATAGTTTTATCTGTTTGTATATAGCTTGTGCACCTAAGGTTTTCTTTACTTTTTATTTTATTTTATCAATTTTATTTATTGTTTCAACGTTCAGGCCAGTAATATTCTATTATTTTGTACATTATTGTTGTTCTGAAGGGACTTAGTCCCAGAATAAAGTTTTTTTTTCTATCTATCTATCTATATATATATATATATATATATATATATATATATATATATATATTATATATATATATATATATATATATATATATATATATATATGTTCATAAAGAAAAAAATGAGAAGAATTAACGAATATGTCTTGTCAGTGGAGGGCTAAGTATGGCAATTCTTTGCCAAACGAACCCTCACAACTTCACAGATATATACATATCTTTTTTTTCAATGTTCATATATATTAATATTTAATACAATTTATAATACAAAATAAAGATTAAGTATAGAATTCTTATAATAATTTTTAGGGTGAACGCACCAGTTATGGACAGGGGGTTCAGTGATGGACAGTTCGGACTTTAAATTTAAATAATAAGCATCCTTGTTGATTAAAAGGTTCCAATTTTTTCTAGATTGAAGAACAAAGCTATTTATTAACAAATGTATGAAAAAAGTTTCCAAAAGAAGATATTAAAATGCCTGTCATAGTTGTCTATATTGCTCATGATGTGTTTCATACCTTCCTACTAACAGTTTTTCTAGGAGTAAGTTGAACATTTATGTTCATGGGTGTTTAAATTTTAGAGTTTTCGCCATGAAAATATTCAATTTACAATTTTAGAACCTCAGAGCTGTTCGATTTTAATATAAATTAACGTTTTTAATGACTTTCAGCGGGTGGAAATCACTGGGTCAAAAATTGGCCCAAATCTAGTTATGAAACCCATTTTCGTTAGTGGTGCTTTGCACTTTTACGAAAATTTATCATGTTTTTGTTTTTAAAAATCTAGAAATCATGGAAAATGACATGGTTTTCTTAGTTTTTCTCTAAAACATCTCTAAACAGTCTTAGACAGAGGTGACCATCACTGGGCTCGAATATGTCTATTACTAGTCCCACCGTGTCCATTAATAGACATGTCCATCAATTTTACCAGTTTTAATTGAATCATTTGCTCATGTTTGACTGTAAATACACATGCAAAATATTTATAAACTATATAGAAAAATTATATAAAAATTTGTTCCTTTAAATTTTTTTTTAATTACTCATTTTTCATTAAATGGAGATTACCACTGCAAAACTAAATTTTTTTTTTAATTTCAAAGGGTTATATAGAAAAAGAAGATCCTAGAGATTCTAAATGATCAACAGAGAAGTTTATAACTATAAAAATTACAGCAGCATAAACCAAAAAATTCCTTAGCTATGTCAATCCCTCATACAAGAGTATGAGGAATTGTATGAGACTCTAAAGTATTTTAAGATCCCTAGCAAGCTCATAAGCCTCGTGAGGCTTACAATGAACAATGTAAGCTGCATGGTTCAGATTGGTGGAGAGAGATTGGAAGAATTCCCCTTAATAAAGGGATTACGCCTGGGAGATGCTGGGATACAGACCAATGGCAACATCTTTAATAGATCTGTACAGCTCTTTGCACACGCAGATGATATAGATATCATAGGATATCAAATGATTTCCTTTCAGGCTGTGTCGGACGCTTTCCTTGCACTAGTGGGTCCTGCGAGAAGACTTGGCTTGGAAGTCAATGCTGAAAAAACAAAATATATGGTTACGGGTGAGATGCTTAAGCCTGGCGAAGAGGTGACTTTCGGGGAGTACCAATTCGAGATTAATGTTTCAGTATATCTTGGCTCATTGGTAACTCAAGAAAACGCACCTGAACAAGAGATTCAGCATAGGATCATAGCAGCAAATCTGTGCTATTTTTCTATGGCAAGGCAGTTTGGGAGTAGAACTCTTTCCAGAAAATCGAAGCTTTGTCTTTAGACTGAGAAGACGATAGTGCGTTCAGTCTTGCTGTATGGTTGTGAGGGCTTGTGAACAGGAACTCCTGGTCTTTGAAAGAAGAATCCTCAGACGCATATATGGTGGTGTTCTCATCAGAGGAGGGTGGAAAAGGAGGAAAAAACAGGAGCTGTACACCATGTTTAAGGAGTCCGATATAGTTCGAGTGATGAAAATTACAAGACTGAGATGGGCAGGTCACGTCGTTAGGATGGGCAGTGAGGATCTACCAAGACAATTGCAGATGGAGTTACTCCATGGTACCAGGAAAAGAGGAAGACCTAAGCTGCGATGGGCTGATAGTGTTGCTGCTGATGCAACAGCTATGATGGACCTTCGGAATTGGATGGCGGCTGCAGGGGACCGAGACAATTGATGTAAGCCGCTGGAGGAAGCCAGGATTCGACGCCAAACTGTAGAGCCACACTAATAATAATAATGTCAATCACTGGTGTCCTTACCCTAGTTCGTTTTTCCAGTTTGTGGATAATTTTGATTTGTGAGCATTATTAAATTTATTTGATTACAAAAGTAGGCTTGTGTGAGATAGCTGTTATACAATACTGTAAAAAAAATTTTTATTTTTGTAGCAATATCACCATTCCATAAAATTCTATAGATAGACAACTTAGTTTATTTTATAGATAGATTAACTTTCTTTCATTTTTTTTTATTAAATAAAAAAATTTAATAATAGTTAAACAGATGAACCAAAATTGTTTAATATTGAGAATATCCTGGGATAGTCGTATAAATTAATGAAGAATAGGGTATGCTGAACCAACCATAAGAAGCCAATACCCAGAGATCTCAGTCAATGTGTCTCACTACTAAAGTTTGAAAGCCACCTGTTTTAAGTATAAGTACTTAACTTATTCTGAAGATTTGGTGAATTTTAGGTTCAGCCTTAAAGATAAAAGGAAGAACAACTGAATAATAATGAGAAGATAACAAATTAGATTTTTTTTTTAAATTGAGGACTAAATTGTTTACCTTAACATCCTTGATATGATGAAGGCGTCAAATTTATCATTTGAAATGTTAAAAATTCATGATTATTGATCCCAAAAATATTAAACAACATATCTAATCTGGTCAGAATCAAACCCATACTAAAACACAATAACTCTCAAATTAAATTGTCACAGATTACTGAAAGTTAAAAAAAAAAAAAAAAAAAAAAAAACTGGAATGTAAATGTTAAATAATAAACAATATGTATAAATTTAATTATATGATTATATTTGTGATCAAAACTATTTCATTAAGGAAAAATAGTTATACTCACTATTAGGAGAACATTCTTGAGGAGTCGAAGGACATTTAGGAGGAGATGATGCAGGTGTCTTCATAGCTCTAGTGACCTTATCCAAGAAAAGATCAAGCTGCCGTAAAGAAAGTGCATTATGAAGAGTTTCAAGTGGCCTAATAGGGGGTACTCCACCACATCCCTCTAAAAAATATAATATCTATATAAATAAAATAAATATTTTGTCTGTTAATTGAATAGAATCAACCCGTTATATGACATCTTTCCGTTTCATTCATTACAGACACCAAACCACTTTTAAAAAATTGTTTGTCTGTCGGTATATCCGCATTCCAACGAAATTTTGTCAGGGGTAAGCTCGGCAATGGCTTATTGTAGACTTTTGAAATGTTACCATTATATTAAGGTTTATTTGACTTAAAACATAGGCTTTAAATGAAAACAAAATATTAAATAGAACCAAAGTTATGAATTCTTGGGTAATTTGTCTAGAGATCCCGGTTTAACTAGGGAGTTACTTCGATTCCCATCCCAACATACTCTACTGTGAGCCACATTTAAAAGTTGTACTATTCAACTGATGGAAAAAATGATCACAAATCAACGGGAAAAATCTGAAATACCGAACATCTGTAACGCATAGTCGCTTAAAACACTCATTTTTCAAGTTTGTCCGATCTCCCCGTTCAAGGTGTCATTCTATTCAACTTCCCAAGACTAACAAATGTGTCATATTTACAACAAATATTCATTTTTAGGATTAACCAAACAGATTAGCCCAAAATCGGAAGAAAATTTTCTAAAAATTAAAATTACCTTTCCCCTCCCATCCAATGTTATAAAATTAACCCCCCCCCCAAAATACAATACCCATCTCAAAAAAAGATTCTCAAATTTTAACTATGCACCCGTCGACGATGGGTACATCAGCTAGTTATTTTATAAATTACTATATTAAAAGTTTTGATTATATTTTTGAAGAAACAATACCAAGTATTCCAAATAAATACATCCAAAAAATTATAAAATGCAATGCAGATAGCATGATCATATTCATATTTATTTTAATGATTAAAGAAATAACCTTTAAATAATATTAAAACCACTCTAATAAATATTCATAACATTAGTTCCTATTAGTACAAATTAATACACCACTGTATAATATAAGTTATAAAACCATGGAAATATAGATTAAATATGTGGATATATAATCATTAAATTATTTTTGAAAGTTATGTCTTGATTTTAATAACGATTGAACTTGAAAGAAAAACATTAATTGGTGATTTCAGAGCTATAATAGAATAAAATGTTTTATTTCAATAATATAACTCATGAAACTTGATTATTTAAAGCAATGCACGTGATATAAAAATAATATGAATGTTTGGGAAGCATTATCTTCTTTAATAGATAGAATAATCTAATCTACTAATGACAACAATAATAAACAGAATATCATGTGTGAAACCAGATCAGTCTAAAACATTTTGATTTAAGGTTATTTTATTTGTTTGCACCAATACTATGCTCAATAATTAATTATTAATCTTTTGTACCAATAGTATATCACTTACTGTTACACAATACAGGATGGTCTCGATAATCCAAACCCCTAATAATCTGAAACCCCCAGCAATCCAAACAAGAATGAAAAAAAATTGAAGTTGATTAACAAGAGACGGAATGAAAATGGCTCTGTTGCTCTGTACATATTACTAGAATTGCCATGTGTGGTGGTGTCAAAATCGTATTGTGGCGGCTTTAAACAGAAATCATTAAAACTAGGTTGTCATCCAGAAGTTGCCGAATCTCTTTACATGTAGTTTTTGCAGCAGATATCACGAGGTTTTCCAATTTCCAAGAATCTATTAGCTGAAAAGGCTAAGTTTTTCTTTAATAATTTTTTAAAAGAAGAATGATAAAACAGATTTTAATGCCAGTAAAAGTTGGCTTGATAATTTAAAAAGCAGTATGTTATTTTTTATTTCATTGGAAAATTTCCTTAAACCCATTTTATTTCTTCTAGTCATAGAAATACCATAAAGACATTTATTACTTGCCTAGACTGGATTATCGATACAGTGTTGACTACCGAAGCCTAGAACTTTGAAGGAATTTCAAGTGTATTCTTTAGAAATTACATCAAAGACTCAATGATCATTGTATGATCATTTTCAGAAATCATTTTTTAGTTTGAAATGTGTTTATATTTAATTGGTAATACATATATTTTCATTTTCTTCTGCAATTTTTCTATCATTTTTAATTTAATCTTCGATAATCTGAACATTTTAATAATCCTAAAAGGCCATGCAATCTACATGTTTGGATTATCAAGACCAATCTTTATGTAGAATAGAAAATGAAGAAAAAAAATTCATGGTGAAACTTTAATCTCCTTAAAGTTTTGGACTTAAAAGTTAGTTTATATAGTAATTTTGTGAAAAATATGTTGCTTACATAATATTACGATTTATCAAGGAACAATAAACAGTAATAGAGCTTCATTGATGGGATAGATCTTCCATGGCTCATTTAATAAATAAGAAAATAGAACAAATAATACTCACAAACTCAAAACCTGCGAAATTCTAGGAGAAGAAATCGGTACTCAGTGTTACTGAGGAAAAGAAAAAAGTTATGTTAAAAGGAAATGACAGTCCAACCACCGAACGAGCATTTTCGACTCAAGATTACGGTCTTCAAAATAAAATACCAACTTATTCTATAACCTCAATAAGAAATAACTGTCTGTTCCTATGAGGACTATTATGCAGTAGGAAGATATATGACCTAAGCCCTTAAAGTTTTTGAAATTATTATTTCCTCCCCATCTCAAAATTTATCAAGTTTTAAGTATGGTGTGTTAAGTATAGGTGTTTAGTCTATCCTATTTATACTGTAAACAAATGTATCTACAATTCTTTCTTAAAATTAAATAAGAATTTTTACTTATTTATTTTTCAAAAACTGATAAGGCTATTTTTGCTTTAGCTCAATGTATGTTGCTTTATTTTATTTTGGCTGTTTTAAGCTAACTCAGGTACTTTCTTTTCAAAACATAAATAAATAATCAGAAACCAACTCAACAGCTAAATAACAAGGGACACTTAAATACTTGATCTTGATATATATGTATATAAAAATCTTAACCAAGTGTAACGCTTAATACATTTAATTTCCAATGAACATAAATTTACGCAGGCCTATTTAAGATGATAATACTTAATTTAACATTATTTATATATGATAAGTATTAAAATTGAATGCATAACAAGAATTTTATTTAAAGTAATAATAAAAAAAAATTTCTTGTATAATTAAACAAATAATGTTAATTTAAAATAGTGTGAAATAATATTTAATGTAATGCAATTTTAAATCCTTTCTAGAAGGTACATGAGGATGGCCTAAAACAACTGAAATGTTGCAATAAAGGAAAAATTAATTGTGGTGAAATCCTTAGAATTTAAAGAAAATTAGAGCCTTATAAATTGAATATATATACATATCTTCACCTAAAAAAAATACATAAGAATCATTATTATTAGACAAAAAATTATGATTTCATGGTTTGTATTGTAGAAAAACAGAGATTGAGCGAGGCTACAGCCAATCAAAATTAATCAAAGATATTGCAAAGCCATTTAAAGATATATTAGATACATGTTTTCAGATTCTGAATTTGGATCCTTCTACCTCCTACTGACATCAATATGGTGATGCACACTGCTATCTGTAACTTACTACTGAAAGATACGGCATAAAACAATCTATTTTGGAAACACCATGAATTCCTAATAAAAAGTATTACTTTACAAAAGTACTAAAACAAGTTTTATAAAATGCACCTCTTTATAGTAAAGTTATATACATTGCGATAAATGAATGTAAAGGCAATCTAGTTTAGGATGATCAATAATCATTCCTCTAATTATCGATGATCAATTCCCATCTAAGTCAGTTATGTTTAATCTCTGGTGGTCTAACAATGAATCTCGTCATACCAACACAAGGTAGAAAAATTTATAACCCCTAAGCAAGGGTTTTAGCAGTAGCTATATTAAATAAAACATATGCCAATTGTCTATCTAAAATAAAAAGATATTATCCTATGGAAGGTAGTAGTTTCCTTAAGCATGTGTTCTATTGTAAATAATATTTAAAAGAAAACTGTTCACTACAACTCAAGGTAGGTCTTGGGTTCATTACTTTCTTAGGAAGTATTGTTTCAAGGTCAATGGCAATGTAAGGAGGTGATTTGACCAAGACCATACTCAACTAACAGTTTTGTTCCCCTTAATTAATTATTTCATTAAGAGTGTCCACGTTAGAGATGCCAGATATTCCCCTGGAGGGTCTATAGATCCCAGGGTTGATCGACGACTGATGTAAAAAAATAAATAATGAACTGCCATAACTGGACTTGGACCCAGAATCCAGAAGATGAGCCTTCAACAAAGCAACCCCACTCGCATAGTCTATAATGTACAAGATTAAAATTAAGGGAAACCAAATTTTCGATGTCAACAATACAATTGTTTACTGCCAATATACTTCCCTCAAAACCACGATCTATGAGAAAAAAGCTTTGCAATTATTAACTCATCTAGATCCAAGTCTACCCCATGGACCTGCTATCTACATCTGGACTACCCATTATACATTTAACCATTGGTTAAGAGAATAGTGTGGTTCCCAGATTGACAACCTTTTTCACTTTCTTAACTGTACCTGCCTTTACATCTAATAACACCTAAATAAATAACATTTTTAATAATAATGTTTTTCTGTTACATCCAATACAGTTAAACAAATAAAATAAAATACAGAAAAAATAAAGAAAATAAAAATATTGAAATAAATATCAAAGAACAATGAATTGTGGCTAAAAAAAAAAATGTGAAATAATGACATTTTTAATAATGTTAAGATGATCTACTTTAATTTAAGCAGAGAACAAGATAATGTTTTTTTAATTAAATAATTAATAGATACAAAAAAAAAAACCAGCAATAATTGGGGCCAACCTAGAAGTAATTTGTTAAGAAAAGCATTAAGCTGATAAAAATAAATTTTAAAAATGTAAAAAATTATATTAAGTGAAATAACTAACCTGAAAGAGATGCAGTATTAGGAACAATGTCAGTAAGATTTGGTGCACTAGCTGCTCCTGAGATTACAGCTGTTGAGAAGACGCTGGATGCCGACGAGTTTCTTCCTAGCGGATACTGGTGACCACTAGTGACTGATGTACGAGATCTCCTTGCGCCTGAGAATCGATATTCACTCATGCGATGTCCCCAAGAGGGAAGAGAAAGCCTGCCTCCTGCTCCCCCATTTCCTGCAGATACAATTCTCCTACTTTGCACGTGAACATGTGCTAAATCTAGAGCTACCAGCTGACCCTTCTCACATTTTGTTGATGAAGATGTCGTTCCCAATTTCCCTTCCACGGGTAATGAAACAGATAACTTTCCAGCTCGTTCTGAGTCTAATGTATGTAAGTCGAGTCCAAAAAAAAAAAAGAAAAAAAAAAAAAAGAAAGTCTCAGACTAATAAAACCCAAAGAAGTATAAACAAAACAAATTAATACATGATTAGGGTTGAGCTACAACTACTTTTGAAACAGAATCATTAATAAAGCAAAAACTAACACAATCAATGAAAAGAAATAAAGGGTTAGACGTTAATCCAGCAAATAAGCCAAAGCAAAGAAAACATTCCTTTGAAAATGTATTTCATAGCAGTGTTAACTATACAGATGAACACAAATGTCAAGATTTAAAGAAAATCTATCTGAAGAATAGAAATGTTTCTATACAGAATTTAGAATGAAAAAAAATAAGAATTATTGAGAAGTATACTTTCTGAAACTAAGTGAAAATAAACCATACTCTTTTTCAATAAAAATAATTGATGAAATAACATAGCAACAGCTAACTAGAAAAGTAAAGAATTATGTTGGATACTAATTAAATAAAGTTAAAACAATTAAATGATCACTGAGTTTTCTCTTCTTAATAAATATTACTAGGTTAGGTTCATAATAGTTTCGAAATTTCATATATCATATTCTTCTTCCAAGATTAGGTTAAAACCTACCCAGAAGTACCACTACACACATATGTGACAACCTCTACCAGTAAAAGGGAACTATTCTTTTGTTGATGTCTGTAATTGAAACATCTCTGCAATGCCCATGGAATATTAATTTCCGGAGTAGTTTTTGCACATCCATCCACACTATCTTCGAACATTAATTACTGTAAAGATAGGGCCAGATCCTCATAAGTCATCGAATAAGCTGTTTGAATTGAAGCCTGTCCATAAAGCTCCATTACTTTTTACCATTCAGTAAAAATTAAAATCTATTATCTTCTAATTCATTACTTCATTAATAAGATTTTTTTTATATTTAATGGCAGAATTATTATTTTCATCTGTTTATGCCACAGTTCTTCTGATGAAAATAATATTCATTCCAATTTAGATATTTTTGCCAGCTTTTAATCTGTGTGAAGATTTTATATTTGTTTAATGACTGTCTCAAGTCTTCAAAGAATCAATTTACTTAATCTTTTATAAGAGCAAAATGTAATATTTTCTCTCCTCAATCATTATATTCTTTAATCTCAACTTTTAACAATTAAATCATTTTAAAACTCATGTGCTCATTGCATAACGTCGCTCATGATGCTGCAACGTTGAAATATTGAATAGTCAGTGTTAATTTCTCATTGAAATAAAATAAGTGTGCTGTTTCCTTATCCACAAGATCCAACTTACATTTTGCCTTTATATAAATAGCCTAATATGTAGTAGTGTGAGGACCGACCTCAATGTATTGTCTTTCAGGGCTTTTAATACATTCATTATTTTAACAGCCAGGAATATGATGCCATATTTAATATTTTTTTTCCGATATTGTTTAACTTCTTTAAAATTTTATGTTTCTCTTCTGATGACATAATACTTTTTATCCATTATTTTTATTAATATAATTAATAATTTTATGATGATGTATGTTTACCAATGTTGCAAGGAATTGCATGACATCTGTATGAAATTTTGTTTTATAAGGCATAATGCTGGTCCTCAATTGAGGAGCGACCTTTGCATCTCTTTATTTTTTTTTCAACTTTCCCCAAACTCACTATTTCTGAAAAAAAGGGAAGGAGAGACTGTTTTTTTTTTTTTTTTTTTTTGGCCTGCCACAGAATGAATCTCAACCTTCCTATTCTGGTTATAATAGATTTAGTTGTATTGTACCTTTTGATCAACCCTCCTTCCACTATTCCTGCTCCCCTGTTTGACAGAAATGGTGAGGTACTGGTTAATAAAAAAATAGGGAGATGCAAAGGTCCTGTATTGAAATCAAGCCTTATGAATTATAATTAAAAATTTCACAAAAATGTCTTTTGGCTACTTATTGCATACTTGGGCTCTTATTCTTAAGGAAATATAGATAACTTAACAGAAAGAGTGTTAATATAAAAAGGGCAAGTGTGAAAACCAAATATTACATAAAAAAATAAATAAAATAATGCCAAAAAAGTTAATGTTAAAAAAATAGAAGAAACATAGATTCTTATTCTTATTTTTTTTTCTTGCACAATAGAGTAGAGTTGAGGAAAAATTGTTAGATTTCTTAGAGAACAGTCAAGATTCATGCATAAAGGAGAAAAGAATTTGTACAGTTTTGAAGGCACATAAATCTTTGAAACAGGAAAAATAAAATTCCCTCAACATTGTCATTAATAACAGCCATAAACTCATTAATAACACCTTTAGTTCTTCCCCTGTTTCATGTTATCATTCTTTGATTACCTTATAAACCGTTTCATGCTTCCATAGTGTTCCCAGCTGTTGGCTTTACTCAACATAGGGTCTATCAGCTTTTCCCACACCTCCCACACCACACATCCCATCTCCAAATAGAGCTTTTATTTTTATCATTGTTTTTAATTGCTTATATGTACATATATACTTTTAATACATTAATATTCAAGTATATCTTTTTAAAAATCTAGACTACTAGAATCAGTCCCAAGCAAAATTAAATAATCAACAGAAGTAATCAATAAAAAATAATAGACATATGTAACAACCAATTATAATTTGTAAAAGTGTTTTACTTAACCTATAAAATACACGAAGAGCAGGAACAACTACTTTACAGTTTCTTCAAAACTTTTACTCATCAATTTTTCTTTTATTGGCTTTACAAAACTTTTAGATATTTGAATGCAGCTCTATTGCATCTTTGTTAATTTGATCTATCTATTTGGTTTTTGTGGTTTATTGTTTACTATTGAGACATTTATAATTGTGTAGAGGTTTGCCGATGGATTGCTTTGAACTACATGCCCCACCCATCTTAACCTCCTTGCCTCACATCATGAAATATCGATTGACTAAGTTTTTGTAACGGTTCTTAATTAATTCTTCTCCTCCATGCATTACTACTTTTATCCCTAATCGCTCAGGTGACTGTGAGGGATATATTGCCCAGGTCTTGCAGCTCTAACTCAAAACTGGCTCTATCATACCATTGTATGCCCTTAATATGAGATTTTTCAGGATTTTAAAATCTCTGAAATAAAGAACAAAACTCTGTCTATGCTTATTATAAGCTGGTCTATTTCCAACTGTCGTTCATTCATTGATGTTATTGTGGAGCTGAATTATTTTAATTTATCTACACTCGGAAATGATTTTCCTTCTATGTAGATCCTGTAGTTCGAGTGGAATTTTAGGTTTATTATTTTATGTTTTGTTTTATCTACATTTACTTGCAGGCGAATTTGATTTTATACACTTATCACTCTTACTGAGTCTCTTATTGTTCTCTTATATATTTCCTTACTACATTTCCTAGTACTACATTTCCTAGTTACTACATTTCCAAGTATTTTATGATTCATTCTGACGTGCGCCCCTCTATCTGCACCTTATCATGTGACGTGTTTGTTATTACGTTCTTTAGTGCTAACTTGAACAGTATTGGTGAGAGTTCATCTCCCTGCCGCTGACTAGTTCGAACTTTGAAGGCTTCAGATACTTCTCCTTGTAATAGAACTCAACAGTTAGGGTCATTTGTACATGACTTTGGCAATCTCACCAACTTCCTAGGAGCTCCCTGGTCAGTATGATTTTCTGTTCACGGAGTCATAGGATGTTTTGAAATTGACAACTAAGGCATGCATAACTTGATCTACTTCTCATTGTTTTTCAACCACTTGTTTTACGATCTGGTTTAGTGTGCTCCTTACCCTTCTGAATCCAGCTTGGTGGTCACCTGTTATATTTTCATGATAGGAATGTATCAGGTATAGTCGGGTACTGGTCATTATATTGTACGGTCAATATATATGTTATATATATATATATATATATATATATATATATATATATATATATATATATATATATATATATATATATATAAAGGTCATTATATATGTTATTGTAAGTAACAGGAAGAAGTGCTATGTCTCTGTAATTACTACACTATAGTCCGAGGTACAGATCCCTTTTTATCAAATTATTAACATTTGCCTAAAACTTTGTGAATAGCTTCATCTCATCGTAACCAACAACTATTTAATATACAAAAATTCTCAGGATTGGGGCAGTTTCAATCTGTAGATAGGCAAACTTTGTTTATTTAACTAGGTACTAAAAACTCGTAAATAACTATTTGCTTTCCACTTGGATCGTAAGTTAATTTTATCACACAATCGATACAAAAGGTTGCCTACAAAAATATTGGACCATTTGGCCTATATAACCTCGTTATTTTGACAATTTGGAGGTGTAGGTCTCATCAAAAGGCTCAATATTTTTAAAGGCTACCTTTTTGCTTGACTTCGTGCTCAAGTTATCTTATGATTCAATAGGAAAGCAAATGAGTATTTACGAGATTTTAGTATGTAATTAAATAGAAAAAGTTTGCTGATCTCCTGATTGAAAACATCGCAATTCCAAGAATTTTCGTAAATAAAATATTTTTGTTAACGATGAGATGAAGCTATTTATGAAGTTTCAGAAGGATGTTAATAATTTGATAAAAAGGGGTCTGTACCACGGACTACTCATACATGAAGATTTTCTTTAAGATAAGGCTGACTAAACCCTTGGTCTAAGCCTCTGGTATACTTTCGTACTCCCATATTCTCTGAATTAATTATAGTAGCTTGGCTCTTTTGTCTTCTCCTTCATCATTAAAAAGCTCTGATTGCAGGTTGTTGGTAAGTATGGTAGGATTTTTATAAAACCTAAATTAGTAAAGAGTCTAACACAAAATTGATTTTTCAAATTGAACTGATTATGTCCTCAGAGTGGAGCATACAAACCAACAAACTCTACATCTTGATATACGAGGGTGGTCTGAAAAGTTTCCGACCGCAACATGAAGATGGCAACACTCGTAAATACAAGCAAGTGAATTTGTTGTTCATCTGTTGACAGTTACCCATCAAAGTTTCATCCATTTTGGACGCGCAGTTTTTATGTAACAGTTGTTTGAGTGAGATCATGTGTTTTTGTGAAAATGGACAAAATTGAGTATCGAGCTGTCTTTAAATATTTGTTTTTGAAAGACAATACGCCTACGCAAATTAAAGATGAGTTGGATTCTGCGTATGGAGACAGTGAAATTCAGTGAAATTTTGGGCAGCTGAATTAAAACATGGTGGTAAGAGTTTGGAAGATGATGAACGTTCGGGATGTCCAAAAACTGCAACTACGGACGAAAACATCGCCAAAGTTCACCAAATGATGCTAGACGACTGCCGAATTAAAGTGAGCAAGATAACAGAGGTTATGAACATGTCAAAAGAACATATTTGTTACATATAATCAACATTTAAATATGAGAAAGCTGTCCGCATGTTGGGTGCCGCGTTTGCTCATGTTAGACCAAAAACGTGTTTGAAAGAACATTTCCAACGCTCTGTTGGAGCAATAAATCCGAGATTTGGTACCGATTAACTAATGTAGATGAAACATGGACACATCATAATACATTCCAAACAAAAATACAGACCAAAAAGTGGACTGCAAAGGGAGAACTGGCTCCAAAAAAGGCAAAGACTGTTTTCTCGGCTGGGAAAGTGATGGCGACTGTTTTTTTGGGATAGTCATGGAGTTATTTTAATCGACTATCTTTAAAAAAGAAAAAACATTACAGGGGCATACTATGCATCATTACTTGACAAGCAAAACGGCAAAATTCGGAAAAGCGACATTTTTTGTTCCCTTTGCTAAAAATTGCTCTCGGAGGACAGAGATTTTTGTCAAATGAAGAGGCAATCACCTTCGTGAACAATTATTTTGTAGAGAAAAATGCCGAGTACTTTTTGGGCGGGTTACAGAGATGGGAGCGTCGCTAGGAGAAGTGTGTAGAGTAACAAGGAGATTATGTTGAAAAAATTCAGCAAAAATGTCTTGTATTTTTGTTAGGTCGGAAACTTTTCAGGCCACCCTTGTAAGAGTGTAGATTTGATTGATGATATTTTTAACCTCTGCCTCATCTGTTTAATCTTTAAAGTAAAAGGCGTGCTCCTCATTCTAAATTATTAAATTATGGGAAATAATGATGATCCTTATGTAATACATATTTACAAGCCAAAAATTAAATTTTTTAAAGTTATAAATGTTTTGAATGACTAGTAAAACTAAAATATACCTAGTTCTGCCATAAATGCTGTTACAAAAGCTGAACTTCGTTAACATCCATGGGTGTTATTTAGATAATCCTTACCACTATCAGGTTATTTTCTTTTGCTCAGTTAGCATAGAGTGGGGTGATAAAGAAAACCGAATAGCTGTGAATGCCTTACACAAAGTTGGAAAATGTAGGTCAGAGATTTTCAAACTTTGAAACCTTTGGGTATCAGCCGCATATTCATGTACAGCACTATAATAGATATAATGAGACCCTATCTCTATGTGACAGACCTCGACAAGACCATCCCCGCACTGTGAGAACGGCAAATGCAGTGAGAGCAGTGGCTGCTCGATTCATAAGGAATCCCATATGAAAACAACAAATCATGTCTTAGGACATGATCAATGAACTGGGAATCTCGGTCAGATCAATGTCTCGCATAAAAAGTGACATCAGGATAGGTGCATTTCGAAGAATTAAAGGACAAAGGCTAACCACTTCGCAAAAAAAAATTAGAGTGGGTAGATGCAAAGAGCTCCTTGGCCGTTACATCAATGGTCCTCATCGAAAGATTGTGTTTAGTGATGAGAAAATTTTTACAATTGAAGACAAATTTAATCACCCAAATGATCGTGTATAGGCACACAGCTCTAAAGAAGCCCAGGAAGTTATTGAAAGAGTGGAAAGAGGTCATCACCCTTCCTCAGTGATGGTTTGCTGGAAGTCATTGGGGTTTCCAGCAGGATTCCGCTCCAGCTCACAAGGCCAGCTCAACTCAGCAGTGGCTGAAAAATAACATTCCAGAGTTCATCTCTGCCTCGGATTGGCCCTCAGGAAGTCCTGATCTCAACCCACTAGATTATCAGCTTTGGTCAGAACTGGAGAGGATGGCATGCCTGACTTGGAAAGCCTCAAACAATCTCTGGTCCGAGCAGTTGAGTGCTTTCTTCAAGAAGTGCTGCATGCTGCTATTGATGACTGGCCACAGATATTAAATGCCTTTGTCAAGGCAAAAGGGGGACATTTTGATTGTAATTTCTTTTTTGTTTTAATCTCTATAGATATACATTTTATTTTCTAATAAAGTTTTTGAAAAAAATAATTTTTCTATTGAAATCTGTATATATTTTCTGGTAATAATATTTATGACAGAACTAGGTATACTCTAATAATAAAATTACTGTAAATTATATTCATCAAAATATGAGAGGATCACTATATAATTATTGCATAATCATATTACTGTATTGATTATTATTTTTACTTGGGGCCAGGACTTAAGTCTGGCTGTGGCAGATAATTTAAACAGATAAACTGGGTGTAAGCCACCCAACCTTCAAAAACTGGATACCCGGACTTTCATTGAGTTGGAGAGAGGGGAGAGAAGGAATCTGGTGGTTGAATGTGTTCCTGGCCAGTTCACCTCCTTGGCATAGTAGTTGGTCAAGAAACAATACTTCCTTACCAAGATCCTGATAGAATATGTGTTTTACCAAGAAAGATTTTATACAGATATCTAATATTAAAACATTAAAACAGTAGATTGGTATTTTTAATATTAATTGTTGAAGCCAACAGAAACATTTATTATTCTTTATTGAACCTTTACTTCATTTTTTATAACTCATTAGTTACATAACTAACATGTCACTTAAACATTTTTTAATGTTTCAAAGTTTTGACCTCATTATCAGCCTACATTGTTACAGCAATACTGAACAATATAATTATGGAATGTAATTTTTGTTTGTAATGTATGAATATAAATTAATTTAAATAAATTTTCCTTAAAACTTTATTATTTTAATTTATATCATAGTATAATTTATTTTAACATTATATTTTTATTTATCCATGCTATATTTATTTCTAAATGTATTATTTTTATATATATAATTCTGTGTTTAGTTATTTTTAAAATTTCATTTACTTATTTATATTTTTTTTTTAATCTGACCTATTCGATTACTTATTATTGATGTTTAATTTTTCTCCCTCTAAATTTATTTATTCTTTAAACTACTTAAACATAATTATCTGATTACTTGTTTTAGTTAATTTAATATATTAATAATGGTTATTATATCATGTTAATTAATTAATATTATAATATTAATTATTCTTATTTATTTAAATTACTTTTAAATATTAAGGATCTTTAGGGGTGTAACTTGTATGAGATTGTACCACTCATTTTGACAGCTGTATTATTGTAATGATCCTGAGAAATATCAAATGAGATCAAATGCATTTTTCATATTCGTCACATAAAAATTGCATTAAAGAGATATTGTGCACAATGACAGTGTAAAAAATGTCAGTCAGTCATTGGATATGTATTTCTAGCACAAATTTAATGTGAGGAATATGGTAAATGACTTTTTTAACACTAGATATTTACATCACAGTTGTAACTTTAAAATTGATGAAATGATTAACATCTTAAAATAATTGAATCCGGTAACTTTTGAGCTAGTAAATGTTTACGTTTACTTTATATATATGTAATCTTTATCAGTTAAAACATGTCTTTCAAAGTAATCCTTGAAATATTGAACAACAAAAAGATGGATAAGATAAAAATTAAACAATAATAATGTGACCATGAATATAAATGAAGTGTGAAGGTTTTCATGTAATGTAAATAGTTGGGTTGATATTAATGGACAAACAGTTCTTATATTAGGTAAGGTAACAATACACATGTTGACTATTGTCAAGAACTAGATTCATACTGAAATAAAACCTATCTAATAAAAGTTGAAACTCCATTAAACAGTACTAAAATAAACTAAATTCCCATAAACTCTAAAAAAGCCTTCTTAAATCAATGTGATGGGGAGAAACATGGCAATGCAATTCACAATGTCATGCAGAATAAATCCAGAACATAAAACAAAACAAACTTATTAGACACATTAGTTCCACTAGTCAGTTTCTAATGTAACATCCTATTAGAAATATAATGAACCAAGTTTCTTTTCTAGTAAGATTTTGTATCCACAGGAAATTCATTTCACTTTAATGTTAATAATTGTTCTTTCTAAATGAAACTAGAAAGGTATTGCAGGTAGAGCAGGCTATAGGAGATTATTTTTAATCAAGTTTCATAGAGAATTATTTAAAAATAAATAAATTAACATAAACCGAATATTGATTTCTAAAATATAAATTAGAATGTAATATTTTTCTCTATGAAGTTTAATTTAATCTTAGTAAAACAAGCACAAATTATAAACTGGATTAATACTACTGATAATTAGTAAAATGAGATTTATAATAAACAGTAAATCTCACTTAATCGAGCAGGAGGCTGTATCGACCTAGACCAATGGTCATAAGATCTAGATCTTTGTTCCTGCGTGGCTGCAGGACTTCCTCTAGATTTTAACGATCTAACAGTTTCGTCCCATTCATCAGATGAAGTCTGCGACCTAGAGGAAAAGGAGTAAAATTTCATTAGAATAATACTACTATAAGTTTTAAACTAATGCTGAAGTACTGAGTATAAATAAACGATATATGGAGATACAGAAAATCGATTCTATACTTGGACGACAGTTATTAAATATTCTAATACCACAAGTTCATTGATTAAACAAAATAAATTAAAATATATAATAAAAATAAATTATTACAGATAGAAACCAATAATTACAAAATAAATAAATGTATACAATATAACTGTTGGAAAAACCTATTTCAAACTTTAAAAAAGGCCAAATTTATGTTTAAAATAAGCAAAACACCTTGATTCCTAAGAATCAGAGTTAGACAGGAGAGGATAAGAACAACTGGCACATTATTTAATGGAGTTCCTATCTCAATATTAAATGATATAATATTTAATATTTTAGTTGTTGTAAATTAACTTTCAAAGGCCTTTGATACAAAATAAATGCAGTATGTTAAAAATTATGGATTATACAACATAATATATTCATTTAAACAACAAAACTATTACATTAAATGGGTTTATTGAAATAGGTTACCAACATATCCTTATAAACTATTCCATAAATCGTTCACATCATAAAAAGAAATGCAATGATAATTATCAATTTGCCAACCATGTACCCTTGATCGCTTAAAGGTTCACAGATACAAAGCCTTAATTTTCATGCAGAAGAAGCTGCTTTGTCCAGAAATATAAAAATATAGGTAAATAATAAATAGAAGAAAGAGGTAGATTTCAATACTGGATGGAACAGAATGTATTAAGAATTTTAAATCAATTATTAAGTTTTATGAACTTTGAGTAAATAGAAACAGAAATATTTGCTAACACTAATATAGGTCAAGCCAATGTTGCTTTGTTCACAATGCTGACTATACATAGACATGGCAGTAATCAATGTGAGTTCTAAGACGCTGCAAACCATGAATTGTTGTCTGAGAAAATAACTGCTATTTAGAGGTCTAAAGTAATATTGACTGAAGAACTTTGACTATTTCAGAACAAAAGCTAATCAACATTGAAACAAACAATTGAAAAAGCTACAATAAACAAGAAAGCTTTTGATTGAAATGTGCAAGATGCCTAAAGAATAAGATGGCAAAAATCTCTAGAAAGAGACCAGTAATAAGCAGAACATGGAGCAGGCAAACAAAATCTAGAATGAAATGGAGGGATAGACAAAGAATAGAAATAGCTAGAAGATATCTGTTAAGGCCTTTTGCATCACATGGGGAACAGGTATAGGAATTGATTGATTGAATGAAAATCTAAATTTATTTGTAACAAAAAAAAAAAAAAACACTCACATCTATACTTATATGTACACCAATAAGTAGACTATCCTCCGTAAATTGTCCTTAGGCAAACCCACCCAGACCCAGTCTGTCCCTATCTCAGCCGAAGTACTCAATACTCACTTAGTCCCCTCTCCTTCCCATTCCTCTTTCCAGCACCAACTCAGATCCCCATTCTTCCCTCCTTTAATACTAATCATTTCTTCTTTCCTCATATTACTCCCGATGACCTCCTTAATTTCATTCATAAATCCCAAACCAATGATTTTGGACCTGACAACATCCCGGTTAAATTAATTAAACCTTCACTTCCAATCATTCTCCCTGTCCTATATCATATTTATAACTTTTCGTTGCAAAGTTCCACTTTTCCCAACACCTGGAAAACTACTCTTGTTCGTCCGCTGAATAAAACCTCCAATCCTACAACCCCTAATGATTTCCCTATTATCTAACCTTTCCAAACCTCTAGAACGATTAGTTCAATCCTAATTATCCCACTATCTCAAGCAAAATAACATTCAGAACTACCACCAATCCGGTTTTAGACCAGACTACTCCACCCATTCCACCCTTATTAAAATCTCCATACAGCTATAGACCAACAGAAACTCAACATCCTTATTCTCCTTGATTTTTCCAAAGCCTTTGACTCAGTAGATCAAAAGATACTCCTTGTCTTCTAGTGTCCTTAAATGGCTCCCAGCATGTTTTAGTCCCTAATAATCTCCCATCAGTCTCTATCCTTGTCCAGAGGCGTTCCCCAAGGGTCCACCTTATCTCCCATCCTTTTTACTTTCCTACCTATACTAGGCAAGGAGAGTATTGCAATAGGGTCAAATTTCCGATATGGAGTTTTCGACGGATCTATACGTTTCAGAACCCCCTGAGTCCGAAAAACACATTTTTAGCCATTGGTCTGTCTATCTGTGCCAAGATTTTCTCAGGAATTAGAGAACCGATTTTGTTGCTTCTTTTTTTATTTTGTAGGGTTTTAACTACTGATGTTTGTGACACAAATTGCATGCTCCATGTGCAATAGCTGCAGAGCAACAAATGACATGTCACAATATTGTTCTCTTAATACAATACTTCAACTTTTTGTGGTACTTAATGCATACAATATCGTTTTATAAAATAATAAAAAACTCATAATTAATTTACAAAACATACTTGATTGGTATAGGTTCAGAAGGCTGAACAGTTTGAATGGCAGGCTTCCTTGCGGCAACAGGGGAAGAAGGTCCGGGCGATTCCTATAATATAAAAAATATTAATAAATTTTAATATATCACATCAAAAATTAAAATAAATTATATTTATAAAGTATCAATTTTACTTCTTGAATTATATTCTGGTAGCCAGAATAACACTAAGTTCTATTAGAATATATTAGCTGATATACGTGATCACTTAGGCACTAAAACTGTAGATCAGGCCTATCCAATTCAAATGGGTTTATGGACAACTTCTATACCGCTTAAGGGAGAGTGTATTTCACTTTAAACTAACATGTTTCCCTCTTCTATATAATTTTTAATACACTCTAATATAATTGTCTCTTTCCTGTCTTTCATTTTTACAATGAAACACTCGTCAGTTTCTCGACAAAATCCGCCAAACATCCATTGTCCAGGTAGCACTCTCCATACACGATTTTTTCTTTTAGAAACTTTAAGAAAGACTTTAATCAAATTTCAACAACTTTTCCTGGCTCTCCATTTTTTTTAGTTGACATATAATGTTATAGGCATAAACCACTTATGTTTGATAGTTTCAATTGATTCGATTGATGTTAAGTTATGAGACCAGCCATAAAGACACTTTAAAGCCCTTAAAATGCTAATTCTAGACTTTGTCTAGCCACATTCCTGTTCTTGTAGAAATATTTTTTCTACAACTTTGACAAAAACATCTCCATTTGATCTTCTTGTCAAACTCCATTTGATGAGCATCCATGAAAAGAAGAGGTTACAGGAGATAATAAGAAACAAGAAGATAGATTCCATGGTGACCCAATAAAGCACAAGTACCCAATTTTTTTTGGGCAGTCGCCCAAAACAAATATAGGACTAGATTTATAGTTCAATGAAACACACAAATTTTCATTTATTTAACATCATTTCTATAGATACAAAGAGAAACAAATTCGCAATGGAAAGTTGTGGGCCGTGGGTTGGTCAGGCCCCTGCTGTAGACTATTTTTAAGATTTGAACCTCCCTAAAAATATTTAGCTCTAAGTCAACCTTTTGTATGTTAGATTCTGGATATTTAAAGTAATGGATTATAATAACTAAAAAGATATAAATAGAATATAGCTGGATATTCAACAATCGTACTTGGCATTACTTAAACTATAATAAAAATGTATCGTAATAAAATAAATGATTACAAGTAAAATCTTACCGAGGGAGAATCATCAGAAGAAGCGGGACGATCATTTCTTGAATGCGGTCGGAAGCCAGGTCCGGGTGGTAAGTTCTTTTGGACGCAACAGTTAACACCAGGACTAAAGTGAAGTTCAACATGAAACCTAATAAAAACAAAATGTTAATTAGTAAAAAATAACTAGATCCACACTTTGAATTATGGGTAAATTCTTAAGACAAGTTAAAAATATTTTTAATGGAAGAATCATATTAAATCCAAACAGCATATCGCCTTTTGACATGAAACTATAAAGAACATAAATTTATTTATTTATTAAAATAAATTTTGCTACTATTTATTATTCTTGATTATTGCCTTCAATGTCTATCAAATTCAAACAATAGGAGTAAAATCATAATCTAACTATTGACATACTCATTTATATGTAGCAGCAGAATAAGAAATATATAATATGATTAAGAATCATCCATATTTTAATTTTTTTATTATAAATAATAAATAGTTTTATTAATCATAAGATAGGGAAAATTATTTTTTTTTGTTAAAATTGAATAAATAGATCTCATCTGTTTTAAGAAATGATGACCATTACTAAATTTTTGTAAAGAAACTATTGTTTCAGTTTAATTTATGAAAACCTTGATTTATGAAATTTATGCTTTTTTTTTTTAAATCAAATTTATATATATAACAGGATAACCTTTCTTCAGTGTTCGGGTCTTTTGTGGGGTCTTCATAAAGAAGTATGACAACTTGAGACATATAATTGAGTTCTGAGACCATACTGACATATTCCATCGCCCTTCTCCATTGTTCATCCTTCGGATCCTGGTAAACAAATTTAAAAAAAAATAAATAAAAAATCAATTTACATAATACTAAAACAGAAAAAGATGATTTCCATTTTAACAATTTATTTAAATATCTGTTTATATTACTCTAATTTACATGTTACTCACTAATCCCTTTTGGGTAACTCTAAGATGTCTTCTGTCCATCTGGAAAAATAATAAATGTATTCCATTTGGTATTGACCCCAATAAATAAATAAATTTAAAAAAAAATCCAGTGACCCATTTTAGTTATCTCCTTTAAATGCATAATTATCAGTGTTAGTGCATTACTCAAATTTACATGTAGAGTGTTAAGGGTTAATATATCATGCTTTGTCCAATTAAACGTTGAACCCGATTTTCATTAAAATAATGAAGACAATTTTGACAGCTGATGAAAACCCAAAAGTGTAGAAAAATTACAACAGATCTTAAGGCTTTCACTGTTGATGGACAAGATATGAGTAAAATTTATCAAACCTTTGAGTTATTATAAAAGCTAAGCATTCTAAGGTTTGATGATGTTACTACTAACAATCATTATCAGCTAATAACAGAACCCTATTTGAAACCTTTATCTAAGAATCAGACGTAATACAATCCTCTACAGTCCACCCACCTTTTAAATGTTTACCAACCAATTCATCACAGATTATCTATTATAGAATGTCAAATATACTTTGAAAATGGGTATAATTTACTATTAAACCAGAGGAATAACATTGAATATTAATTGTACCTGTATAACCAATATACATATATCAATTAATATTAAATTAAAATATTCAATAAACAGTCTAGCCAATATTTATCGATTAATGAAAACAAAAATTAGTAATGGCGGTTACACCTACACTAATATTATGATCAAAAAGTCTATACTGAAATGCAATCGTGGCTTTTTTATTTGGACTTAATGTTCTGATGTACTCCATCTGGAGTAGAGAGAGTGGATCCTCAGACAACAAACTTATTCGAATCAGAGTGGGACAGATAAGACTTATATCGTGTGTATTAACCACTCAGGGTGGATTCCAACCGGTGCTGTTTCTGACTTAAGAAACCTTAAACCTTCACATCCTTGACCACTACGGCCTCAAAGTATAACATTAAAAAAAAATTGATATTGTTCTTGATACAAAAAACCAAATTAGTGCATCTGACCAAAAAATCAGGTATGTTTATTTTTTAAACTCAATAACTAAAATCTTTATACTAAATAAAGATTATACTAAATGATATAATATATACATTATTTGAATGAGAAAGAAAAATAGATTTTTATTTTTCATAATTAAGTAATCCAGTTAATCACATTTCGAAATTTCTATGGTATTTGGTATGGAGAACATGAAAATTCACAATAACGTTAATGCAAACCGGTAAAAAACTAATGGTAAAATAAAATTTAATAAGACAAAATACATGGTTAGCAGGCGAAATAGTGACAATTTTTGTAGTATAAATATAAAAGGAAATTTATAAATCAGAAATAAAGGTAAGATTAAATGTGAGAAGGAAGTGCTTGTAACTTTCCAGTTGCCAAATTAACCAGCTCTTTCACTACTCAAATTTTCCAAATTTTCAACAAAAAATGTGGTTTGATTTATGGGCTTGTTTCGAATGGAAAAGGTGTTAATTCCTATTTAGTCTTTTCTTAAGGTGGTAACCTTTTCTCTTTCATAGGAAGTGATAACACAAAAATTATTTAATTCAAGTAATTAAAAATTGCTTCATAGAAAACTAGACAAAATTTCCTTCAAATACAAGTGGAGTTTGTCTTTGTCAAAACCATTTAAAGGGGTCTTTTGAGTGGCTAAACTACGCTAAGTTATGCTTTTCATTAAATCATGAATTATTGGCGATGGTTTTTTATCATCCTATAAATACATTATTTCAATAAAAACTTTCTTGTTAAATAAGCTTTAATTGCACATCAATTTAATTGAGTTTTGTTTTATTATAGAGTTGAGATTCACCTCTATTTCTGTGAAAAATTATGTGATTTGATATTCTGTCACTACAGAGTATCTATATTTTCAGCAAAAATAATAACCGAGAAACTATTACAAGGTTTTATTTCTTCTATTTCTTGTGATCTGACATCTATTAATTACGAAAATACACTTTTTATTTATTACAAAAATATGTTTAAAAAATACTGCTTTTTCAAAAAATTATATCTAAGTTGATAATGAACCATTGTTTATACAAACAGATATCTATTGTATAAATTGATTCTTATGGTATTAAGTAACTAACGGAATGTTTTTAATGCTAATATTGATGGTTACATGAAAAAAAAAATTGAGCGTTTCATATTTAGAAATTTTAATTTACAATGAGTTTTAATTGCCACACAAAAGTCCCCTTTAAATGGTTTTGGCAGACAGAATCCACTTGTATTTGAAGGAAATTTTGTCTAGTTTACTATGAAGCAGTTTTTAATTACCTGAATTAAATAATTTTTGTGGTATCGTTTCCTATGAAAGAGAAAACATGACCACCTTACGAAAAGATAAAATTGGACTTAACTTCTTTTCCGTTCGAAATAGGCCCATACATCAAATGAACTTTTGTCTAGAATCACCTTCCAGAGTTTGGTCATTAAGAACTGATATATCCTGTAGAGGTAAAGTCATTGTCAATATGGAAAAAAACTACGAAGGGGGCTTAATGTATTCAAGAATAAAGTACAATATTTGGATCAAGGAATCACGGGGCTGTTGATGAATTTAAGCAGTTATACAAGCAGCAATGTCGAGCATGCATCCTGCTAATAGGATTAAACTAATAGTATCACAACCGCAGAAATGGCTCTGTAGCTATATTGGGCTTAGTAATGAGTGAATCTGAGAAAAGTTAATAAGCTCCTAGATGACTGAAGAACGTCTGAGCAGTTGATCAATGAGTAGAAAGATTGTCTTAAAGCTGGTCCAGCAGATTTGGGTTTCGATGGTGATTAGTGGATGGAGGTATGTAAACAGCAATTGATTAAATGAGGTCACTAAGCCTTTTATTATTGTTAATATGAGAAAACACAGAATAATAAATGGTTTTAAATATTTCGGACATCTCATTGGTGAAACGTATCAGCAATCAGAAAAAATCTATTTAAATTTAAGGTCAGGATTAAGTCTAGAACCAGAAAATCTTAATAATATTACTTCTCAATAATAATAATAATAATAATATTACTTAATAAGAAGTTGATTCATAAATAAAGATACTTGTTAATTATAGTATCGCTTGAATAATAATTTATCTAATATTAAAACACATGTTCATTGCTTTCTTACTGGCAACTATTGATATTCGTTTTGAAAAGTAACCTCATAATGTACACATTAAAAAGCATTTTTTGCGAGGTTAATGATGAGAAAACAGTAATTGTGTTTCTTCAGGATTTTACCAAGAATAAAGGTATATTCCAACGACCATGAAATGAATCTTTATTTTAGTAAAAATTGAAAGATTATGGGGATCACCTAAATGGGAAAATAAAAGAAGAGGAACAAATCGGAATTTCTTAGCATCTTATTTATCAGAATTCATGTGGCGCACTAAACTTAAAGAAAAAGTTCCATTTTCTTAAATTTTAGTAGATTTAACAGATTTTTGGTTTAAAATAAATAAAATTAATTTTGTTTACATAAACAGGAGTGTTTTCATTATTTTATTTAAATAATTTAATTTATAAGAAACAGCAATATTATAATTAACAAGTAGCTAAATAAACTGTTATATTTTTGAGATTTATTTAAGTTAAAAGCTAATTTAAATTTAAAAAATAAAATGTGAGAAGGAATTAGTCGGGGGTGTGGTAACAGTCAACCATCTCTACATCATTAAAAAATAAAATGGTTTAAATGTACTACTGCCATTAAAACGTAAATAGTATTAATTGTGTGAAATAATTTTTGGAGGTGGAGTGGTTGAACGGGCTAACGTGTATAAAAAACATTTTGGAAACTGCCATTAATCCCCCGTCCTTTCTCTAGGCCCAGAAAAAAACCCACATAGCCAAAAAGGCGAGGAAGGGAACAAAAAAAAGTAAGAGATTTTTATTTTGTAGTGGAAGCTGTAAGTTCTGGTGAAAGACATGATGTAGTTCAAGTTGGAAAGAAACAATAGCCCAAAAGAGATTAAATGAGTGAACAAATTGTAAAATTAACAATAATGATTACATGAATCCCCGTTATCAAAGAGATATTGAACTATATTTAATTTTATTTTTAAAGTTTATGTAAAAGCAGGTTTCCATAGTAAAATTTATAAGGGAAATAATGGTGATGTTAGTTGCAGCCATACCGCATTTTACCCAACAAAAAGCAAAAGCTGAAAGTTATACTAGGTGTCAGAGAGTTAAAAGCAATAATAATTTGAAAAATATTTAATTAATTTTACTATAGATACATATAACTCTTAGTTTCATTTTCATTTTTTTTTTTCCTAACTAGTTATATCCCAATTAAATATAGTTCATCAATATCAAAGTGAACTCTATCTATTTTTATGAATCATAATGAATATTGTTTAAAAATATTTTTAAAAAATGTATATATATATAACTGATTTGATTTTTTAAGTTATTTTTAGAGAAGATATAAATATTAATAATTGAAGGTTATCCAAGGTCAACTTTTTTTTTCTTCTGAAAAATACCATAATAATTTTTCTACCGTTTTCCAAAACTCATGTTCTCTCAGATGGAGTTCACTTTGTTTCAAGGGAAACAGTGTACAGTGTAGGTTATTAAATGCATTATCATGAGTTAATAAAAGCCAAAAGCTACTGAATTAGTGATCATACAGAAATCAGCCCGCCATATCGAAGGACAGTTAACAAGGAATGTATATGACTTTCGCTAGTGAAGTAAAGCCTTGTGCGAACATGCCTTCCTGGACTAGAAACACCATGGGAATATCTGGAACAGTTAAATACAATATTTTGAAATATGTTAATAATATAATAATAAAAATGCATGATATTTATAACAAATATTAAAAAAAAAAAAAATTCATTGGAATCCCATTTTAACTATTCCTGTAAATCCGCATTCTCCCCTAAACTTTTTTTTTTCTTCATGGGAATTCCTCTCGGTAATCATACTCGGAATTGGGGCCTTTTCAATCTGGAGCTTGGCAAACTTTGTCTATTTAATTAGGTACTAAAAACTTGTAAGTATCCATTTACTTTCCACTTGGATTGTAAGATAATTTGAACAGGAAGTGGATAAAAAAGGTGGCCTACAAAAATATTGTGCCTTTTGGCCTACATAAGCTTGTAATTTTGATGAATTGGGAGTAAAAGTCACGCCAAACGGCTCAATATTTTTGAAGGCCACCTTTTTTATAGACTTTGTGCTCAAGTTGTCTTACGATTAAAGTGGAAAGCAATTGGGTATTTACAAGTTTTTAGTAGCTAATTAAATAGAAAAGGTTTGCCGACCTCCAGATTGAAAACGCCGCAATTACAATTATTTTCGTAAATAAAATATTTGTAGGTTTACGATGAGATGAAGCTATTTACGAAGTTTCAGGCGAATGTTAATTATTATTGAAAATAATAAACCTAAAGGCCTGCCTAGGGTTCTAATTCCTATTATCCTTCTTAAATTAAGGGATCAGAACTACCATTTTAATCGCTTATCACCAAAGTAAGCACTACCAGATTCTTGTCGAAATTGAGATAAGTATCGATTACCATATAAAACCACAAAATGAATCCAATAGTGGCATTATTATTATTTTTTAAACAAACCTAAATATTTAAAAAAAAAAAAGTGATGTGAAAATAATTTATTTCCAAAACCGGCCTTTTTTTTCTAAGAATGCAATGGAACTTGCATTTCTTAAGTATTCTTTAAAAATAATTCATCAATCAAAAGCTTTATAATAGTTTTATTCAAATGAAAAAAGGGGGTTCCATAGTCATGAATTTAAGATGCTATGGATAGAAAGGGTACTCTAGTACCATAAGAAAAAGGTTAATTGGAGAAAAAAATTGGAATGGGAAAATTCTAAAAACTGCATGAAATTATATATTATCAAGCTTAGAAATACAAGAAAAAAAAGGCATCTTAATAAATAATTATTAAAAGACTTTTAAGTCCTTCATGCTAACATTCATACTTAATTTATCTTTAAGAGAAAAAAAAAGTGAATAAAACTTTATCTCAGATTAGTAATGATTATTTATTTATTATAAATTAAAATAATTTTAGGCATAAACCATTCAAATTGTATACACACTCCTGAGTAATTAATAATAATAATAAGTAATAAGTCAAGTAGAAATAAGCTTTAACAATTTAAATGATTTATCTTCATTTTAATTGATTATAACAAAAAAGGTTACTGTAAGTGTTGTAAATAATTAAGATTCTCAGTCCCAGAAATGTTCAGAAGCCAACTGAAAGTTATGACAAAAGTGCGTTTAAAAGACATTTAATAACCAGCCAAAATTTTCCAAATTCTATGATTTAATGATTCCATGTTGGTTAACAGAATGTTTGTATTTATTAATTTCTTTCAGTATGCCAATCAAGGTCCACAAGTTGGGAACAAATTATAAACTAGTTGATTAGTGAGTCAATGGCACAATTACATTGATGCAAAGGGATATGTTTAATTATTTTCTTAAATAATAATAAGAAATTAGCGCATTACAGAAATTATTTTCATGTTTGCACGCAATATAAAAAATATATATAAATTTCTTTAGAAGTCAACTACAAACCGTGGGTTCAAACGATTCACATTTTCTTCGCTTTCTTCAATGTTCCTTTGTAGGTCAGCTCTAATTTTTTTAAGGAGTGGAGTACAAATTCCTTGACTGATAGCTAATTTTTCAACAGGGGTCATGCCATATTCCTAAAAAAGAGAAAGTGATTCAGAAGAAGCGCTGGTGGTGTTTTATCTTTAAATAAAATTGTTGAAATGAACCTTCATTTAACATTTGTTTAAAATATCTATTTTTTATAATACCTGTGGAATGACAATATCTGCAAGATATTTTGCATGTATATACAGTTCTTCAGCTTGATCAAATTGCAGAGTATGTTGATTATGTTGAAGATCATACTTAATGCAATCATAAATGTCAGGTACTTTTGAAATATCAAATGTTCTATTTTTTAAGCAAAAATCTTTTTCAATTTTACCCCATCTTCTTCCCATCAGTTCCCATGTTTCACCATGGTAGAGAGTTGCATCTGAAAATAAATGAATTTACAATAGATGAATATTATTTTTAAAAAATTAATGAAACATAAAAAATAATAATGATTATACCAATACATATAAAATAAAACTGTTAACCTACTATTTCAGATTGGGATGGTTTGGTTTTACCTCTATGAAAAACCTTCCTCCAATAAGCCAGAAATGGTGAGTAGTTTAGAGGGTTATCCAATAAAAAAAAAAGTTTAGATTGGGATTCTGACCACTTCCCAACTCAGCCGGTTAATTCAAGATATTTGAATGGTAAAGGAAAATATTAACAAAAATATCAAATAAAACAGTCATGGCCAGAATGTCAACAGCTGTTGAACTGTGTCGCTGTTCAGTGTATAAAAGAACCTCCTCCATTGCAGTCAAAGTTTTTAAACATCTGAGCAAAGTTCCCATTATGATTTAAAGAATGTAGATTTTAATTCATTAGTCATGACTGACATATATATCATGTCCTTAGTGTTCATTTTTTACATATTAAGCAGGGACATTTCACTCTCCACGCCTAGCAAAAAAGAACTATAGATCTGTAATTTTTTTCCTGTTTTTATTAGGCTAAATGATCTGATGGCAAGTTAATGCAAAGCTGCATAACATGAGTTCAACTGTCAGTTATATACCACCATAAAAAATATAATAAAACTAAATTGGATAGTACCTAAATTCATTGGTTTCTTGTTTAATGACAAAATAAACAATCATTAGATATTAATTAAAAGCAGCAAATTTATTATTTTGATCATGCGTACAAATAAATCTATGGTAAGAGAACGAAACTGACTTACAATCGATAATAAATCAATAATAAAAATAGATTATATATTAAAATTGTACCTTTTGTTTTAGGATCATCTTTCTTTAAACGAACTATATTCATTAATTTTTGTATTAAAACTTGAACACGTTCACAACATTTAACAGGATTTTTAACAAAATCCAATGCTAAATTAATAGATATGGCGTTGCAAGGGTTAATCAATGCTCTCTCTTCCGGAGTAAAATCATGGTCCTGTTGCAGAAGAGCATGAAGACGTGTCTTTGCTCTAAAATTAGAAAAAAAAAATTATAAATATTTAGTCAACTTGATTTATCTTTTGTTTAATTATAGTTTAATTAATTTTTTGTAAGACAGATTGTACAGAAATTCAACAGACCTGTTAACATATTGTTTTTTTCATGAAGAAAAATCTTAAATATAAGCTAAATCAAAATTTTAAACAATTAACTAGTACATTAGAATTGTGAAGTAAGCCAATGGGTTTACTGATATGAATAACATCATTCCCCATAAGAGATAGTGATGCTTTAACTAATGGAATTCTTTATGATGATTCATATCATTAGTAACTCCAATTTCTTATAGTAAAGGCTAAAAAATAATATAAAGTCCAGTCGGAGTTCACAGATAAAAGATTGATGATAAGAAGATAACATAGATCAAATGATTTTTTACACAATTTGAAATTGATTTTCGAGAAGACTAGTAAAATAACTTAAATCAAACTGAACTTAATAACTTAAAAAGACTTTTGAATGGTTGAGGTTGAAATATTTAATTTAGAATTAACAATTAACTTAGAAATCCAAGATAAAAAAATTATTCATATCATCATTCTTTTTTTACCTTATGTATTTATTTTTAATATCTATATGCCAAACTTATCTGAACATAGCCAGGGTTTATTCACGGCACTTGCTGATAGTATCCCCTGAACATCATCCAAAAACTCTTTACTAACGGTTTTCATCCCATCTTAACGATATGTTTAGTGGGACTATCTGGTGAAAAATAAAAATGAGGAGTGTTCATTGTCGTCACAATGAATCGAGGATCTTGTTTTCAGGTGTATTTTAATAATGTTACCTATATCTATAGAAGTGTGATATTTAGAAAATCGCCAGGACAAAGATTTGTTTGAGAACCTATATCAAACTAAAAAGAAAGAAACTTAACAAACCACTTGCACTATTATCCAATCTAATTGAGAGATGCTCCAAATTACTAATAAAACCTTAAGTGTATACGGGTTAGAGCTCTGAGGCTCTTTGAAAACTTCAAACACCCTAGGAATTCGTTTGCAATCAAAACCTGTTAAGAGCACGTGAAGCAATAATTATAGAGTAATAGGCTAAAAAATCATCTATTGGCTACCATATCAGCATTACCTATCGGTGTGTAGGAGAAGAATAGATATCAGTGTCCTACCTTAGGGACCTAGGATGAGGGCGATCAAGGTACACCTGAGAGCAAGCAAAGTGGTCTCCATAACCCCGTATACTATATATTTTGTCTAGCTACTCCGCAAGTGGCAAAATGAAGTAGCAAGTATGTCATCATATTAATCTCAGCATAAAATACTACACTTTTTTTTTTTGCGTCCTCCCCTTCCTCGCCTTTAAGGCTATACGGGGTTCTCCTGGGCCAGAGAGTGTGGGCGGGAATTTAAATGACTCCCCCGGCACCAGGATGCGAATTATTTTTCATTGTTGTCTCATATGTCAGGTTGCCGGGCAACGGTGGTGCTGTGCACACTCGTTAGCCCATTTGGTCACCCCGCCCACTACATAAAATACTACCTAGATGTATTGAAAAAGGAGCCAGTACCGTGATGAAAGATTCAAGACATTAACACCTTGCCTCATCACTCCACAAGCCAGCATCTTCCCGGTCAATATAATGAATACCATTTTCATAAATCCATACAAACACATGAACTAATATAATTTGGTATCCCTATCAAAAGTAATATTTCTTTTATTATTTCACTGTTACTTTGATTAATTGTTAAAATTACATTTGATTCATTTTTAACATCTACAATGAACACTCCCTTTTGATATATGTTAGCACTAGGTCTTATTTCTCCCTATCTTGGGATAAGAGAAGACCTAATGCACTTTACAACCATTGCAAAAAATAGTGGGTGCAACATTCTATATAACAAAGAATAAGCTCCACAAGAACTAGAAAATTTTAGCAGTTTCACACACTGGCAAAGAATATTACAAAAACTTGAACATGATCCCTTCAGCAAAAGTACTTAGATCCACTATTAATCTATATATTCCCCTCAAAATAACACTCATGACAATGGCCATGAGATCTGTTAGTTATTCCCTATCCAGATGAACTCAGATCTATTTTTTACAAAAATATTTATAGAATAGACAAAATATATTTAATTACGTGTTTACAATTAACAAATGAATATAAATATATTTCACTAACACTTCCTGATGTTTTGAAGCATCCGAATCATTATCCAACAAGCCGTTGGTGTTAGCAGATTTCACCATCTGCACTAGAATCGGAGTAAGTTCTCCTTCTAATGCAAGCAAACCTTTCGCAAAGGCAGCAGCTGTCATTTGTACTCTCCCTTCATCAGAAGCATATATTTTAAGATCGTGTCTGTACGTTGAATGAAGACGAAGGAGACCCAAACCTTGTGTACCAGCATATTCACCTAACACAGGTTAAATACAATTTCAATAATATTAAATAAAAATTATATAATATAAATTTTTTCATAAAATATTTGTTCAATTAGGAAAAAAATTGGAGAACTGATAACAAATATTAATAATAACTGACAAATCATTTTAAGATATCTTTCCAACATATATTATATAAATATACATTTATTATTTATGAATGTACAGACAAAATAAGTAATTATTTAATCAACTCAAAGTTGCTTATTAATAAAATTGAATAAATAAATAAGAAATATTTAAGAAACTAAAAAACTGCAATAAAACTTGTTTTATTTATATAAATTAGTAATGTGAAAAAGCTTTTTTGAATTATAAATGTGCTTCTCAGAATTTTGTACTCCAGAGCAATTAGGCTGAGTCATAACATAACTGGCCTTTATAAAATTAGATAACCAAATATAAACATACACCAATAAACTTCAGCTATTAAACACTTCTCTCTAATAAATATGTTTCTCTATAGCAGAAAATTTCATGTGTCTCTACTTCTTCAATATACTTCAAATGGTTCTTCCTAGTGGTCTATTCTCTGTATTGATTGAGGGAAAACAATGTTTCATTTAGACAAACGAACTTTTCAGGTGGAAACTTCTCTCCCATGATGCTATAGATTTATTCTTCAATGAATAGAATTTAAAAAATAAATCATCTTAAAACATGCTTTGGAAAAAATCCTCCTAATATCTCTACTCCCAAAATTATTGCCAATTTTGCTGGGAACCATGACTACTGTATTTAACTTTAATAGCTTTTGCATCAATAAATTAAAAAATAACATGTATTTTATAACCCAGAATCAATCTTTACTTGTAATGTTTAACACGCTAGAGGTTTAACAAGCTATCTTAAAATTATAAAAACTATTAAAAAAATATTCATGATCTAATAGTAAACTTTTAGAGTATAATATCCCCACTACACTGTTATTATAAGGCTTCCTATCACTTTATATTGCAACAAATAGACAAAGTGCAAGCAAATTATTTCAGCAAGAACTAACCATGCTTTGATATTACTTGTTTTTGAAGCTTTCAATATCAGGATGTCCAAGCTGCTTTTATGTTCAAATTAAGCATTCTGGGACTAAGAAAATACCAATAAGCCGATGTGAATAACTTTCAAATTTTCTAGTGCAAAGCAAATTTTTTGACTATGTAATCTACATATTTATTCTATAAATAGACCTAACAATCATATATTCCAAACAATGCAAACAATTCAAATAATGTTTCGATAAATATGATAAAGTAAATATGCACAGGCATTGACAAGCCTAAGAGGTTTTAATGATAATCGGTTGCTCCTTTGTTTATAAAGGTTTTTAAGATATGAAAGTATTCTAGTTGTAAGGTTAAAAAAGTTGACAAAACTCTAATGTATTGATACTTTTGTAATATTGTGCAAAAGAATGGGATAAATAATAATATATAACAGTGGTAAAGAAGTTATTATTGTCAACTTCACCAGTAAAACAAAAACTTCCCAACAAAAGAAGAAATTAATGTAATATAGTGTGTAAGTTTAGTGCTTTTGATAGGGGTTTAATAGTTTATTAAAGCTTATTAATTCCGGAAATAATTACCTTGAATTAAAAATTTAACAAAGTTTTACTGTGAAATAAATATATTGATGGCCCTTATTTGATAATATTGTAACTGAGTTTTTTTTTTTTTTTTTTTCGAGTTTATGGACAATTTATATTAAATCTCTTATTTTATTAGAGGATTCTTATATAATTAGACGACCTCTGCCATCTTTTAGGGCACAGACATCATTTTGAATTAATTCAAAATATAGCAAAAAAGTCAGTTACGTAATTATCATAAAGAAGCATCAATATGAACATATTCTGAAAATTGAAAACTTTACATAAAGGTTAAGAAAAAAATAAAACAAAACTAAAGATTGCCTGTTCACTTCATAAATGTCTCATATATTATAAATACTACAATAACAAGACAACTACACAATTTGGGAATAATATTACTACAAAATTAGAATCACTTATTTTAATGATGTAAGAAGAAAGTGGTTACTGGAATTTAAAAACAAAGAAATGATTCTATATCTGGTGTAGTATTACCCCCACAGAGTGGTAAATTTTTTAAATATGCAAAATGTAAAACTAATATTAGATTATGTATGTATGCACATTAAATCATTATTAATAAAGAAATGTGAAAAGTTAGTGACACACAGATAGTTAGAAAAACAAAATAGCAAATGAGGAGGATGAGGCTGATCGAGGGATTAGGAGGCTTAATAAGCTGGTAGATTATGTTCAGTCTTCTCTTTGGAAGGAAAGATGTAACAAAAAATTTAATATTTCCCACTAATACTGTGATTTTGTATATATATATATTATTTAGTTGAGAGATAGGCCAACTCAAGACCACCCAAATATCACTTACAAGAAGGAGAGGATACAGTTTGTGGATCACCGATTTCAACCAAATTTTTTTTGGTGATACTTCCTCGAACAATATTATACACATTTTCTGGCGTTCTTTCCAATGGGCCAAAAGAGCTGAGAAAAAAAAATATCCTATATAATTTCAAACAACATTAAAGATTTTATTTTTGCCTTTGCTTTGCCCAGATTTTTAGGTAACTATATATCAATCGTTCTGTTTTTTTGTGCTGAATAAAAAAAAATTAACTATTGTATTAAATTAGTAATAATGTATCATAAATTACAAAAACCAAAAGGCTTCCAGTAAAGAAGGTCAAGTAAATTTTTGTTATGAAAAAGCAAATTATTATCTAGAAGAAATTAGATTTTATTTTTCGATTGCCATCAAAATTTGTATTTAAGGATATTTTTAAGTGCAAAAAAAGAAATATCAACTTTGTATCTCCCTAAAAAAATATTTAATCTCATATTTCTGCATTGGTTGGTCCATATTGTGCCCATACTGTAGCTATCTGCCAAATATAATATTTATTAAAAATCGGTCTGGTATCTAGAAATAAATAATTTCAAGTTGATATTGCAAGATGCAATGGAGGTTCTTTTGAATCTGACACCAATGCATTTAGAGGTGCAAGCACATGCTCTAAGAACTGCCTATAGGATGAATAAACTGGGAACGAGATCAAAATTCCTGACATTTCAGGGACATGGGATCGCCTTTGGTAGGGTTGATAGTAATGAGGTACTTGCAATGAGCTCTGAGCTTCAAGTTGATAATTATAGAGACATATTATATAATCTGAATATAAGCAGGAGTAACTCACATCGACCATGTAATGGAGTTAACTGTTATATCGACGGATCCTTAATGGAGCAGGGATCAGAAATGAAAAAATAGGTGTCAGGTGGAAGAGCAGTAATTCAGCTTTCCAACAGATATATTAAAGTTGAATTTGAAAAAATTCCAGAGGAGTTATAAATCTTTAGTTGACGGCCAGGAAAAACTCCATTCAAGAAAATGAAATATTGAAGGTCGTATTTTATTATTTATATAACAATTCTTATTTAAGAGTTTTAAAGGACCCTAAAAAAAATCTAATTTACTTTTTCATAACAAAAATTTAGTTGGCCTAGTTTACTGGAAGTACCTTTTGGTTTTTGTGATACATTATAACCCATTTAATACAATAGTTAATATTTTTTTTCTTGCTCTGCACAAAAAAACAAAATGATTGAAAGACAGATACACAAAAAATAAACTTTATTCTAGGACAGGGTCTCTGAAGAATAACAATAATGAACAAAAAGCAAAAACTACATCAATAAATATATGTATACTTTATTGATAAACAGTAACCTAAAATTCCGAGCAAAGCAAAGGCAAAAATTAATAAACTTAAATTTTGTTTGAAATTATATTTAAAAAATGTTTTCTCGATTCCTAGAGCCCATTGGAAAGAACGACGGGAAATGTGTCTAATATTGTTCGAGGAAGTATCATAAAAACAAATTTGGTTGAAATCGGTGACCCACATACTGTATCTTGTTAGTCTTTTCCTGTCTCCTTCTCCACACCTCCCTCATCATCCTCTTGGAGTGTTGTGTCTTCCTCCCCACTACAACATCCTCCTAATAGTCCTTTCTTTACTATCCAATGGTAAGGACCCTCATTTGTTATCCCGTTTTGCTATTACATTCTTAATCTGTTCTTGATACCCCTTAAGGCCTAGCACATTATCAAAAAATTTTTAATTTTTGTTTCATTTTGACAGTATATCCATAAAATTTCAGTCCTCTTTTGGGACGGAATAGTTCAATGAGTTAGGAACTGGGCTGCTAAGCTCAAGGTCCCAGGTTCGAATCTTGCTGATGTCAAGTAATTTAAATCAGCCGTACATCGACCCTGTGAGTCAGGAACTTAAAGAGGCATTCCACAGCCTCTTTAAGTGGGTACTCTTAATTAAATAAATAATTAAACCCTTGGCGGTTGAGCATGATCCTGGTCCGATCAACACCCCGCTCAACCTTTGGCCTTGAAACAATACCCCTTATTTGTTTTTTTTTTCATTGATGTCTCTATGTTCTTCTCCCATTTGAATAATTTGCGATTATTCCTCAATCTGTCTCTCCTCTCCTCTATTTTCTATGGCCTACTTATATTTTGTAACATTTTTGTTTCTGTTTTTGTATTTATTTATTATTATTATTATTTTTAATGAAGCCTGAATCATGTTTAAAAAATACCTGGGCATAGAAATAGAACGGCTTAAAAGCCTCTGGAATGCAATTAATAATACAACTTAATGATGTTACAATACAAATCAGCAACTGAATGCATTGAAAAAATAATTAATTTAACTGATGTATTCCTGCTCCCCTTCTCCTAGTTATCACTCAAACCTAGTATGCAGTTATTTGTGATTTATTTATCCTTTCAATTTTCTACTTTGTAATTCCTAGAATAACTGATTAATGCCATTTTAATTAATTATATTTCTATTACAAATAATTATATTAATTAATCAAAAGTCTTTGTTTTGAAGTACTTTTGGTACTAACTTTCCAAAATGGTAAAGCATGGCAAGAACATCATTTCGCAGGATAAACAAAAAAGCACAGCGTACAATAGAACAAAGAACATGAATAATCTTTTTATCTTACAACAAGATAAATTTTAAGTTAAAAGAGTTCATTATATTTGTAGAGAACACTATCTTACCAAATCAGAAATTAAGACATTAGCCAACTGATAATTCTGTTTTTTTTAACTTGACACTTATCAACCACCAGAAAATATTTACACAAATAATAAGGTTAGATAATAGAAAAATAAACGCTGCTTTTACATATCTATAGACAACATAACAAGCACTTTACAGCAGTCTCTATAAAAAGATAACATATTTTAGTGTTATATTACATGTACAACATATGATGAGTGCCACTGGGTTTCAATCAAATGGATCTAGAAGTTAACACTAAAGGAACAAAATTAGTGACTTTTCAAGCAACAGATATATTTTATAAAAGCACTATGCTGTAAAGAAATGGAAGAAACAGAGATATGGCAAGCAGCAGCCAAAAATAATATGTTGTACCGACTGACCAGTGTAGTGTCTACCTTGACCCCCAGGGTACATGCAACGAAACACTCGACCAAGTTCCTCAGCTTGGATTCTTCCAGCAGGGGTAAGTTCTCCTCCCCATTTAACTATTAATACTAGACTGGGTTCTCGCGGTCCATCTAAAAAAACAAAAAAAACATATGAAATTATAATAATAAATATTACATATTTTATATACACACATTTGTGAAACCTATAAATAGAGAGTTATGTGCAAAACTCAGATGGATTGTTGGGGACAAATAACTGAAATTCTATGCAGCTTTTTGTTAACAACATTAAAATCATAGTTTTCTATACACATCGAACTACAGACAACAAACTTATCCTAGCAAAGAACAGGTTCTTGAATGTCATTTCTGGCTTCCTTAGTACACCTAAGTTTTTTTTTTTTTTTTGTACATTTATGGTCTGACGATCATATCTTCGTAAATATCTGAGCTAGCAACAATAATTTAGCAATTAGACCACCCAGTCATGACAGGGATGAGCTCTATATTGATGTTTACCAGAGTACGAAATCAACAAGACATCTACTAGAGCACTAGAATACTTTGAACAAGAGGTATAGCTCCTGACAGTTTAAACCATTCATGCTTTATTATTTACAGACAGCAGGTAGGTTATACAGAGATTTAATTAGAGACTGGATTTCTGTGTAATTAAACATTTTTTTACTGTAGAAAAATCCGATCCCTCCATAAATATCATCTATGGTGTTATGAAAGGTTTAAATTACGTAGACCCAGTTATAGCATCAACTTATCACCGAGAATTGGATCATGCAATAAGGCATCTGAAACTGTGATGCTGTTTTACTGGATATAAAAAATATAAATAAATGCTTGTTTAGTACTTTTATTTACTTGCTAATTTTTGTAAAGAATGCATCATATATCTTCTTTGAAATAAGACTGCAACATACCTTACGTGGCTACTGCAATATCGATGCCCATATTTTTCTTGTATATGACGTGTCTTTAATAGAGTTTTCATTCAGCTGTGCTGTTTTAATATTTACAAAAAGTATCCATGATGACATTAATTTAACTGTTTAACTAATTTAATATATATTCTAATATATAATTTAATCAATAAATATATATACTTCTGAACTATGGAAAGTATATGTAGAACTTTGTTTTCCAAACACATTCAAGTAAAGCCAAGATAAAAAAAGTTATTTGTAAGCAGTGTTGTTATATTGCGCATAATGACAAATATAAAAATAATGATGCGAAAACCATAAAAATATTCATGATAAAATGACTAACCATTTTAATTATTAGAACAAATAATCTAAAAAAAAAATTATTGTATTTTATTGACAAGAGTGAAATAATGATTGGTTAGTATCACTATAAGAGAAATATTCCATCCAAAACAAATAAGTTTTAGTTACTGGCAATAATTGAAGGCACCAACCTTCAGATTTTTTAAGTAGATGAAACGTATGGATTAACAATACACATTTAATAATTAAGGAATTGACAGATTTAAGTAAATCATATATTTTTGGACCAAATGTTATATCTTATGAACTCGAATAAATTAAAATTTCACTAGTGTTTATAATTAATTTTCATAAGCTAATATTATTCATCAGAATGTGGAAATATTTTTGAATATTGAGTTTTTGAAATATTGAGGTACTTAACATGCTAGTAATAATTTTTTTAAAAAATTGATATTAATGACTAAGTAAATATTAAAATACCATCATCACTACTGGAACTTTTAGGTCTTCCTTTTGGTTGATATTTCATTTGGACTTTACGATTAATACCAGAGAAATGTCCATACCTAAAACATCATAAATGCATTAAGGTTTTTAAAAAGTTTGAATAAAATTTTTATTTTTAATTACAAACAAATTACCAAAATCATGACAATATAAAAGAAATTATTTACATGCAACTGTAACTACTGAACCGGTCATTGCCTAATCTTTAATTATATTATTTTTAGTTGTACATTTTATTTTGAATATTTTTGAGCAAATAGGATTTAATGATAAGGAAAATCAGAAAAGTAGATTTTAAATTTTTATTTTTTACATATATTAGGCCAATATTCACCAACATTTTAATTTATAAGCTATTCATTACGACGTTTCGATCATACTAAGGGCCATTTTCAAGTCTTAATGAGTCCTCCGTTATATATTCATTATTATTGTTGCATTATTTTGTTCAGTGAACATTAAATTGTACTGCTATTTAGGGGTTTCGTCTACGTCATTTCTGTAGGGACTTTTTAAACATTTTAATATTTATAATATAAGGGACATTTTAAATTTTAGTTTGTGATTGCTTTTAAAACATTTTTGATCTTAAATATAAAGAAATACCAAATAAAAAAATTATCACACTAACATTTCAAGAACACTTTTAAGTTGTTCTAGTTTTGCCTGTTTTTCTGCTAATTCTGGAGCAGCTCGATGCTCTATTTCAGTCAGCAGGTAACGAGCAATATCAAGAACTTCTTGCAACTGTTTAGGGCGTTTAAGTTTTACATGACCATCTGTGCGACCACCGTACTTCTCAAATATTTCAAAAAATCTGAAAAATTAAAAGTAAAGATAAATACAAAATATGACATGATACAGGTAACAAAATTGCCAAATTTAAAAGATGTAATGGCTATTTACTTTGGATGCCTCACTTCTACTTTCATTTTCTGTTTAGGAGTTCGATCACCGTGTCGAATCACTGCAACAACACATCTCAGCTCCATCCTATGATTATTTAACAAGAAATATTAATATAAATTCTAGGAGCATCCCAAGTAATCAAATCATCCTAATCCTCACAAATCATGGACAATTCATTAAAGGAGAGCATCATCTAATATATTTTTAATATCAAAGCGCCATAATAAAATTAACATTATTGCGGCAGAAGAATAAAATAAAAGATGATAAACAAACCTGTTTTAATATATTAAATAATACTCAAATTGCAATTTAATATTAATAATTATTATTACTATTTAATTTATCATACCAAGCTAAAATAAAATATTATTCTGTTATATTCTGCTATGTTCCTTTTAATTCAAAATTTAGTTATTTAATTTATACAAAAATTGAATTATTTGGTTACAATGGTGAATACTGAGCTTCTCTTCTTTAAGCTCTGTTGTGAAGGTCACATAACAGCTGTGACTCATGCATTACTTTAATCTATGCTCTTTTACAGTACCAACTTGTATTTATTATAAAGTTTGAATATAAGCATACCCCTTTAGACATAGGGTACGGCAGCAAATGTAATAACAGTATCACCTTTAAACCAAATAATTAATCTATCTCATACCTTATAAGCAATAAAAAGAGTGGGTCATTCTCACGAAAATGAGCACTTTTGTGTCCCATGATGTTTATTTCACTTTAGTATATCTTAGAACTCTGAGACATAAATCCAACTAAAGCCTTCTTCCAAAAACTTCCAATTTTATTTTTATTTTTTAGTTCTACATAAAACGAAGTGATCCAGATTCATTCCCCAGCAGTGTCACAAGCTCAGAGTCGGTTTACCAAAAAAGTTTCGTGCTTGTACCATATATCAATAATAATAAAAAAAAATTCTTATGTATGTTTTTAATGACTTGTAGTTTCAGAAGAATAGTCAAAAAACGATGTTATAATAGAAAAACAAGTCTGTAAACTGTTGCATAAATTATATTTCATTTCCCTGGCAAGTTTCAAATATATATCTCCACAAATCTCCTTGGGTTCCAAGACCTGCTTGATAGTCATCAATTCCTGTGTTACTGTGAATCTTCCTGCCTGTTTGCTCAAATCAAAAAAGTATATAATTATGACGGAAAGGTAGTTAAAAAATACAGTGTTAAGGAGGAAATTGAATTAGTTTTTATTTCCAAATGTGTTAGACATAACCAGTGTTCAATCAAAAGAAAAAGCTTTAAAATTACTTCCCTCTGCTCATGATTATAAGGAATACATTTTCCCCTTTTTTACAGAAGCTAAAAATAAAATCATTTAATATATTTACTCATAATTTTTACAAGTTATAAGTAAAATGCTGTGTTTTGCTCATTCATTCTCCAAAATTACTTAATTGATGTTACATGAAGTAATTTATTTTAATCTTTTTTCAAGTCTTTAAAGGAATATGACCAAGTAATTATTTCTAGCAGCCCTTAACTACTTTTCTTAGTTTAATTTTTCAGTCCAAGATCCAATAAAGTATTTTTTTATCATAAAATGATTTTTCTTTTTTATTCCGCTCATTATTCGTTCGACAGAACAGATTAATTTTGGTTCAGGCATATTTCGAGTGTGCAGTATATTGTCGCTCTACTAGTATGACTGCTTGCTTCATTTATCCAAAGGAATAATATGACATATAAATATATATTTTTTATAAATTACAAACTTCTGTGAGAATGACCCATCTAATCTCATCATAAAATTGAAAGATCTTAAGTAGTAAAACGTTTAATATGATTTTTTTTTTTAAACATTTTAAGTCAGTTTAATCTAGATTTTAAGAATACATTTTTTTTTTTTAATTCTTTTTTGAGGGTAACTTACATTTTACCAAATGTAGTAGGAACAATGGGAGGATCATCAAGTTGAAAAGGAACAGACCATGGAATATGAAGAGTTGGCGCTAATTCACGGAGGATCATATTACCCAATATTTTGGCACAGTCATCATAATATTTATTGGAATTTTTAACAAAACTGAATCCGTTAACATCGCATACAAAAGACTTTCCATTCGCCCTACACAAAAAAAACTTCATTACAACAAAATACTAAGTAAATAAATACAAAGTAAAATTTATGTATTATACCTGAGCAGATCAAAACCGCAAACTGTTTGCTTAAAAGCAAGGCATACTTTTCGTGAAATTAATTTTTCAGCATTACTTAATATAACTGGATATCTGATTTCTTTTCCTTCACTGTCCCGTTCCACCTTACCGTCCAGGGCTGGTGATTTACGAGCTTCAGCATGTGCATAGTCTGGGCCAACTGTGTAGACCTGAATAATGACGTATTATAATGAGGTATTTATAAACACAATAAATTTATATTCAGTAAAACTTCAATTATTGAGGATAATGGAGGGAGGTGACAAGATAAATAAAACCTTGGTTAATCGAAACTCATCTTATTCAAATTTCGTATTTATCTCAGTAAAATGAGCTGTTTAATCAAGATGGAAATTTATTAGAACAATAACATACTTTAGGTTGGAAGGTTGTTTAGCAGCTGAAAGTGAAAAGTATGACCCACTAATTTTGTCGAAATAGTGCCAGGTCAAGAATATGGATAACTGGACCTGTACTATTTCTTCATGCACTCTGGTCATGGACCTATACAAATTTCGCTTATTTGTAAATTTTTAATTCACAATATAGATTTGTGAGGAGTGGAGCAAGAATCATTAGTTTATATGTAACACATATAATTCTAAATTAAAATACTTGAAACTTCAATATTAATTGTTAGAATGTATACTTGGGTAATAAAAGGATTAAAACAAAAATATATATCCAATAATGAAGCTTTAAGTGGTTAATTTCATAGTTTAATGAAAGAAAAAAACAAAAACATAAACATTTAAAAAAACAAAAAGATTACATACAAGAGGATGCTTTAAAAAATAAATTTAAGGTACATCTACAACATAATATCCCTAAATAAAAATGTATTAATGTTAATATGATACCAATAAACTTTCCAAAAAATATAAATAATAACATAAAATAAATATATTTCATAATTTAAATAATGATCGAACCTTAACATCTGTCCCATCAGTAGGCATAAAATCTTCATAAATGAAGGAACCAGTCTTTCTTACCCTGGACTCTGGTGAATAAACACTACTCCTACTTCCAATCTGAAATGAAAATCATCAAAGAAAAATTAGTAATAAAGTAGAATAAAATGTGTAAAAATATGAAAAAAAGTAAAAGTAAGATTTAACAACTTACTCTAAGATTACAAAACAATAATGCTGTTTTTCAGAGGAAAAGGGAATACTATTTAATAATGTAACCATTATTTTCTTTATAACTAAAATTAAAAAAAAAAAAAAAAAAAAAAAAAAAGGGCAAATATGGACAAAAGCTTTACCTTTCTAAACAGGCGTTGACTACCACCCCCAGCTGATGTAGGATAATAAATGTAAATATTGTGGTCTTCAGCAGAAACTGGCTTTTCTACAAATGGTTTATTAAAAACGACACCATTCACTTCAACATGATCTTCTGATTCTATAAGCTCATGGTCTACAAAAAAATAAATAAATAATGATTTGCAAGTCTATATTCATAAAATTATTAGTTGACACCTATTAACTTATTAGTCAATGGTTAATATTTTGGGAAAGTTAATTAAGAACTAAAGTATTATTAATCTAATAAAAAAATAAAAAAAAGACTTGTATACTCACAGAAAGTATGAGCAGCCAAATAAGAATGCCATAATGAATGATACAATGTTGGTAAGTCAAATGTGCTACAACATACAAATAACTCAAGTATCCAATTTCTTTGTTCTCCAACTCCAAGTTCCAATTTCTCCCAACTTTACTTGAAAAATTATACCTTTGCAGCTATCTCTATTACAATAACCTCTTAGCAAAAACATATTTCAATCCCACCTTTTTTTATCCCACTATTTAAGTTTTTCATTATTGCAAATAATATAAATAAAAGGCATCAATGACTGTATAGTTTTTTGCATTAGTTAGTAAGTTTCATATTCCTATGAACATCACAAATTGATCAGACCAACCCATAAAATCAGACATAATGTATAATGTAATAATACAATATTATGTTCAATCGACTTAAATTAAGATATGACTGATGCCATCAAAGTTTCAGAAGGTTATTGTTAGCGCTGAAACTACTATTTATTTCAAAGTACATAAAACAATGGTTAGTGCTAATTAAAAGTGTTTTGGGCTTCATAAACACTTCACTAGCCAATTCATCACAAGGAGAACAAAGATGATCTGCAGGACAATGACCCATCCTGTACTCATTTAGGCTCCAGAGATATGAAAACTAATAAAGGCAACGAAATAAGAAAGATCCACCGGAGAATATTTGGCTCTGTCGAGATAGGTGACCATCACATAATTAAACTCTCTATATTCAACTCCTTTTCCAAAACCCAATTTTCGGATACATAGGCAGAGTCATATTTTTAATGATCTAGGAAATAAATTTTACTTAACAAGCCCATTGAATTGGAAAATTTCCATTAAATTACAAACATCATCCCAAAATATCTGCAACAATATATTCATATGTTATTAAAAGATTGTACTCCAAACAACATATTTTCCATATCTTTGAAATTAATCTAATTTCTAAATGATTCTCAAACCCTGCTTGGACTTTTCTTTATCACACTTCACAATCATAGGAAAAATTCCAGAACTCATCTCATTTTTAGAATGCTGTATCTTATTATTTTTTTTTTTTGGGTCCTCCCCTTCCTCGCCTTAAGGCCATACGGAGTTTTCCCGGGCCAAGGGGTGTGGGCGGGGATTTAAAAGATTCCCCTGGTAACGGGACGCAAACTCGTGAATATTTAAATCTATTATCTCATAGATCAGGTTGCCGGACAACGGCGGTGCTGTGCAGTCACGTTAGCCCGTTCAGCCACCCTGCCCACAGCTGTATCCTATATATCAGGTTAGATTCAAATAAAATAATTATCAGTTTTTAAGTGTCAACCTTAAACATTTGGTGTCCCCAAGCATGACGTTGAACCCCCAAAAAAATAAAATTTATTTCTTAAATCTGTTTTATATCATGTAATATTTGAATTTTGTTTCATTCGATATTTTAATAGGTTTTGTATTTTTCTTTTTAAATTTCTAAGTGGAGAGTGCCCCAGACAATCGTCCCAGTTGCCTGGTCCTAAGGCCAGCACTGAGTTTGTATACTGAACAACTGACCCCACTGACCTAACCTGTGTTTTTTCTCCTGGAATTGTAAAATGAATTACATGTAAATTTTTGTGTAAAAAAGATTTTCAAACAAGTCTAAAACCTTCCCAAAATGGATAAATATATTTAATATTTAATAGTTGACCGGTGCATTATGAAGGAAGGAGATGGTCCGGGGAGGAGGTCATAAATAGGCTACATAGTGGTAAAACTATTTTATTGAAAGCCAGCGTTTCTAAATACTATGTAACTGCCACAATTCTCTATCTTTTTGTATCTTATCTTATCTGTTCTAGCCCTGAAGACCTGCAAAGTCGGGTTGAAACGTCAGCTTTCAATAAAATAGTTTTACCACTATTTAGCCTATTTATGACCGCCACCCGGGCCATCTCCTTCCATGATAAATATACTTTTTTTATTGGTCCCAATTTTCTTCTGCGAGTGATCTGAGCTAAATATTGAAACAATCAAAATATATACGATTAATACCAGAGTTATAAGCTCACGAGCACTGGGACTCGAACTTTTTATCTTCAGTTTATAAGGCTGCCAGGCAACATGTGTTTCGCACACGCTTATGCTCACTCTTTCATTCCAGCACATATAATAATAAACATTTCAATAATAAAATCTTAAAATGTATTCATATTTTAACTTATATAATACTATCAATATTCATGACCACCATTAAATTAAAAAAATTGTATATAATATCATATGAAGGTTTTTTTCTTTATTTTTTTTTTGTTTTTGCTGTTGTTTATTAATTGTAATTACTGATAAAAAAAATATATAAATAATAGTCATAAAATTACGTTTTGGGTCTGAAGAGTCCCGGTCCAATACAGCATATCTTGGTATTTCAATGCCCTGGCTCTCCAAAATTGAATAGACTTTTCTTCTGTCCTATAAAAGCAATTAATATCTCAGGTCAAATACACAACTAATGTTAGCCTTAAGCTAAGAATTAAACCTGCGATTAAAGATATCTTACAACACAATGACTGCCCTTGATCTAATAAATATAACTTATTTTTAATGAATTAAATTTATTTTTTCACTTCATATTAATAATAAATATTAAATACCCTAATTTAATAAAATGCCATAAGCCTTAAGGTGAAATCGCATAAGTACAAATGTTTTGATTTTGGGACATTTTATTTATTTTTTCTAAATTTTATCAACAAAAATGAATTGTAAATCTTTTCTATTACATAGTATATCACTTGTTAGTACTCACTAATTAAAATAATATATATATATATTTTTGTTTTTGCTGTTGTATATTAATTGTATTATAAATATATATATATATATATATATATATATATATATATATATATATATATATATATATCAATTTGATGAAAATTTAATTACATTTTTTTGGATTGGCTAAAATATTGGAATATCAGTTACGCGATTCCACACTGGGATAATATTACAAAAATAAACATATTTAAAGAAATGGTTACTTTTATACCTAATTTTCTGGCAATGTGCAATAAAGAGTCTGAACTGAAATCCTTGATAAGTTTTAAACAGGAAATATCAAACTGGGATAGAACATCGGCTTACAGTATTACTTAAAATTTTATTACAATTTTTTAAATCTTAATATATCTCAAGTGATTTTCTTGCTTAGAAGCCACTGATAAATAAATTTTCTTAAAATATGTAGGAAAAATATATTTCTCCAATTACTTTTTTTCTTGTCTTAATTCAATTCAAACACAAGAAACATTAGATCATGTTTCTATAGTACAGAAATAAGATATTTGATCCCAGTTAATAGCCCGCTAGACATTTAATAATGTGAATAACTATCTATTAATCAAACGCGTTGTTTGATCAATTGAATAATAAATTAATTTAATCAAAAACAAAATAAATGCTTTGTAAAATTGTGTAAAATGTTATTTTTAAATCGCATTCTTCGACAGATACATATATGAACAATAAGGATAGCTTGTCAATTTTTTTCTTAACTTTTATAGCAAAAAAATTATCGTGCCAAATAAAATAATAAATAAAAAGAGAATTGTTTTGAAATCATTGCATTGGAAAACAATATCATGAAACTTACATGAGTGACTGATAATCACTCTTGCGATAAAAGAAAATGAGCAAAGCAGTATTTTCAAAAAGTTGAAAAGCTGAAGAACGGAGAACTGAATGGTTAAAAAGATAAACAAATGACTAATAAATAATACATAATAGGACCCTCTATAATGCTACCTGAAAATTGCACTACTATTGACATATTTTAGAGTTCAAACAAAATAAATTATTGTGGATAAAAATTCAATATTAACATTTTGGTGGATGAACCTGCCAAATTTGAAAGAAACTTGTAAAAAACTATTAAATTGGCCCATACCTTAAAACTTTGCCGACATGATAGTCTAATAATAATCTTTTTGTTAACAAAACTCTTCAATTAATAGTCTATTGGCTCACTTTTTTATCGAGCTGTAACTTATCAATCAGCTTTTCATTACATTCTTTTTTTTTTTATTATTAAATCAAACGTATAGTTTTGGAAGAAGAGTTGGTTGGGGTGTGCAGTTGCAAGTAACAAAGTAAAAATAAATAAATAATATACCAACTCCTCTCTCTTCAATATGTCTGCGACACTCAACTATTAATCCACTATCGTGCATAGTTTTCATTTACATTAAGGAATTTATTTATTAATTAGGTAAACATTTTTTTGTGATCTTGTACAACATGTAATCTCTATAATATGAAACACTTTTTTTCACACTATAAAGGGTCCTGATGAAATTGTTCTTTTGAATATATCTAAATCAAAGAAACAATAAATAAAATAAAGCGATGAATCATCATTACTTTAATGAGATTTCATTTTAGTATGGAGTTCATTCAAAAGAACAAATACTTAAGAATTGATGCTAAATATGAAATTAGAACATTATTAAAGAATCGAACAGTTGAAATTTAGTGTCTTCAAATTTCAACTGACCTTTAATAGACCAAAAATAAAGAACAGTTATAAAGAAAACTGACAAAAGCTCAACAACCAGAGCTCCATATAGGTCTTTTACTAATTGTGATTGATAAACTAAAAATGCTAAATAAAAACTGTTTCACTACATCCATCAACCATTATAAGCTGGAGGCGATACATGTAGACATGCTGGAATATCACTCTGAAACACACTGCAATCACTTTGTACAGCAAAAATATAAATAGTTACCTGTCTGTTTCATAGCTACAAAATCATTAAGAAATATATTCTAATGTTTAATAAAAGAAATTATTCTTTATGAAAATTTGTATAAGAACAGGTTTTTAATATTTTGAACATCACCAAATAGTAGTTTGAAAAATTTTGTAACTTAAAAAAAAAAGAAGAAAAAAAAGGTTTATAAATTAACATCATGGTGTGTAACTGAGCCAGATCATATATTTATACAATATTCAATGCACTTTCTTCCAAACAATTCATGCGATTTTTTGCTACTATGTAACAAGAAAACGAATTAAAGAAAGTTTAATGAACATGCATAAACACTTATTACAAATTAAATTTAGATAGAAGCTAATAAATAACTATTTGGGAGAGGAAAAAGAAAAAAAAAAAAAAAACCAAACAAGACTTGACTGGGGAAACACTAAATTTACTTTCCACAATTACTCAATACCTGAATATCATACTGCATGTGGAGATTATTGATGACATAAGGTTGAGTGAGCGTAGCATATTGAATAGCCTTTTCTAAAGGAAAACCCTTAGAGTGAAAAGATATTAGGCAGTCACAAGATGGCCACTCCTCAACGGGTTTCTAAAAAAATTACACATTATGTTTAATTAAAAATATATTACAAGTTCATTTGAAAACAAACACTAATAATTTCTATAATTAATAGAATGTGAAAACTAATAGTCTTCCTCGAAGGTTTTTTATTTCAATTAAATATACAAAGATCTTACTATTGTTAAATATTTTATTTTAATATCGTAAAATTCATTGTGTTAACATCCTCACAGCTTGTCAATAATAAATCCATAAGCTGTTATTTATCTTTCATATCGATGATTTACTTCCAAAACCTTGTAAATCTAACTCACTTCCTATATACTTAATAGCATAGTTGGGCATAATCATAATCTTTCCTTAAAAATTATTTCAAGAATTAGTCAATGTAATTACTAGTTTAGCTTATTGTGATTGACAGAATATAATAATGTCATTATTATAATAAAATAATCTTTCTGTTTATTTAATTTTTCTAACATTTACCTATTAATAATAATTATCTTTGTTTTTCAATGAGGCAGAGGTCTAATTTAAAAAAAAAAATATTAGCTTCAAATTTTAAGCTCTCTATTATATAAAAAAGTTTTTAGTGACGTGTCATATTTTATTATATATATAAAAAGCGGGATTGATCGTAACGAATACACCACACTTTTTATTCCCAGAATTATTTCTTGGGTGATAAATATTCAGGACACAGTCATTATAAAAATAATGAATAATATTTATAATAAAATTATTTGGCTAACCATTGTATACCTTTAATCAAACTATGTTATATTTATATTAATTGGCACCTCTTGCTTATGTTCATTTCATTACTAGCCAATATTCACAATTCTGTAACCATAAGAAACAATGCAAATCTTGTACACATCTTGAATATTTAATCAGCAAATTATTTACATTCTACAACCAGAAATGTTACCTCCCTTCTCCCCTCTGACTACTTTTACCTATATTTTATTATCTGAAAAAGGAGAACTGGGAAATCCTCTCCCGACCTTTTCACTTACCTACCAAATGTGTCAGTACTTGAAAGCCATCAGGGCTCGAACCACAAAAATATTACAAATTTTTATAAATGGATTATATACATTATTTTTAGTTTGTATAACTTTTTACATATTTCATTTTTAATATTGTGTATTGTAATAATAGTTAAGATTCGTGTACCATCATTCACTATATTTTATTATTTACCATTATCGGTCGTATAATATTATATCTCTGATTGTATTTTAAAAATTTTCAGCCCTGATGATGACCCACATGTTTGAGTTGAAATGTTGGCACAAATAAAAAATTTTTATGATGACTGTGTCCTGAATATTTATCACCCATGATATGTATATGTAGAACAGTTGACTAGCTTCCTTCAAGAATTATTTCATGCTTATTATGGATGCGAATTAGCAATAAGGAGCAATGTATAATATAGATTTTTTAAGAAATTAATAATTTGTATGAACTGTGTTTTCGTTCCATTTATTTTATTTTGATGAAAAATATTACAATCTGAACTACAGAGAATACATGTAAAGTACAGTAATAAAATTTGAGCAACGAGTATTACAATTAAATGAACAGTTGTATAATTTTAAAATGGAGGGCGTTCCGTCGTCAGGCAGACAGGAGGTGCCCCTCTAGTACATAAAAAACAATTTTGTGTATAAAAATGTGTTTCTAATATTTTATTTTTATGTTGTATTTTAAAGTAAATAACTGAAAAAGTTTCATTTAAAAATATATAGAAAAACTAAGTCAAAATTATATCATTTTATTTAAAATAATTCTTCTATCAGAATAAATTATTTTAATCTTCATTAATACATTTCATCAGAATATAATGAGTCCATTTTTTGAATAATGAGGCCAGGCCAACTTGTCAGAACGTACTTCTATCATTAGTTAAATTTTTACATTTTTGGTTGAAAAATTTCAGAATTTGGAGTTATCCATTTTTGTTAGTAGACACCTTATACACGGGGCCAACCCCCTTACCGTGCACCCCCCCCCCACATCCCTATAAATTGCATATCGTTGTGTTCCTTGTAACTATTTATTAAAAAAAAGCCAATGTTCCCACAAAAAAAAGTGAACGCACTGCCCCAAAATGGCGTCCAAAGATGGCGGATTGACGACTTTGACTTTAGTTAGTTTTTTGGTCACTGAGAATCAGCATTTGGCTTAATTTCCTCATAGTTGGTCTTTTATTAAAGCTGAATAGTCATAGAATAATAAACCATGAAGAAATATTAAAAAATAATTGGCTTAGACTATGAAAAACACTACTAAAGTCAATTTTTTTAACAAAAAAATTTTCAAGTTAAAAATCAAGCGTCATTTGTAATTAAACGGCCTACAATAACGCAAAACATGTCGAAATAAACAATCTGGAGAATATATTTTTCTTTCCAAAACGCTGATTATTTTTTAAAAACTTTTAAACAGTTCCGTAGAAAATGCACTTATGCGGCAGAAAAGCGGTACTGGCGTGGGTGCCTACAGGCCTCTACCACACCATTCAGTACACATAAATGGCTTAGTTAAAGTGATATAATAACATTTTTGGTACATTATATTGGTTTTATTAACGAACAAATATTAATGCAATAATTTAATTATAAAAAAAAATTAAAATTTTTTTTATAAAATTTATTATTATTTTTTTTATTTAAGCTTCTTTATTCTACACGTAGGTCGTTTAAGAAGACCTTGATTGTAAAAATGATATAATTATAATAATAAAACTTAATTTAAAAACTTTGCTAAATATCTTGATTTTTTTATTTAACGTTTGCAATTTAACACAGTGTTTTGTATATTTACTGATTCTTAAAGGTAATTAAAATTTATATATACTTCCCAGGAAATGAGTCGTATTAATACCTGTTTTATGAACTAAAATAATATATATCTAATCTGAACTATATATAATGAATAGCTGCTGGGTTGTATAGTAAAACTTATATATCACTAATTAAAAAATTAATTTTTATTTCCTTTATTTTGTGCGGAAGTTGGACTATATCATAAATAAATAGGAAATTTTATTATTGAATGAATTATTCTCTCTGCACAAAGAAAGATAGAAACGGTGACGCTATAAGTTCTTCTATAAACCAGAACTGATTGTTTGGATTTGGTCTTGAAATGAGGAAAAACGCGAAATTGAACTCGAAAACTTGAAAAATACATTAAGCGAACGAGAAAGGAAGTGCCAAAACCTTGGAAAAGATAAAAAGGACCAGTATCCATTATATGGCTAAACGAATGTATAGTAGACAGATAAAGAGAATATTTCAAGATGTTGCTAAAAGGGGGTCAATTGCAGTTTGGATGATATTAAGTGGACGATGTAGGTTTATTATGGTGAAAACCACTTTATTTTCGATTGCTGAAGGTGCACATTGGGACTATCTTCACTTTGAAGCAGGATGTAGAGAGGTATATCGAGTTATAGCTCATAGCTCTTCTTCTGTTTAGTGCATTTGCAAAAGATTTTTTAAGGAATCTTATATAAGTTATAGCTCGTTATTGTTCAGAAATTGCGGAATAAATTTTTCGGAAGTTGTACCATATCATAAAAAAATAGAAAATTTTAATATTGAATGCATTATTCTCTCTGCACAAAGAAAGATGGAAAGGGCGAAACCGAACTGCTTCGCACAGTTTAGCGCATACATAGGCAACAAGTATGTTAGAAAAACAAGAAAGGAGATACTAGGAAATGTAATGACCATCAAGATCCATTCCTGTTTAGTGTACCAAAGAAATTATACTCAAGAATCGTAGAAGCTGGAATAAGAAATATTGTCGACTGCCAGAGCGATATGGATTGAGAAACTCAAGTTGCACATTGGAAGAGAAGTTGAAAATTGAGACTGGCTTCACTTTAAGGCAGGTTATAGAGAAGTCTATATACAACGAAAAATATCTCTCTATCTGCTTAGTGCCTTACTCTTTGGATTGTGCTAATATCTAATTGTCTTTCAGAAAAGCAGGTTTTCCTTTTAGATTCCTTAAAAAATCTTTTGCAAATGCACTAAACAGAAGAAGAGCTATGAGCTATAACTTCTCGATATACCTCTCTACATCCTGCTTCAAAGTGAAGATAGTCCCAATGTGCACCTTCAGCAATCGAAAATAAAGTGGTTTTCACCATAATAAACCCACATCGTCCACTTAATATCATCCAAACTGCAATTGACCTCCTTTTAGCAACATCTTGAAATATTCTCTTCATCTGTCTACTATACATTCGTTTAGCCATATAATGGATACTGGTCCTTTTTATCTTTTCCAAGGTTTTGGCACTTCCTTTCTCGTTCGCTTAATGTATTTTTCAAGTTTTCGAGTTCAATTTCGCGTTTTTCCTCATTTCAAGACCAAATCCAAACAATCAGTTCTGGTTTATAGAAGAACTTATAGCGTCACCGTTTCTATCTTTCTTTGTGCAGAGAGAATAATTCATTCAATAATAAAATTTCCTATTTATTTATGATATAGTCCAACTTCCGCACAAAATAAAGGAAATAAAAATTAATTTTTTAATTAGTGATATATGAGTTTTACTATACAACCCAGCAGCTATTCATTATATATAGTTCAGATTAGGTATATATTATTTTAGTTTATAAAACAGGTATTAATACGACTCATTTCCTGGGAAGTATATATAAATTTTAATTACCTTTAAGAATCAGTAAATATACAAAACACAGTGTTAAATTGCAAACGTTAAATAAAAAAAAATCAAGATATTTAGCAAAGTTTTTTAATTAAGTTTTATTATTATAATTATATCATTTTTACAATCAAGGTCTTCTTAAACGACCTACGTGTAGAATAAAGAAGCTTAAATAAAAAAAATAATAATAAATTTTATAAAAAAAATTTTAATTTTTTTTTATAATTAAATTATTGCATTAATATTTGTTCGTTAATAAAACCAATATAATGTACCAAAAATGTTATTATATCACTTTAACTAAGCCATTTATGTGTACTGAATGGTGTGGTAGAGGCCTGTAGGCACCCACGCCAGTACCGCTTTTCTGCCGCATAAGTGCATTTTCTACGGAACTGTTTAAAAGTTTTTAAAAAATAATCAGCGTTTTGGAAAGAAAAATATATTCTCCAGATTGTTTATTTCGACATGTTTTGCGTTATTGTAGGCCGTTTAATTACAAATGACGCTTGATTTTTAACTTGAAAATTTTTTTGTTAAAAAAATTGACTTTAGTAGTGTTTTTCATAGTCTAAGCCAATTATTTTTTAATATTTCTTCATGGTTTATTATTCTATGACTATTCAGCTTTAATAAAAGACCAACTATGAGGAAATTAAGCCAAATGCTGATTCTCAGTGACCAAAAAACTAACTAAAGTCAAAGTCGTCAATCCGCCATCTTTGGACGCCATTTTGGGGCAGTGCGTTCACTTTTTTTTGTGGGAACATTGGCTTTTTTTTAATAAATAGTTACAAGGAACACAACGATATGCAATTTATAGGGATGTGGGGGGGGTGCACGGTAAGGGGGTCTGGCCCACAGACTATTATACGATACATGAAGAAAACCTAGAATTTATTACCTTATTTATTTATTCATTATTTAGAAAACCTTTTTTGTGCAATACAATTGATAATTTACATTACAGTATAATGCATAGGTCAAAGAGAAGTAAATAATGTATTTTATGAATTGTTACATATCACTTTTTTAATGTGCTCCCATAAATTATTGTACTTAAATAAGATAACTAAATGGCAACTCCATTTCTGGAATATTGAAACACCCTTAAAATTTATTATACTTTATTTAAATTAATAATATAATACGAAGATAGAATCAATAAATAAGTTAAAAGAGGCTAAAAAAAAAGAAGAAGAAAAATTAAAGTTTTTAATTTAAAGAAAATTTCATTTTATTAGAAAACAAAATTAGAGTCTAAGTCAAATTAAAATCTAACAGGTATTAATAACATTTTTCTGTTGACAAGAAAGCTAAATAGTCAACTATTAAATAGTCTTTGAAAAATATTGGCTAATTATTTAAAATAAATGAGGAATGAATCAAAGAGGTATTGCTGATATTTTTTAAAAATTAATTATTTATAACTTATTTTTTCAATTGAAAATAAGATATTTTACAGTTTTATAAAATACTTAGTTTTCTTATGACATACAAATGGAATAGATATAAATATTTATAAGGCATTAATAATTATTTTTATGTTTTATATTATATTTTAAGCATTTAATAGATATCAATCAGAAATCAATAGCTAACAAAAACTTCCAATTACAACTAAATAAAAAAATTAAAATCTTATCAACTGATTAAGTCCAATCAAACTCTTAAAAAAACTAATAAGTCAGATAAAACTAAAATGAAAGAGGTTTAAAGATATTTAAATAGTTTTAAGTGATTAATAATTATTTTTTAAGTATTATTCGATGAAACAAAAATATAAAAAACACAATAAACCTTATAAAAATCCTAAAATTAAACAAATAGATAACTAAGAGCTACTTGAAACTTTCGATGATAACAAAAAATATCTTATCAATTGATTATTTCCTCTCAATCATCCTACATAGATATGGAGGCATAGTGGGGATAAGGTTAAAGATCAACTATATTTAGGCCTCAATATCAAGGAATAATTCAACAGTCATTCATCAGTTGGTGAGGAAAAGCTCACTCATATGAAGCATTTCCTCACCAACTGATGACAGAAAAAACAAAGAAACATTAATAACCTCAACTATGACATCCTCAGGAAATACGTGCACTCGTATATACTGAAATTCTTGAAGCCTAGTAAGTATTTCCCGCATTGGCTTTGATTCAGACTTCTTTGCCATCGCACAGATCCCCACAACCACTTGTTTCCCTCCATCCTCTTCTTCGTCTTCATCTTCATTGTTTTGCTAGAAAAGGAATATACGTAATTTTAATTTGGAATATATTTTTCGGAAAAAATAATCTTTCTATAAAGAAAAAGTAATTGTATATTATATGTAATAGGGAGAAGGGAAGGATGCTTCATTCCTGAAGAAATATCTTTTTACTGTTTTATTTATTTTTTATTATCTGATATTTTCATTATTCAAAAATGCAATAAATTATTATTGCTATTCTCTGTTTTAATGTACTGTATGTATTCAACATAAAAAATATATTAATTAACAAGAATCATTAAGATTTTTGCGAATCTTGTATTAAAAATTTTTTTTCATAGTTAAATATACATGTATTACCTGTTATAATTCTGAAAAGATTCAATAATTTTTAACTTTACCAAAAATGAAACAAAATAATAATTTTATTGACACAGTAATTAGAAATGTATAGATACAAATTTAAGATGCTACTTGGTTAGTATTATTGGAAAACTGAAACGACAACCGAAAATTAATACACTTCATTTTTATCGAAATGCAGGTATTAATAGTTCAGCAAAATGCCCATGGTTTTAAAACAGTAAATAATTTTACAATATTTTTAACTAATCAGCAACAAAAATAAAAACAACAGAAAAATCATAGAACTTTGTATATTTCTATTTGTTTTTAAGTTATTATTATTTCTTTTATAATAAACCACATCAACCTAAGTAGGTGAGACATTAGCAGCATGCTTAGTAAATTATTATTGTAGCATTAGGGGACCATGTATACAAATGACATGCTTGGAAGTATAAAACTTTAGGTCAACATTTGAATATGTTTGTATGTATTAAGAGATGGGCAAAATCCTTATATCTTTTAAATACTTTATTTTTTATAGCTTAATTAAAAGTCATAATTTCATAAGTATATACACTTTTTAAAATAATACATTATAGCTTGAAATATTTGAATAATGGAATCTTTCTAATCGTAATGTAATTTTATGTGATAGCTTTTTTGAAATAGTTTTTTTTTATATGTTAGCATAAGGGAAAAATCAAATAGAAAACAAAATATTACAAATGGATTCACAAACATATAAAGATGAAACACTAAATGACATAAACAATATATAAAGGCACAAATAATACATGCATTAATTTGTCATAAACGATATTGTTATTCACATTTCAGAATTAATAATCAATCAAAGTTGATAATGCTTTTTGGAGAGGGTAAACACATTTACAAAATAGCTTCACAAACATGTATTCATTCACCTCATAAACACGTCTATGTTTGACAGGCTGATTTAAGAACTTATAGACTAAAATTGATATAAAATATATAGAACAAGAAATGTTATTTAAAAAAACAATACAAATTTCAAATTCTTGTACAATTAACATGCACGCAACAACTAAAAACACATGGTTTCGCAAAACGAAGGTACATAAAAAAGAATTTGTTTAAATAGACTTTTTGAAGGTAAATAATTTGTTTGATGATAAAGGGAAATAGGTTAAGTAGAATAAAAGATGGATGAATGCAGAAATAAAATAAAATTACACAACGGTTTGAAGGAAAATTATAAGGAAAGGGAAGGTACCATTCGGTGAGGGCCAAGGTATGCCCGGATACAATTGAGGTAACTGCCGTGACGAACATGTGTCCCGGAGCAGAGGCAAAGGTTCAACTTCCCCTGAGCCATCCTTTATCTGGTAAAAGGGTAAAAAGTAAAACAATTTATAAATTTAATGACAATATAAAGCCAGCATGTCTTAACATAAACATAAAAATGTAAGGTTATTCATACTAATTATTGCTAAGAGATTATAAATTTATATAAAACATAAAACTATAATTCAAAAAAACTAATGTAAAAAGTGCCAGATAAATTTTTTTTAAAAAATTCAAATATTTAATATTTTTAAAAAAGTGGCTACCTCATAATAATAGTCATAATCACTTTCTTCATCTTCAATTCTTGGATCAAATTTGGAAAAAAAAGAACGAAATAGATCCATTAATTTACAATAGCAAAGGAAAATGGCAACTTTTTACACTAAATATAACGTTGTACTAGATATAATGTCTCTTGATTGTTTTAATTGAGATTCTCTCTTATCATTAGCATCCTCCATGTGACTAAATATCAGATAAAATTGAAAACATTACATAATAGAGACAATATTTTCATTTTGAATGTTCAACTGTCTAAAACAACAAATCCAAAAGTTTTGAATAGTTTTCTGGCTGTCACAAACCATAACCATTGTAAGTACATAACAGTAAAATTTATTAAAATATATATATATATATATATATATATATATATTCTAATAATAAAACCAATTAACTTTTCTAAAAAGAGGCAAATAGCATTAAAGTATAATGTAATTTTCAAGCAAAACATATAAAAACAAACAAGTGTCTGATAAATTACTGACAATTTTATTTTAAATTATTTTGCAATATCTCAGTCCAAAACTAAGAGTTAGTTATTAAAAAGAGACTTGATACCAATATTCTTCTATAGAAAGGAGTTTAATTCAAAATGCTTTTTGGATACTTGGTTGTCAAAATATAGTATTAACCAATTATAGTTATTTAACATTGAAAATTTAAACAGTTGATCAGTAAATGCTTCTGTGTTACTTTTGAAAACAATATCAATACAAATGTACATATATTATTCACAATATCACTGATTTAAAAAAACAATAACTTTGGGACGAGGAACTACAATTCATATCTTAAATATGATTTCATTCATTAAGTACCTTTATTTGTTATTATAAAAAAAAAGAAGAAAAAAAAAGTTGTCATGTAAGTGGAAACAACAAATTTTGTAACAGAAAAAGAAAACGAAGTTTTTAAATTCAAACTAAAATTCTTGTTAAATAAAAAAACTAATACTTATTAAAACAAAAAATACTTACAATAAACAAAATATAGATTCCCAAAAAATCTAAACAAATAACAAACATATCTATTTAGTAGAGGAATTGGGGTTAAAAAAATGTCATATGGAGGACAAATGGGTGTTTCTATCGATCCATACCAACAAAAATAAATTATTAAAATAATTTATGCCCAATAGTTAGTAGCATTTTGGTAATTCTGTACACCATGAAAAAATACACAATCACAAAAAATGTCATGTAATACACAAACACACATATTATTAATATATATATATATATATATATATATATATATATATATATATATATATATATATATATATATATATATATATACAGTGGCTCACAGTGAATTTGATACACCCCATAGAAAAAAACTTAAATGGTTCCAGTGAATAAATAAAACCAGAAACTCTTCAACAGATTTATTTATAATTTCAATTTAAATATGCACTAACTCAATAAAATTAAAATATTCAACTGAATATTTAAAAAAAAATATGGATAATTTTACCTCACTTCTTTATAACTTTTAAATACTATTAATTTAGTTAAATATCTTTTAGGCAAGACATTATTTTCTACCACTCCTTTCAGTTTGTTTGTAATGAAGTTGAACAGTTCTTTGGTGAATTCTGGGCTTAGTCTGTTCCGTTCTTCGAAAAATTTTTAAAGTTTTCTTTGCTAAAAATTTAGTGTTTCCTAATTTTTAACTCCAATTATGCCCACAGATGTTCTATCACATTAAGATCTGGTGACTGTTGTGGAGTTTTTATAACTTTGGGGCAGTTATAAATTAGCCATTCCTTAAACTAGTGAGAGTGATTGGGATTATTACTCTAATAAACTAAATTTGTTTTAGTCCCATTTTTTTTTTTTTTTTTTTCAAAATTTCTTGTAAGTTTCTTCTCAAAATGTCTATGTAAACATATTTATTCACTATATCATGTAAATATTTCCACAATAAAGCGAATATTTCCTACACCAGAATCCGCTGTACACCCCCACACCAAGAAATAGAACATAAAACTTCAGGTAATTTTAGACTGTTAGTAGATCAGCATATTTGTTTACCAATGACAGTCTCTATATTTAATAAATTACTTTATTCCTAGAGAAGCTTTCAACGACCTGCACCTTATTCATCTCTTATTTTAAACCATATTATTATTTAAAACCATGGTAGATTGGAACAGTGTTTGTTCTTTGTCTCATATTTTGTCGACTTATTCAGAGAAGAGGGCTCCCCTTTTTCTGACATCATTTTACATAAAACATTAGATAACATAAGAACAAGAAAAAGAACATATTAATAGGATGTTTATTGATTACAATAAATTATTGTTTTAAGTGTAATGTAAATTGAACTATTTATTTATTCAATAATTTCTATCAATATCCAGGTGTATCATTTTGACTGAGAGCCACTGTATATATATATATTTGGCTATAATCAACGACATACATTGTAAGGCCAAAACATTTCTTCTTATATAGTAAAAAAAAAACTTTTTTTTTTCAATTATATTTTTGCAATTCATCCTAGAATGATTATGATTCAAAATCAATATTATCGATTAATAAATACTGATTTACTTCATGTAAGTATACAAATTAACTAAATACAAACTAAATGTTAAAATTCAGAAATTATGGCTTTTGATGTTACAAAAATCAATAATGGAAGAATAAACAAATGTTTTCCTGTATAGCTTTTTATGTTTGCGAAGCAACCAGATTTAGTCACTAAATCTTTATCAGCCTACACTACCTTTATCATCTTTATACAAAACCTGCAATGGCACTCCTTATCTGCTAGTCAATTGAGAACTCCTTTATCCAGTATATTGTCAGTCTTCAATGGATAAACAGGGAAGTAGGATCATCACAGGTTATACATATGATTTCATATATGTGTTATATAATTATTTCATAAAATGTATTTATATTATATAGTTATTTATGTTAAAGAAACTAATTCCTAAGAAAATAAAGCTATAAAGGAATATATCAAATTAAATTTAAAATAGTCATTCCAGAAAGCAAAATGTGTCTAAAGTATTGCTCAAAAAATACATATAAAGTAATGCTTAAAAAACCAGGAGGTAGTAAAAAAAGTACATAGTAAAGAAAAAGTACACTGTTATTTGAAAACAAATCAACATACCAGTGCATTCGTCTTAGTACAGGTTTTCTACACAATGTTTTAGGTGCATTTCAATATTTTTATTACTAACTGAAATGATAGTTGAATATCTTAATAAAACATAGTGCCCACATTTACAAAAGGTATTTTATACCTTATAATATTTATTACCAATACTTCATATCTAAGGATCCATTGCTTGACATGTTTATGTTTAGAATAATAATGAACATAGCGAAGGGAAAAAAATATTCGAAAGCATCATTTGAAAAAAAAATTAATGAAATATAAATTTAAATAAAAGTTATTTATTAAATCATTATAATTGTTTCAGGTGTTTCAAAAATCAAATCTATATATTTTTTTACTTTTATATTAATTAAAAACTAAAATTTCTGAAGAAAACAGTTTTTGAACTCGTAAAAGAATTATCATTTGATATTTGTATAAAACATTTTTTGTATCTAATACTATGAAACTTAGTATCTCTATTTTGAGGATCTTCCAAAACTATTAATAATTGCTTGTAAAAGTCTAGCACTGAAACAACTAACCTTCTGATCAAAAATTATAAAGATATAAAGAATTTCAAAAGTTTTTAAATGGATAAGTTTCGAGAAAGGTAGGATTTCTTTTTAATTCTTGTGGTATGTTTAGAATCGTTGCTCTTAGAAATGGTTTATTATCTCTGATCTCTAACAACCACACTTTTTAATAAATAAATAATATATCTTGAAATATTGAAATTATATCTATAAGCATGCAATAACTAGAATAAGTCCAAGACACAATGTGCACCCATAGATCATAATATGCTTCCATGACTATATTTAATAGTAAACATAAAAACTTGAAGGATGACCAAGTACTGCAGTTTTTATCCTCCGGACTTCTACAGCCTATTATGATAATATAATTTGGTTCAACTAATCTCAAAAATATATATCGCAGTATTTGTGAAAGATTTATAACAATGATAAGCACATTGCGGTCAAATAATTAATAATGGATCCATGGTAGGCTTAGTTTTGTATAATATAATTTTAAAAAATAATTCAAAAAGTGAAAAACATATGACTAATTAATTAATTTCATATTTACCAATTTAATCAAATATTATTAACTAATAATTATTACATAAGAATAAATATGTTCTAAAAAAAAGTTATGTAAAATTTATCACTTATTTCTTGATAGCATGTTAGTAACAAAGAAATAATCCATAAATAAAACTTTTTGTTAAAAAAATCAATGGTATTCTTTGTTAAACATGAGCTTCAACAGATATTAAACACCAAACAACATTTGTAGAATCAGCCTGTTTTCCAATTATGATGTGACACAAAGCACAGCAGGGATACCTCATATATACAGGCAATAGGTGATACTAGTAATATGGTTTAGCCATCAAGGCTCTAAAATAGCACCTCCTATCCACTAGCGGATCCAGGATTTAATTTTGGGGGGAGCTTCAGCCCGAAACCTTTTTTTTCATGAAAATAATTATAATTACTTTGGAAAAACAGAAAGAAACTAACTATCTATATGAAATGGTGTTTAAGTTATTCCTTAAGTACTTTTAAATGTGATTACACGAACAATAATACTTTAAGAGGTGAACAATAATACTTTAAGAGGTATTTTTTAATTTTTTTCCCATAAAACATGGTTATATTTTTCCATTTTGGGGGGAGCTTCAGCCTGAAAGTCCCCCTCCCCCCCGTAGATCCCCCCGTGCTCCTATCTAATCCTATGCTAGGTTTTCAAAGCTACGATCATCTATCGCAACCCCAACATAAATGAAAACAAAAACACGACCTAGTATAAATTCATAACATTTAAATATTATTACTACTTCTTTATATGAAATGATTAAACAGTATTATTTTTTACATTTATTAGATCAAAAATGGTAATAATTCTACTTTCATGAAACATACATATTTGTTTATTGTTAATTTAAAGCATTATTTTTTAAGCAAGAAAGCATCAGGAGTTAAGTAAAGTATATTTTCTGATTGTTTTGAAGACACACCTAACTTAAACATTTGAAAATTTTGATTTCGATAAACATTTCAATAGCAATAGACAATAAATGTCTAATATTCTTTATGGATATAAGAGTCAAAGAAAACTATAAATATTAAATACCATAATGATTTATGTCCAATTTTTCTTCTCTCAAACCTCTCCAAACTTTTAGAGAGACTAGTTCAAACCCAGTTATCCGACTTAGAACAGAATAACCTCCTAAACCCCTACTAGTCCGGTTTCCGGCCTTGCTACTCTACTCAATCTGCCCATATCAAAATTTCCCAAGACCTTCATACAACAGCCATTGACCAGCAGAAACTAACTATATTCTCCTTGACTTCTCCAAAGCCTTTGACTCAGTAGACCACAAAATGATCCTAACCAAGCTTAAAAATATCTATATTATTATTTATTATTGCCTTCTTATTTCTGACTGATCACCCCAATCATTCTTATCTTCATTATTCACGACAGTCAACCATTAACCCACAATTAAAAATATCTCCTTTTCTACTAGTGCCCTTAATTAGTTCCAATCCTTCCTTACCGGTTGCTTCCAGTATGTTGTAATCCCTAAGAACCCCCCATCAGAATCTTTACCCTTGTCCCTTATGCCCCACACTGTCACGATGTCCAAATTTACTTCTCTTTCAATCTGACCGAATCCTCAGGTACCCTCTCCCTCACTCCTCAAATCCTTACCGACACTCTCCAATCTTTTCCTGAACAACGCATCTATTTACGCATATATCTGTAAAACACCTTGGTGTTACCTTTGATCAAAACCTCTCTTGGAAACCACATATCTACCAAATTTCCCATCATACTATCTCTACTCTGGAACAGTTCAACTGTCTTTGCTACTCCTTCCATATAAATTCCGTCAACTCCTAGTTTCCTCTCTTGAGTTCCTCCACTTTGACTATGGCTGTGTGGTGTACAGAGGACTCTCAGGAGAATTCCAGCAAAACTTAAACTCTGAATCTCAAGAGATACGCATATATCTCAGTATTACAATGAATTGTGAAGTGGATCCATCTATCCAACCGCTGTCTGTACATCCTTGCTACCTTTTTATACCAATTCACCAGAACTGAGCGACATTCCTATATTTTTCACAGCCAACAATTTAAATACTCCAATCAATCCTGTCCCACTAGATCCCATATTTCCGACCTCTATCCTCCTCCTCACTGAACTGCTGTGTTTGACAAATCCTTTTTAATTCAAGCCGTCTCCTTCTGAAATAAATCCCTCATGATATCCGACATGCACAATCAGTTTCCTTATTTAAATCCCTCCTTTTTAAGCACCTACTCCTTTCCCAACCCGATAGATCACAAAATGTACATAAGAGAATTTTTTAAGTTCTCCCAGAAATTATTTATTTAGGCATTTTTTCAGTATCTTTAATTTGTTTTAAATGGACAACAATCCCAGAATAATAAAAAATATTTTCATTCGATTTCCTTTCACAATAAGATAACATAATATAGCCACAATATGGCGTCTTAATTAGAAAAGATCAAAGCCATAGCTTTGCACACACAAATTCCGCTATGAATTCGATAAAGAAAATCATTAGATATGAGGATAAAAGAATATCAAAACTATTAAAATTTTAGGCATTTGACCTAATAGAGCCTAAAACTTAGGCCAAAATGGCAGCACAATTAAATAAGACTTCTTATTAATGAGTAATGGTATATATGACTGCACCCCCAAACACTGCTTTTACTATGAAGGTTTTAGAGGATATCAACTACTCAAATGTTAAAATAAAATTTAAAATTGTATTCCTGATCATGAGGCAAACTCTTTATGTTCTTTTTTTTATTTAGAAGGAAGCATGTTAAATAGTAATCAATGAATTAATTAGAAATTGCCTAAATAAAAAAAATCAATGATATCACTTCAAATAAATATAAATTAAAATGACAGTTGGTGTACTAGTACTGGTATTGAAGGGGGGAGGGGACTAGACTCTTGGGGTTTATTGCCAATCCTTGATGGCAACCTAGAGGTTAGCTTCCATCTATGTCTTTTCTCGGGACTGCTAAAAAATAAAGATTATCTGATCCAGGTAGGGATTGAAATATCATTCTGGACCAAGTATTCTGGGACCATTGGCACATGGTCAACCATCACAGGCTCTAAGTTAAGAAAAACACTGCAGACAAAAACAATATTATTTATTTTTAATTGATATACCCCAAGAATCATAATAAATATTATTTACCCTTATTATACATTGAATTTGATCAAAATCAATCGAATAGTTTCCTATTATAAAATAAACGTCTAATAACTAAAGTTAGATTCTTATAAAAAGCTCTATACATCAACAAAAAACACAATACATGTTCATTTAACAAGACCAATGGAATCATAGTAGCATTATATTGTTTAAGCAAGTTTTCCGAAACAGTTTTAAGCACACTTCTGTTATTGTGTCATGATTATTGAATAAATCACATGCTATCAACACAAAAGCAGTGTTAAAAAGTAACATTTAATTAATTTATATAAAAGTAATTAGCATACCATTAACCAATAATTCTCTGCTGAACCATCAGCATCCGTAATAAAAATATGCGGAATTCCGACGGGATCTACCATCTTAATTGACCTTTTGGAAGGTAGAGAAAATGTTATTTTATTACTTGCTTAGGCAATTTTAAATGCTAGAATATAACCCTCCATCAGTCACATAGTATTTAGTGGTTTTAATCTTACCGAGCACTATTATCTGCTTTCATTTATTAAGCATAAATAATTAATGCTTGAAAGACAATTGATCAATAGAGAGCTTTGATACAAAAACCAGATAAGCCCAATTAACCAATTATTCATCTAAAAGTATTTTATTCTATCAACAATAATGCTGTCATAACTGGTGAGAGAAACGCAAACATGTGTAATCTATATAGAGAATAATATAGGAAAGACTATACAACCAGTCAATAAAAACTCAGTTATACGTTTTAAAAATCTAGTGCATCCGGATTTATCTTTTTTTGACACAAGTGTTAATGAATGCATACTACCTTAGGGGTCAAAACAACTTTAGTCCCAGACTTTCTGATTTATCATTAGTCTAATGGTGGAATTACTTGGTGTCTTATTTAATATCATATGGCATTCACTGAAATTTGTAATTCTGAACTTATCTAGTTGCAGCATCAAGACCTTCAATTGGTTTAAAGTTAAATTTAATAAATTTTAAATTAACAATAATTTTTAAAAAATCTATAAATAGCACATAAAATTTGACATTTCATAAATATATTGAGGAGGTACATGATAACCCATCAAAGCTTGTGACTAACGTGGGAAATTCAATGCTGAGCAACAATTCAAAGATCAATTGTTAATTATAAAAAGGCATAGTTAACTAAGGTTCAGAAATTACCATTGTCAAAGTTTTAAAAAGATCCTCACCTTTGTGGTACTTCTTATAATGGAAGATGTTTCATGGCCAACATAAAAAGAAGGTCTAGCTTTTCTTAAACCTTGATACCCATGTTCAAGTTCAGTATAAGACATTGTTCTATCTAAATTAATAGACATTTATGAAATGTTAGGGTCATGGTGTTTTTATTTGATTTCAACGGTTTGATTTGAAATATTTCAATGGTAAATAACATCAGAGTAAGTGTTAATAATATTTAAGCCACAACTACATCTCACAGAATTTTAAATTGTTTATATGAGGGAAATCATCTTATCAGTTGGAAGCAGACGAATGAATTATATAGTATCATCAGTGCTGCTAACATAAACGACAGTGTAGTGAATAGCAGAGTAAAATTGATTTTCATTTTGTCACAAATCATTAAAATAATACTATTTTAAAATTTTATTATTATGTAGGAAAGTGCTATTATATTTTTTGTACAATATTCTGTATGTTTGATACATTTTATAGTCCAGACTATGTTAGTTTAAATTTGGGATGGAGTATCATATTGTTTGATAATTATTTCAAATTTTACAAGGGTTATTTTTTAAATATTAATTTATTCAAGTTTCATAATTTCATGTCACTTTTCTATAAAAACCAGAAAAGGATGAAATTTTATAATACAATACATTCTAAAACTTTTATTTGGAATTTCATTCCTTTTCTTAGCAGATGTTTACAAACATAAAAACCGAACATTAGATCCGCATTATACTATAGTTTTTTTTCATTAAGGTTTTTACAAAACTAGTTGTACGAGAAAAATAACACAGTTTTGATAAGAAATCTTTAAAAAGAGAACTCTTGAAGAAGCTCCTCCTTTTATAATAGTTAGATTCTCTGTCGTTCGATATTTTTATGTTAAGATGCGCCTAGACCACTAGCAGATCCAGGATTTAATTTTGGGGAGGGCTTCAGCCCGGAAGCTGTTTTTTTCATATACATAACAATAATTACTTTGGAAAAACAGAAAGATACTAACTACCTGTATGATAGTGGTTTAAGTGATTCTTGAAGTCCTATTAATGTTATTAAACGAGCAATAATACTTTAAGACATAATTTTTTAATATTTTTTACCAGAAAGCATGGATACATTATACCATTTGTTTGGGGGGGGGGGCTTCAGCCCTAAAGCCCTCCCTCTGTAGATCCGCCTGTGGTCTAGACATTTCACAAGCCACTAGCGGATCCAGGATTTAATTTCTGGGGGGGGCTTCAGCCCGAAACTTTTTTTTTTTCATAAAAATAACGATAATTACTTTGGAAAAAGAGAAATAAACTAACTACCTACATGAAATGGTGTTTAAATGATTCCTACAGACCTTTTAAATGTGATTACATGAACAATACTACTTTAAGAGATAATTTTTAATTTTTTTTCCATAAAACATGGCTACATTTTACCATTTTGGGGGGCTTCAGCCCGAAAGCTTCCCCCCCCCGTAGATTCGCCCGTCACAAGCTATGGTTCAAACAAATATATACATGATTATTTCAGTATGCTAGTGTTTTTGATATTTTCCATCTGCTATCGATATCAAGAGAAATATAATAAATATGTAGTTCGGTTTAGCAATAATGTCGCTGTTAATTATGTTAGATAATTATGTTTCTTATAGTTTGTGAAATGTCTAAACGTACCTTAAAAGTTTTCCTATGTTGGACCACGGCACTAGCGGAGTCAGGATTTAATTTTGGGGAGCACTTCAGCTTGAAGGATTTTTTTTTTTCATATACATATAACGATAATTAATTAGAAGAGAAGAATAGTTGGGGTGGTCAGTCAAAAATAAATGATAATTTTTGCCTTCTTTTTTGACTGACCACCCCAACTATTCTTCTCTTCATTATCCACGACAGTCAACCATTTACCAATTATGATAACTAATTAGAAAAAAAAATTAACTACCTATATGAAATGGTGTTTAAGTGGTTCTTGAAGTCCTATTAAATGTAATTACACGAACAAGAATACTTTAAGAGATAGTTTTTAACATTTTTTCTGTAAAAAATAGTTATATTTTACCATTTTGGGGAGGGAGGACCTTCAGCCCGAAAGCCTCTCCCCCGCAGATCCGCCTGTGGACCACGGCAAGCAACAGAAGGTTTGTGACGGCGACAAAGTTCTTTGTAACAGAATACGAATAAGGACGTGGGGCGAAGCCAAGGACTGCAGTGACAAATTTCCCCCAGCCTCCCTCAAATATGAAATTCACTACAGAAAACCAATTCGGTGCTTTACTAGGGGTGCCTAGAAGGAGGTTTCATGACGCAAGTTGCGCCTTCAACATTTTTGTGATGGGCAGATTTTGACGGGGTTTTGAATTTTTTAGGGGGCCACATTTCGACGGGGTTATGAATATTCGAAATTATATTTTTGCAACCAAAGCACGAGAGGAACCATGGAACAGTCTGCAGGATATGTAGTTATATAAAATCTACAATTTTTTAAATTCTACATTCACTTGCATTGTTTTTAAGAAGAGAACAACAAAATATTTTGGGAGGAATGGGCCATCGAGACCTTGGGGAGGATGGTTGCCCCTCTGCTTTACAATATAAACAACAATACCCTATAGACTACTTAGGATCTATAGCTTCAAACTGTTTATTGACCAATAATCCACTTTCTTTTAGACTAAATTAGAAGTTAAAAAAAAAATAAATTGGTCGGTTGAGCCAGGCCCTGGCTTCTCCTTCGTCGAATATCTACGAACATTATAATTTGTTATTTGTGGTCCGAAATAAAGTTTGCAAAAAACATAAACAAAAGTCTCATAACATGCAAAACAATTGGAGCTGTAAAACAACAAAACACAATTGAAACGGAATGAATATAGTCGTGAGGACAATAACGAACGATATGTATCTTCTACGAATTCCCCTACTAAAAATAGAAAGAATCAGTTCTGGAGGTATAAACGTCTCACTTTCATAGTAGAATATTTAAAGACCTCTTCATCCACGCTAAAAACAAAAAGAGTTAATAATCATTTGGTCTTTACCTGTCATAAGTTATTCCTCAGTTGAAGGAGAGAATTTTGAATCTTCGGTTTTTTTGATAAGGTGGGGAAAACAACTATCACATAAGAACTGAAATTAAAGTTTAATGAGAGCTTGTTGGCGAGATCGGTTTAAGTGGTCAAACATTTTGGAATTGATGAACTGTGGTTCAGGGAGCATATCCAACGTTTTATTCCGATTGATACCAAATACTAGGGGGCCCAGGGACAACCACTGGTTGTTGATATTAAGTATGGTCGCAGCCGTGCTGTGTTGTATAAAAGACTGAGTGTCTGAGTACCATCAGACCTCCTCAAGAATCTCATAGCAAGCCAAGAGATCAGAGACTGTAAATGTTAAGGTATCATACCCTCAGCAACCTGGAGTCTAGGAGTGCCAGTTCCAATCTAGCCTTTTTCAACATTCAAACCACTCCAGTTGGAATAGGTTGGTTATATCTGTAGAACAATCCCCTCTCCCCCCCCCCTATGCCATTGGCCAGTTAGAGTGCAAAATAATATAGTCTTATAAGAAGTAAATAGAACTGATGGTGAAGAAAGGTTTGGAAAGCTCATATGCACTCAAATGGACCAAAGAAATATGAGTTGATAAATGCCAACAATCCTGGGATATAGGTCTACAACAGATGAAGCATATGTCTGGTTCCCTTCACCCAATCCTGGCCAATTAATCTCATCCTTTTGCTTACAGAGCATGCTTAAATCCAAACTTCTGTGTCTTCATAGATTTAAGCTGGGCAATATAAAATAATAATAATTTTAATCAGCACTGTTTACATCTTCTGCCTGATGCTATTCTACCAGGAATGCTGTATGGTGTGCCAACATATAGCAACGAAATGCACCAAAAGACTGAATGGAGAAAGAATGTAGTTAGCCTAACAGTTAGGTGGATCACAACCACTCTCCCTCTATGATGTAATACTAATGGCGTGAACAGGTGCAGAGGTTTTACTTAGTACGTCTTTAAGTTAAATTCATATCATCAATGTCGTTTGGTCAGAATGTTTGTCAATGTAACACTCCAAAATTTGACGTTGAGACCATGAAGCATCCTCAAGCATTGAACTAATATTTCTAATCATCCCTCCTTTCTGGAAGTTATGATTTTAAAGTATATGTGTAATAGTACCAGATTTTTAGTCAAGCGGTCAATGGGACTACAGGAAGCATTCTACTATCACCATGTAAAAGCGTGCATTTTGTCCTAATTTCTGCCAAAAAAAAATTGCAAAAAACATTAGAAATTGATATCAATAAATTAAGATATTTTACATTTTCTAATCAGGCTTTATAATGAATGTGGATTTAGTTAAAAAATTGTGAAGGTATGATTTTCTTCTATGACAGCATTTAGTCCTGATATTACAGAATATAACTTGAGTTATATAAATCATTCTTCAACCAATCTAAATTCAATGCTATCACTTAATAAAATTCCAGCATCCTGAAAAGAGTCACTGAGCAATATATGAGCCTTTCAGTAGTCAGAATGATTAATTCCAATTTCAATATTTTAGAAATATTTCTAATTAGAAAATTTATAATTAACCAGAGTAGGTGATTGCAGTATTGGAATATATTATTGTGAATAAAGGCAGACATTTTTCCACTAGAAATGTCACTAAAATTAATAATCAAATATGAGAAGGAGTTAGTCGGGGGTGCGGTCAGATAAATACTAAATTAAAATATAGTAATTATTTTATTTCAATTTTGCCGACGTTTCGACCCACTTTGCAGGTCGTAGGATGTAGCACTGCGGGAGGCAGTTGAAAGATAATAATAATCAAATATGTTGAAATTGGAGTTATTCTGTCAACTGAAAAACTTATATCATACTGTAATAACCAGAAAAAAAGGCTGAATCTGGACATAAATTAGTCTAGACATTAATAAAAATAAGTTTTCATAAATATATTTTCAAGACGATTGTATTTTTTATTTTTAAAGTACAAATTTGATAATTAAGTTACAATTTTTTTAAGATAGAAGAGGAAAAAAAAAAGTTTCAGTAATTTCAATTATAATACTAGTTGATTAATGCCAAGTTAATTGTCGAAGTTATTTAAGTGAACAATAAAAAAGTGCCCCAGAAAGAAAAAAGTAAGGATTTGAACAAAATTTAATATTATTAATGACAATGGTTTTTACAGGAAATATACTTCATTTCCTCTAAAAGAACTATTTTATGTAAAATATTAAAAACAATAACAAAGGAATTAAATGAGGTTTAATTAGATAAATCTAACACCAGAATACATATGTTCATAATAAATCCATCATAGACTAAACAAGGAAAATAGATTTTACATAA